TTCTCATATCTCTCTTTACGTATGCGCTTCCCAGCTCGACGCGCTCGCGTCGGAAGAAACTAAACCTTAACTGGTTACCCCTCCTTGGTATACTTTCCTTCGATGAGCCGCCCGGTTTCCTGTGTAAACAAATCCTTGTTCTCTCTTATTTGCAATACTTTGAGTAAATGTACAAAACAGGCCTTGCTTATGCTCAATTACACGGAACTGGCTTCTTTTGGTGTGTGTATATGTGTTTCATGAGAGTGCAAGCACCTGTTCGCGCCGTCCAATAGGCACCCGTTTTGTGCCGATAACGCACGTAAGGCACCCCTCCCTTGTGAGGGCCAGCGCGCAGAAAGGCGTTCCCGTACCGTGGCTAGCCGCCGTACTTGTTTGGGATGTATCGGCAATAAGGGCTCGCAGAAGAATGGAAACATGTCCCGAGGTGGCAACGGAAAAACCGCGGGTACGCCAAATACGGGGTTGGAGACGTGCCCCGCCGCTCCCCTCTGCCTATTTGAGTACAAACGGTGGGGAAGGCATCAAAGCTAGAACGGACATACTAACGAACGCCGTAATCGGTAGGGCTGTAGCTTGTAGTTGCGCACTATGAGATGTTGCAACGTGAACATACGCCATTTGCTTACGTATTTATTGGACCTCACCAGAGTGTCTACCGATAGTGTCCGTCTAATATTTTCGTGATGTTTTGTGTTGGTAGAACTCCGTGCCCGGTCCTGGTAGAGCATGTGCCAGTGCTTTTCCGGATCGGAGTGGAGCACGTGTCTTTAGTATGTCGGGAAACGACGGGCCTCAGCGATATGTCCCACGCCGAAACTCGGGTGGACATGTCGCGAAACTTATGTGAACACGGTTAGGTGAAACTCAAATTTCAGGCGGGCACCACGAAGCTTGACGTGGGAATAAGGGTAAACTAAGCGATATAGAAGGAGCGTTATGCGAGGATACTCCCGTTCATGTCTCATGCAATGTACATGTCATAATTAAGATTTGGAGATCCGGTTAAGCATTAAACCTGTAGGGGTTGTTTTTGACAGTTATTGTCTACTAACATGTCTGAAACAGTAACTTGGAGGAAAGTCATCAACTGACTGGTGGTGACTATGTATGGCAATCGATGATATGCTGCTGCGGTGCTTCCCAACGTTCGGGCGTACGGGGAATCACGAAACTTGGTTTAGATATCAGTGTACTACCATGCTTATTCACAACTGCTTTAATAGTTTGCATAGATTCCAAGTTATTGTACTTAGGTGTTACTATTCAGACATATAACCTCCACCTGTGAAAATCTCCACCTGTTAAGCCATATACTACGATTTAATTGATTGCCTTATGACACTATTTATCATTTACTAGTCTAATATACATAGCCTCCCCGTTTATCTCTTTCTCTCGGCCTTCCACTTGAAGAAAGTTTTACCGTTCTGGTCTCTCATCTTCATCTTTGGCCCCTTCTTCATCAACTCGTTCTGCATCTCCATCCTGCCCTCCACGTATCTCAACTGGTCGTTTCTCTCCTTTCTCTTCTGCAACAACTTCAACTTCTTGACTTTCTTCTCGTCGATCAACGCCTTTGAGTACTTGGTTTGCTCGTCAAAGTTTTTGACCAATTTACTGCTGTTAGTCAACTGATCCAATCTCAATCTGTTCTCTGGTCTGTCCAACAAAGACTCATCCGTATTGAAAAATTTGACGGGATCAAATTCCTTCTGCTCCTTCAAGTCCTTCACAAAAACGGTGTGCTTCCCCGAGGACTTGAACAAAATTTCGTTGGTCAACCTTTCAACATCACGCTGCTCCTTGTTTCTCACGGTTCTGATGTAGTTGGAATCCTGTGATTTGAGCAATTTGGCCTGGTCGTTGGTCAAGGCCTCGTTGCCTCTCTCGGTGATCAAAATCCCGCGCCCATCGGTCTTCCGCGCCGTCATCGCATGGTAATACTCATCTGGGTTGTGCGCAGCAACCTTGCTCTTAAGGACCTTTAAGGCGGCTTCCTTTCTGTGGTAGTCAGCGGCACGCTTCTTGTAGTCCTTCTTCTTCTCGAGAAGACCGAACTTGGCTCTCTCCTGGGGCTGAGAACGCTCCTTGTGCTGCTTCTTTTGCACGTTGTGGACTAACTTCATGGTTGTATATGTGCTTTGCGAACGGAAGGGTTAGCTTTGGGATCTAGGACGAGACACGAGAGGAGTTTTGGTTATTTTACCCTTGGGTGCCCCTATCAGTTTCTATGCAGAAAAAATTACCATGAAAAAAGAAATATTTCTGTCTCATCGCATGGTGGGAGCACGACCATTTACAATTAGAAATAAAGATAAATGGACGAGTCAGGAGTCGAACCCGAGACCTTTCACATGCTAAGCGAACGCGCTACCAACTACGCCACACGCCCTATATGTCAGAGTTAGAGAGTTGTTTCAGGAACCTTATGAGGTTCCAGTTGAGGCTACTAGGATTGTTTGATAATGAGTATCTGAAACTAATCCTGTCGCATAAAGCAAATGAGGCACCGAAGAAAGCTATATAAGGAAGTAGTTTTCCAGATCTAAGAATGATCTTGGTTTTAATATTATCTTTATTTTTGTGGAAGATCACAATAAGTAACTTGTGAATCAATGACTGATTACAACCCCCCGACTGGAATACCAACAGGCGCTGGAACCCTGACACTATACCTGGTAGGTAAAAAGTGCTTTAAACTAGGCCCGATGAAAATTAGCCAGAATGAACCCTAGACACCATGGGGTAAGGTTCAAAACAAGCGATAGAGAGAGAGTTTTCTACTGTTTGGAGTATTTATCCTTTATTTCACAGCTTCTTACCTGCTATTAATGCGCTATTCTATCGGTTAGTGGGGCTATTGTTTGAACCCAGTCGATAGTTCAAGTTCTACGAGGCTCAGCTGCCGCTTTGGGATGAGTCTGCTTTTCCTCCAATATTTGCTCGTTCCAATGTCAGCGCGTGGCTAGTGTTGCACCACATCACGTGCAATAGTGTAAACTGAAAAATCCTGCACCAAAGCGATGACTGCTTATCACCGTTCATTCCCCATGCTCACAGTGGTACGAGATGGCCGTCTTTGATGGTTCATGTTTTCGTTCCAGATACTTATATATGGTATGCATCGTACACAAAGATTCTGACTATTGATTTTTTTTTCTCCTCCCCCAAGCATTACGTTATACCTTTGGTCATAGAGTTACCCCTAACGGCTTTACTGAAACCACATTACGCTATTAGCAAAGAATCACATCTGCACATTCCGTCTAATGTCCAACATCTTAGCATCCTGGCACTGCCAGAACGAAACCCACTTGGTTGTGGGGATTTCCAACCTCACCGCTACGCGAGCCCAGAGCATTCTCAATTCGGGAGCCACCGCGGTCATAGTATCCAACGACCCGTCGCGTACCTTCGAAACCTTGCCTCTTTCCCTCCAGACACTCCTCAGCGACCCTCAACTTCGGTATGTGAACAAGGCGTTTGAAATCGCTGATTTAACAACTCTTGGCCGCGTGGAAGTGGCGCACGTGGTGGACAAAGTGTTTGTCGTCTTATCGAACGTGCCGGTGGAAAATAAAGCGTTGAAGCAGTTGGTATACCAGACGTGTTGCCGATTGCGAATTCCCATCAACACTGCAGACAGCTCTGAACTCTGCTCCTTTACGCTTCTTTCGTCGTACAAGAACGGTGATTTCCAGATGGGGGTCACCACATCCGGTAAAGGCTGTCGCTTGGCCAACCGCATCAAGCGCGAGTTGATCAACGCGTTGCCAGGAAACATTGGCGATATCTGCAATAAGGTTGGAGAGTTGAGGGTGAGTATTCAACAGGAGGACGCCCGGTCGTTGGATCTCTTGAAAAAGCAGTACGAGCAGGATGTAGGCGAGAACGACGACGATGCGGTGCAAACCAGCCGGTTCAACACGTTCATCAGCGAATTTACCATGTCGGAGAATGACAGAAGGTTGAGCAGATCCAGATGGTTGGCCCAGGTTGTGGAGTACTATCCGTTGAAGCAGTTGAGTGAATTGTCGATTGAGTATCTCACGGGGGTGTATCAGAAGACCACCCCGACTGAGGGTGGAGTATTTGCCCAAACCACTTCGCAAGTTAAATCTTCCTCTGGTTCCATCTCCCTTATTGGCGCTGGACCTGGGTCTCTTTCACTTCTCACACTCGGTGCCTTGAACGCCATTCACACGGCAGATCTTGTGCTCGCAGACAAGCTTGTGCCTCAGCAGGTGCTCGACCTCATTCCGCGCCACACCGAAACCTTCATTGCCCGTAAGTTCCCCGGTAACGCAGAAGCAGCGCAAAACGAATTGCTCGAATTGGGTCTTTCCGCTGCCAAAGCCGGAAAAGCCGTGGTGCGTTTAAAGCAGGGCGATCCGTATATTTTTGGCCGCGGCGGAGAGGAATACCTCTACTTCCAGCAGAATGGGTTCACGCCGCAAGTTCTCGCGGGGATTTCCTCTGCGTTGTCTGCCCAGACGGTTGCTAACATTCCCGCAACCCAGCGGGACGTAGCTGATCAGGTTTTGATATGCACCGGGACTGGAAGACGCGGAGCCTTGCCAGTTTTGCCCGATTTTGTGGACACCCGCACCACCGTGTTCCTTATGTCGTTACATCGCATTGTGGAGCTCATTCCGCAGTTGATCGACCAGTCGCATTGGCCAGCTGATGTTCCTGCTGCAATCATCGAGCGTGCCTCTTGTCCTGACCAGCGGGTCACTCGTACCACCTTAAGCGAAGTTGCCAACGCTGTGGAAGCCATCGGATCCCGGCCACCAGGTTTGTTGGTGGTGGGGTATGCGTGTGAAGTATTGGAGAAGTTGGGCGAGGGCGAGAGGTGGAGAGTTGATGAGGGCTACGAAGATGGGTTTGAAAGTGGGATCCTCGACTTTGTGGGGGGGATTAAATAAAGAATAGGAGATGCCACAATAGGCCTGCATTGGGCTTAGGTATTTAATAGATTATTTATTGCATTGAATTCGTGTAGGTCCGGAACGTAGCCTGGGACAATTGGTGTTTTTGGAGACATTTCATGGTCTGGTCATAGTTGAGTAACACTCCGACTTCAATAGCTGTAAAATCTACAACCTAGTTTCATTCCTCCCCGTTTGGGATGCTATCTTCCAAGTCTTTTCAAGCCATTTTTCCAACGAGAATATCTTTTTTTTATGCAATATATCTCTAAAACAAGCCTCTACACTAATTATCGACCTTCCAGTTTATTATTGTGACTCAACCTAAAACTATTTTATCATGCTGCACCCTAAGACGTCTATTGACTCTTATTGCTGCCTGTCCAGAAATCCCACCAATTTAATGATTTAGAACTTTGCCGATTATTCCACCTATATTCATTTCTCCCCTTTTCCATATTGTCTACCCGACTAGCCCCCCTTCCCGTGACTGCTTCCCCTACTCCAGGTACATTTAGTATCATCCCTTCATGCTATTAACATAACAACAGTAAACCCTACAATCGGTACCTCGCCTTGCTCAGTGCAGTTCACTCTCCATTATCATATATTAATTTACATTGCCCCCCTGGGCACGCTCAAGCTGTCGGGAGCGATCAAAGTACAAGTTCGGATGGTTAATGTGCATCTGGTCAAAGTTCTTTCCACCTTTCATCTGGTTCTTATGTGTCAACTCAAACACCCTGGTGCACGCGATGGTGTACTCTGTCTTTGCCACATCATCCATGATCGCCGTGATATCCTGATTATCATTAATCCCCATGGAGTTCAACTCGCCGACCAACTTGTCGGGATGGAAATCGCGGTATGGACAACCGTGGAATTCGCCCTTGGACGGTTTTGGCTTCGCCAACACGGTAGAGCAGTTCCATGGTTTATAGTTAATCCGTCCACCTTCCAACCCGTACATGTGTCTGATGTTGTACTTGTACTCCTTGTTGAACGTCTCAGAGGTCATGCCTCCGGCACCGTTGCAGAAAGAATCCTGCCAGAACTTGAGCGCCTCGTCTACGTTCAAACCAATCCCCTTCAAAAACACCCCCAACTGCTGTCTCCCGGTATACTTCATGTGATGGTTGGCAAACAAGCCCTGGAGCATGTTAGTCGCACAGAGGGGCATGTGGCTCATGATTTTCGCCGACCCCACGGTGCTTGCTTGAATGTCTGCAGTGTTGGCAGCATCTGTGCCAAATTCCATTCCGCTCTCGAAGCTAGAGAAATTGGTCGACAAGTGGTTCAAAAGCGGCACCAACCGGTCGTCTTCGTCAAGTCTTGGGAGTGCACGGAATGTCTTTACCAACGCATCGTCCAACTTGGCTGTGTACTCCATCGCAAGCAACGATAACTGCGCCATGCTGGGAATGTACGCGTTCCCTTTTCTGATGAGCACCATTCGGGACGCCACAAGATCTGGAACCTTCTCGAACGGAACCATGATGAACAGCTGTTTCGCCATAGTAGCCTTGATCGTGTCATCACCAAGCTTTTCATCATTCAGAGACACGATGGATCTGACCAAGGCCTGGGAAGCACTGTACAACTGTTGAGCCAACTCAGCTCTGTCCCCCTCAGGTAAGTAGTCCCAGGGCAAGGTATCTCTGTTGTCATTCACAAAGTCTTTCTGCTCCTGCGGCGAAAGCAGCGCATAGCGGATCTTGAACAACATAAGCTCGTTCCGGATAAATTTCTTCCGTAAATCCTCGGTTCTGCAGAACACCAACCGCAAAATGTAGTGTGAGTAGTGGTCCTTCTTGCGTTCCTGGGTCTTGACCGCGTCGCTGGCGTTACTCGTTAACGGCAAGAGTTTCGCCAACAACGGCTTTACAATCGCTTCAATATCCTTGGTGGACTTTGTGCGCGCAAGCGATGATTCGATCTCGATCAACACCTTCAACCGGTCGATCGCCCATGTTTCAAACTCCTCGAGCGTGATCTCCTCCAATGGTGGTTGCGCGTAGAACGAGAGGCGCGAGTTGTACTGGGTAGCACCAGACGACTGGTACACTACCGCGTCGTAGTTTTTCCTCCCGTCAGTTCGTCTTTTTGTTTGCCTGAACATTGTGTTTTGGTACACTGAATGGGAAAGGGATTTGCCGCGAACGGGGAGCAGTTTTGTAGAGGATTGATATACGCACCAAGGTTGATGACGCGTCGCGAAAAAGAAAAATCAACGCGTCGAGATTTCATCACGTGAGACACACGTGATACGTTGGGCACATGACCTCTCAGAGTAAAGTGGCTCAGCTAGTGTTTTCCTAGAGTTAGTCTTTTATTATAGCGTGGGTAAACGGATTAGATTGATCTGGCTTCAAAGTAAACACCAATTGACGAAGCTAATTAATAGAGGAGAATTCTATTCCGAGAATTCCTATGGCACTAGGTCAGGCATTATCTCTACCGTAAATACAAGGGGAAGCAAGCCGGTACTTGAATTGGCTGAAGACAGATCCGTGCTCTGGATATCAATAAAGCTGGAATTTATCCAGAACCTGCATAAAGTGTACTTTAGACCAAAGTAATGCCACTTTCTCCTCCACGCAGCTACAAACCTTCCGGTGGGTATTCGAAGTTTAAGGCTATGTACACCAGAGGGGAAGGATCCCGTTCACAAAGTTTCTTTTTTAATCGGTACTCTGGTTCCAACAATCATTAACAGCCATGTCCTGCCCATATGAGTATTCTCAAGATCTGTGACCCACCATTGGTAGATGTATACTTTAACTATTCGTGCGGGGTATCACATTTTTACTGATGTCTGCCTGCCATCCTGGCGTAAACGGATGCGATCTGCCCTACAAACCCCACAAATCGTAACATAAATCTATCTAGCAAGTTACAATCCGTATCGACATATTTCAGAAAAGTCGTAATATTGAACATAAGGTAGAATAGCAATACAAAGAAGAAATGTATGGACATAACGCATAAAAGAGGTGCAGAGCTAGCAGTGTTATCGGAGCAAGGAATTTAGTTTCCATGCCAGCATCGGCCTTGTGTTTGATTAATCAAATCTCAAGCCCATATTCTGAATGTACTCTCTGGTGTAGGCGGCTTCCTTCTCTCTGGTGGCGTTGTCCCACTTAAACTCGTCACCCATGATCTGGACAACCCCGTCGACGGCCTTGAGGGCTTCTCTGGCATCCAAGAAGGCCAATCTGGTTCTTCTAGCCAAGAAGTCGATCGGCTTTCTGGCATACTCGTTGCTAATGCAGTACTTCAACTCAGCAACGGTGAATGGGTACGCAAACGCGTTGTGGGTCAACTCGACAGACTCACCCTTGGCGACGCCCTGGGCCAATGGAACCGGCAATTTGTTCATCTCAGACTGCTGGTAGATTTCACAGACCAACGGAGCTCTGGTTCCGTAGTTGGCACTCAAATGAGAAGCCAAGTCGGACGGAATGTTGTATTCCTGGCACAAACGGGCAGACAAGGTGGACTCAAAGTTCTCACCACCGGCAAGAATGATGTCTCTGGTCTGGCATGGCTTGACGTCGGCAAACTTGAACTTCTTGACCACGTGATTGACAGTGTCTTCGGACATTTCTCTGTAGGTGGTCCACTTCCCACCAGAGATGGTGATCAAGTCGGACGGAGTTTCATAGACCAAGTGGGATCTGACAATCCCCTGGGTGGAGTTGCCTTCTGGGGCGTTTGGATCGACCTTTGAGGGGTCGCGGACCAATGGACGAATACCGGACCAGGCAGACAAGACGTCTTCTCTTCTGACTGGGAACTTGACGTAGTGCTGCATTTCGTTCAAGATATCCTGAATGTCGGCCTCGGTAGGAATTGGGTTTTCTGGCACGGAAGACTCTGGGTTGTCCGTGGTACCGGCCAAACATTTACCCTGCCATGGAAGGAAGAACATCACACGGCCGTCGGCGGTAGCTGGGTCCAACAAACCCATCTCTTTCGGCACGTAGTAGTCTGGGAAGATCACGTGAACACCGGTAGAAGGCACTACCATAATGGGCTTTTGCGGGGTGGCTGGCGGCAAGCCCTGTGGATCGTTATCCATCTCGAGGATGGTGTCAGCAAACGGACCGGTAGCGTTGACCACGGCGGTGGCCTTGATCTTGTACTCCTTGCCGGTTTCACGGTCCACGGCAACGGCACCCACGACCTTACCGTTTTCCTTCAATAACTGCTTCACCTCAACGTAGTTCAACACGGTGGCACCCTTCTCGGTGGCGGTGATCGCCAAAGAGGAGTTCATGCGGGAGTCGTTGAAGGATCCATCATGGTATACAAGACCAGCCTTGAGGGTAGAGGCGTCCAACATTGGAGCAGCGGCGATGGTTGCGTTCTTGGAGAGGAGGAACGAGTTACGCAAGTTCTGGGTACCAGCGAACAAGTCGTACATCTTGCACCCTGCCCAGAAGTAAGGCACCTGCCAGTACTTGTAGACCGGGATGATGATTGGCAAGACAGTGCACAAATGTGGTGCGGTGTTCAACATGTGCGCACGCTCATTGAGCGCCTCAATGACCAAGTCCAACTGCGCCTTGGATAACTGGAAAAAGGCCTTTTCTAAGTATCTAACACCGCCGTGGGCCATCTTGGTGGACTTGGAGGAGGTCCCACACGCAAAATCAGTCTTTTCAACCATACACACGTTCAAGCCTCTGGTCTGCGCGTCGAGCGCGGTACCGGTACCGACGGCACCACCACCAATGACAAGCACGTCAAATTTATCAGTGGTTTCTAACGTCTTCAACATAGCCTCACGGGTAGGAGGGGCTGGAAGGGATTTGACCAACGCCGGAAGTGGTGCCAAAGTGTGCTTTTGGTCATTGGACAACACGTTTTGCGTAAGAAGGACACCGCCGGTGGCAGCCGTGGCAGCTGCCAAGAAACGGCCCTTGGTAACAATCTTGAGGGATCTAAACATTACTGGTTTTGAAGAGAAAAAAAAAGAGTCGAAAAGAGGAAGCGTCAGGGGGGGTATAAATAGGAATAGGATAAGAGGGGAAATGGCCACGCTCTGAGTAGCTGAAAAACCCATGCAAAGACTTGCATAGGCTTGCTGCGTCTCGAGGAAATGTCCGTTGAGAGCATGCAGGAGAGACAGTGTTTAGTGGTGCGTCACAGTCGTACGTTAAAGCGCTGTTATGATGACTATTATTTTTATTATTGTTATATTAGTTCTAGGAGGATACCGCGCTAGGATTTGTGATTAACAGGCAGGAAGTGCGCTATGCGTGTAGGCAGGTCCGCGATGGCAGAGGTACCGAAAATCACTCCGGAGCTATACTAGTATTTCGTGCATGCGGAAAACGTGGAGACGGACCCGCCGTTTTGGATTGAGAGAAGAATGCTTGTTAAGCCCACACTTATGGACATTTTCTCCTACCTGAGTCTCCCAGACCGCGTGTTTTGGTTAATCTAATCTTATCCCAGATAGACCAATAGATGGCCGTAGATGCCGTTTCTCTGCTGGTTAGCATGTGATCGGGGTGACTAGTCGTGCGCCGCCTACGTCTACGGAGCTTCGCCGGCCGTCGGCTCCAACGCCCTAACCGGCCACATGCCTCGGCATGTGGCATGCGACTGTAAAGCCCCGGGCTCTTCCGAATAAGCTGGCAGTCGCTACGATGGACGCTGACCGCTAAATCTTCTCGTTAATACGTTCAAATACCTATGCGAATTTGAGATCATAACTTTAAAGCAAAAATAGAATGGAACTTCGGGCATCCAGCACCTGAGCTAATTGGTTACGGCTATTTGGGGGCTTGTGCACCAGACCTCGTCCTCTTGGCCTTGGTCTCATTCATGTGCTGGGGTATTTTTTTTTTGAGCAGGTGGAACATTGGGGCGTAAATATAACCCGCGTCGCAGCGATATAGAGTACTTCAGCTGACCCCCACCCATTGGTTTTGGATCCTGGCTTGGCCGTCAATGGGGAGGGTTTCACTTCTGCTTTTCATCCACGTCCTGTACTCCCGGAGCTGTGCAGCCGAAGTCCATAAAAAGTCGGGCGACATCTGCAGTGATACAATCGTGCTGCAGACATGAACCCCCTTTTGGGAAGTCCGAAACAGTTTTTTTTCGGACTTCTGAGTCCCATCCCAGCCGTGCCGGCGTTTTTGGCAGTATTGGGCGTTTCGCTCCGAGATTTTTGCTCGGAGTTCCAATCTATACGTTGTCATCAGGGTAATCTTTGACGCCCGCCATTTTGACCCTACTGTAGTCAACACCCACTAGACATGTTGCCTTTACGTGGATAAGATCGAGGCGAGTTCCGTGTTGAAGATTCCCTCCTAGTATAAACAACGGAATCTTTAACTTTTTAGTATCCACGGATTCAATAGCCCAGGCTCTCGTCCCGCTATCCATCCAGTAAGAAGCGGAAGACAATGCACAAGCGTCATATACTGACGCATGTAGAGTCTCGGGGATCGATCTACGTAAAACAAGGATTTGGTTAATTTCTCCGGGGTATATACGATCAATCGGACGGGATGGTTGGATCAGCTGTGCCCATTAGAGGGGAATACAGGTAGGTTGAGTTTTTTTTTGGTTTATGAACCAACAGGCCGATTGTAATGTTATCGTGCGAAGCCTCGAAGCTGTCAGACTTACTCCTGGCATGAACATCCACTACACAATCCTCTTCACTCACATATCAGAGACCAATACTAGCTGCGGGTGCTAGTGTCTCCAATTTAGCATACTATACACGTATGCATAAAATACCGGTTACCGAATACAAATCACCTAAAAAATGGTAGCGTTGTCTGGATGCTCTATTTTTTTTAGTGAGTTTGCTAATATTGAAATCAAGGATACTCAAGTAAAAAAGGATAAATCCAAAAGAACGATAACTGGAAAGGCCCAAAAGTAACATAAGAAGCTGAAAGCCAGTTAGCCTAACGTCTACATGGTTGGAAATTAGGATAAACATGAAGTAAAGCAGAGCAGCAAATAAAATGGCGATAAAGTAAGACTGAGATACATGACCAGAAAAGCAATGACGTTGAAAACAGTTATGGGCTACAATTACATTATCAAGGAGAATGGGGCGACCGTTATGACTTTCTCATAGCTTTGAACAATGCGGAACGGGCATCACCCAGATCCTCCTGCATATCAATCTCCGCTCCCATCCCGTCTCTCGCGGGTATGAGCATGGGCATACCCGCCAAGTTCATTGCCATGAAGTTACCGCTTCCTTGGAAGTCTGGGTAAAACTGGCCATACGCACCTGCTTCCATCAAACCGGTTGTTGGAGGCTTTTGGGCAATGTGGGCGGGGTCGATGAACCCGACATGTGACATGGATGCAGATTTGCTTAAGGTTCGACGATGGGTAGGCACTTCCGTATCCCGGATTGGGAAGTTGCTTCCGACATTTTCTCCATAGGCGTGGACATCCATCATGGAAATGTGTCTTACCGGGACGTTTCGCCGTGGAGTGTCGCGCATCATCTGTGCCTTCTGGGCGAGTTGCTGGGGCTGCAAAGATTCGTAGGCTGTCGGAGGAGGTGGACCGAAGCTGAAATCGTCCAGAGCAAAGGGCTTCTCGTCCGTCGCGGTGGGTGGAGGTGTAACTGGTCGCATCTCCATACCAAACGGTTGAAAGACAGGAAGCTCCTGGCCCAAAAGTGACCCGTACAGGTTGAGCACCATGGGCGAGCGCGAAATACCCGTAAAAAAGCTCTGATTCTTCAAGTTGAAGTTAGCAAAAGGTGAATACGAAAATGATTGTGAACGGATAAGCGCAGAGACAGGAGTTTTGGCGGTGAGAGTCTGGATTTTCTGTCTTGGGGTGGTTGGAGGGGCCTCCAGAGCCGGCTCAGGCTCCTTTTCCTCTTCCCTGGTCCGCTTTCTGGGGGCGCTAACCGAAGCTGGTTGACTAGAAGGCGTGGTTGTCTTGCCGTTGGTCAATATGGCTTTTCCATCCGCCCCAACCATGAGTTTTAACGAAAATCCACAGGATTTTTCTGGTTTAGCCTCCAGAGGTTTATCCTCTTTAGCCACCGTTCCCTTTACGGGCAATTTAAAGGTACGTCCAATGGTTTCTGCCTTTGGCACAAACACGCTCTGCTCTGTCCTGTCTTCTGGATCGGGGGATGAGCCAATTGCGCCCACCCGCAAAACGTGTTTGTTCGTGGTTTCGGGCGAATAGAAATAGCCCGTATAGAGCGGCGATGAATGGATGATGGAGCTGAAAGATGAGGCCGTCGGGGACAATGGCGTGCTCCCCATCGCGCCGTAACTATAGCTCATAGGTGACGAAAGCAAGACTGACGGGTTGAGACACTGCTGAGGCGAAGAGGCTGAGTCGGCCCGTTTGGGGGTCTTTATAACGTTGACAAGGCTGTCATGGGTACGCGAGCGCGGCGGCGGCATGGCGTGCGCAACTGCGCGTGTGGTGTCGCGCGGCATCAGTTGCGGTGTTGCCGTCTGCAGCGAGGCCCTGCGCGCCTTGCGAGGCTGGCTCGGCGACACCTTCATCATCGGCTTAACGCGCAGAAACCGCGGTGACCCGAGTTTGAGCATTGCCGCAGACGTGTCCGCTGCCGGCAGGCTGTTGAGCGTGGACGTGGCGAAGGTTGACTGATTCTGGTTTGCGACGTGGACATTCTTCGGCGGCCGGCCGCGGCGGCGTTTCATGGGTGTGTCTGGTGCAGCGTTGGAGATAAACGGACTGGAGGTGTGTGAGGACATGAGGGCAAGCGGGCGTAGAAGAGATGGGGTACTGGGACTTGAATCAGGGGAAGGGTGTTACTACGTTCGTAGGGGATGAGTCTCGGCGAGGTTGTTCTCTCCAATGCGAAAATATACGGGAGCTTGGGGGGAGTTGTGATAATACTATTGAGTGCCCGTGTGTATCTTTCAATGATGGCTTTAGAAGTTAGGGCTCAAGGGGTAGGAGCTCACTAATTGATAGTTTCGGGGGTGGAGCAAGGGGCAATTCAAATTCCGACAGAATGATCAGAAGGGAAAGTTACAATCCAAAATTGTAATCTGAAAGGGGGTCAAGATCCAAAAGTGAGATCAGAGTAAAGGCGAGAAATTGCAAAGGGCAGTTGGTCCAGGGGGGGTATTCCTTCTCGTTCACTGAAACGGCAACCTTTGGGCGATTAAAGGTTCTGCGGTATCTTAGCTTGGGTGTACGCAGGGATGTACTTTTAGAGACCAAGAAGCTCAACTGATAGTTACCTGAGCAATGAGTATATATCTATCACTGCATTGGGAAAGCTTTTCTGTTTGCTAAGCACGGAAGACTGAGGGGTGCTGCCTCTGTTGGTGAGCACTGTAGGATCGAGATCGCCGGTGCGCGAAAAGTTTCATTTCCGCATTGGGTTAATTGTGCGCGTGCAAGGCGCGTCGTGTTACAGAAAATTACCTAATTGGGATCCACTCGACGCGACGCCCAGGCTACCACTTTGCAGTGTGACCGCACCAGCACGGAAATGTAGCAACATTTTCTGGATCTGTAGGTTTGGGGTTGCCTGGTGGGTTATTAGTACCTGCGGGAATTTACTGGCGCTGATCGTTCGGTGTTTGATGTTTTCGTTCCAAGATCAAACCATTAATCAGATTGTGTACGACAATAGTGACGTGATTAAAAGGGGGTAATTATAAATCAGGAACGGTGAAAGTTAATGTACTCATCAAACCAGGATTTGAATCCTGATGATCTTGGGACCAGACTCTAAGTATGAGGCACAACTCGGGTGACCTTATACTATCACCATATGAGATTTTCGACAGTCATTGTTGTAATTCCCGAACCCTTATACCCTTTAAGCTCCACTAATCCCAGTGGCACCCTCGCCCTTACCACTAGATATACAACGGGGTCATTTGAGCTTACATATATTAGCTTACATATCAAAGACACTGGTTCAGCCTAGATACTATTTGGTGCAATTCCTTCTGTGAAAGCCTGAATACTAGTCCATTCAGGGTTTATCGTATTTCGTTCAGAGCTTCCCCGGGTTTTCCTCGACCCACAACGGCTCGTCGACAAAATACAACCAGCTTACGCCGTTCCAGCTGCACACAACCCCTACGGCACAGTAGATGCTCATGACCATTAAGCGCAAGAACTCGAAGCGCTGTAATGCGGTGACTCGGACGCTGAGGATGTCCATGAGACCCAAGCCTGCGACAAGCGGAACAAGTCCCAAGATGTAGCACTTGACCATGCGGTCCATGAAGAAGACGCGACGTGTAATGGATGACAGGAGCTTGGCTACCTCCTCGTACGACAATGTGTATATGACGAGCCATACAAAGGTGTACAAGCATTTAAGGAGCCACTCGCCGCTGGTGTAGATTAGCGGGAAGAGCGACACGAAGCCGCTACTAACGAGCAAGTTAAAGCTGCTGAGGAGGCGTTTATCCTGGATAACCAAGAAGGAGAAGGGGATGACCACTAACATGATGGCCTTCTCGTGCACGTGCCAGCCAAAGAGGAAGGATGCAAACGCGCAGAGCGTCATAGAGCCCATGAAGCGGTTGAAAGAGGGCTGAAACAAGACCGGGAGAAGACACATGACCTGGTAAAAGACCGTTAAATAGAAGGTAACCCGAGGCGTGATCTGCGGTAAGACGAGGAACTCTACGTCACGCACCAAGCCACGCGTGTTCTGTGCAAGTGCCTCGGGTGTGAGCGCCGCAAGCACGTCGTGGTGGAAGTAGCTGGAGATTGTACGTGCGACGCCCGGCACGTGGAGGCACATCTGGACGAGCACGCGGTCTGCGAACGAGTAGAGTGCCCAGATGTTTGGCGCCCAGTAGGCGTGGGTCAAGCCGCGACTGAAGGGGAACAAGCGGGCGAGGAGCTGCGGAATCACGCCGTAATACACAAATGGTGCGAATGCGAGTGTGAAGATTCCGAGCACGGTGGCCCCAAGCTTGCACAAGTTGCGCCAGCGCACAAGATTGACAAAGGAAGCGACGCCCGTGGGGTAGTGGATATCTAGACAGTAGGCCCTGAGGAGAAACACAAAGAACGCCGGCGCGAGATAGAGGAAGATGTGCTTGAAGCAGAGAAGTACCGCAAAGAAGGCACCGCAGAGCACGTAGCGTTCGAGCCGCGCCGCCGTAATGGCCGCGATGAGGAGTCCGAACATCATGCCGTTGTATTGGAAATGGATGTGGTCTACAATCATCAACCCGGGGGATAAAACGAGCGAGGATGCTACCACAAACAGCTGCTGCTTTGCGTTGCGGCGATTCGGCGCCGTGTTGATAAACCACTGAAGCGCGCAATAGAGCACAATCTCACTGAGAATCACCGATGTGCGCTGGAACACAATTGTGGGCCAGCCATACGTTCCCTTGGCAACGATATCCAAGCAGCCGTCGTCGGCAACGGTCTGTGTGACGAACTGAGAGACAAACCACTCAAAGTAGGCGAAGAACGGAGGGTAGTCAAGCGTCCACTGCGACGTTTCTTCGAGGTACCACTCACGAAGCGGCAAATTGTGTGTAATTGAGAGCCAGTTTCGGTGCACATCAAAATCAGTGGAATGATATGCTGAGAAGAGGAGGATTTTTATCGCAAGCGAGCCGATAAAGTGATTGTAGAGCGAGCGGTTGGTTGCGACGCGGACGGCCTTGGGCGCGCTGGACGTGGCCTTAGGCTCAGGCCTAGTTACCGTTATTTTTGTATCAGGCATTATATGGAAATAATTGGGTACGTGGGATTTGACCCTAGATTAAAGTGTGTTAATAGCCGGGACGAGAATATTGGAGCTGGTTATGTTTTGCTGACGTAAAAGGCAGTAGGGTCGATTTTTATGACGCGTGCGGCGTTTGGTTAGGACACTACTAAATGAGTGAAAGGCAAGGATGGATCGATGTGTTTAGTGAAATATACCTGTACCAGTCTTTACATAATAGCCGCAAGGATGGAAATAAACAAGTTTCTGGGTCTTTATAGTCATGTTTTGGGGCCAGTAAATCCAGTAGGAAAAACAAACACCTCCAGAGCTCCGTACCTTCTACAATCAGTTAAGCGTGCGCTCTCTTTTTTCATTGCGTGTCACAAGGTATCCGTTATGAAATTAGAATTAGTGGGTATATTATCATAAGGTGTTGTGGATGGGGTGAACCAATTCCTTAATCATAAGGATGCTAACCTTGTTATTTTTAATACTCGACAGTAAATACTGATATAGATGGCGATGTATAGGGTTTGAAAAAGGTACACGGGCGGGTTGTAGCTAGTAGGTCGCGAGACTCCATAAGGTTAGAAGCGAAGATTGTGTGAAACATAAACTATACAGAAGATCACATTGCACGAGTTGCTGAATATGCACCATAAATATAATGAAATATACTCTGTATAATTAGATAAGCATATAAAGCTCTGATAGCTCTTGTTGGGTCAACTGGATTGATCCCGTCTTCACGAAATGTGACTAGGGGCATGTAAACAACCTATCAATGATGTAAGTTGCATATTTTCAACTGAGGAGGCTGCTCAAGGTTTAGATCACTAGTCCGCTTGGTGTTAAGGAATTTTTCCCCACCGTCGTTTAGGTACTCGGGCCCCAACGCAAGCACACTAGGGGAGTGTTAAACGGGAAGTTATCGAATTAAAGAGCGGGTGTTTCGCTACAATGACAGTTACTATGTATGTAACCCATTCAAAAGCTAGGGGTCTGTATGGTATTCCACAAAAATGTAGTGCCTTTCTAACCCATGACAAAGCGAAGATTGAAGTTGTGTACCATTGGAGAATGTGTGGTAATATGTATCACCTAGTATACTTCACCCTCTTACATTCTCGAAGATTACTCGGTCTACCGGTTTCCGGTTTCTCGGAGGTAGGTTCAAATTCCAGTGGCTGTTCCTTCTTGGTTACCTGTTTTCTCTTTTGAATTCTGGAGCCTCTACCCTCTGCGTGGTTCACCGGGGTATTCTGAATGATTTTAGCCGTTATATCAATCTGCGGCTTGTTTATGACGACACGGGGGTTGGCTTTGTTCGTCATAACTCTTTTCCCGTTATTGTTCTTTCCTGGTCCTGGAGTTACAGGGAGGGGATACTTTCTGGGTCTGCCCTTCCCTCTTTTCACAGTCACTTCCTTCTGTTCTGGTTCCTTCACCTTCCGGGGCTTTTCTGCCTTCTGGGGCTTCGTCTTTTGCCGTCTTTCAAGACACGTTGGACAGTACCACTTGCCTCTAGGGGGCGTGGTCAACCCGACGCAACCGTTGTGATACCATTCGATCTCACACTTGGGGTCATCACAGGCGACCATTTCTCCGTAGAAGACATCCCGACATGTACAGTAAAGCTCAGGTTCGATCTCAAAGACAGCAGCCTTTTTGGTCTTTTTGGTTACCGGAACAGGTGCTGTGATTTCCACCTTTTTCTCTTTGGCTTTTCTCCCGGGTTTGGATTTCAGCTTTGTGGTATTAGGTTTCGCATAAATTTTGATTTGAGCGCCAGAATGTCTTGTTGTAGTTCTAGCTTTGGATTGCAATCGTAACTCCGCTTTGGAAGATATGGGCTCTGCCCTCTTCACGACATATATCCCTCTGTTTGTCTCCCCCTCAGTCCCTGGTCTTACACCGTTAGATGAAGCCTCCTTGAGGCGCAACCGTATTGCAAGCTTGCCGTTTTCCACGGGATTATCCACTAGTGTCACCACCCGGTCTAGTTTGTGAGGCAGAAGCTGTGCGCGGGTTCGCTTGGTAATCACCACATTCTCCGATTCGGCTATAACGAGAGGAGTGCGTAGTTTCACGACAAGAGGTTCGGTGGAACGGTTACGCGGGTTTTCCTTGTAGTACTGTACCAATCGTTTTCGCTCCTCCCGTTTCCATTCCTCGTTTGCTAGTCTGTTGTGCATCTCTGCCTGAAGGTTGAATTCCGATACATCGTGTTGCAAGGCTGCCTTGTGGTTGGTCAAAAGCCGCTGAAACCGCCGGGCTTCGTGCACTGCTTCCTGCTTAAGCATATGGATGGCAGTCCTGATCTGGACGATTTGGTGGATGGCTATTTGCTCAGAATTCCTTGGGTCTGCTTGTAGTGTGCAGAGACACGTATTGAGGTCTGTGGAGAGTGTTTCAACCCTCATATTGAGCAGCTGGAGCAACCAGAGCGACCGCACCAAGTCGCATGGAAAGTGATCTAGGGCTGGAGAGGGTTAGTATCAATTGGAAATCACAGGGTAGGGGACACTTACTCGAAATAAAAGACAGTCGGGCATCTGAGGCTTCCATTGTGGGTGTGTGGAGATGGCGTGGATGAGATGCAAAATCCTTTTGATAAGCCCGTGTTTATATTCGACTTCGCGTTTGAATTTCGCGGATTTGAGGCGCGCGAAAACTGCCGGTTTTGTCACCAGAGCATTGTATAATATAAGGGGTTAATCGAGGGGGAAGTAAAAATATCTTTAAATCAATTTTGCTATATATGGAGCTTGGTGATGCTTACACGCATTTGGTTGAGAGGGTTTCACCGTTTTGCTATCAAACTAATGTGTTGGGAGCTGTTCCAGGGGAGCCACATTGAGTAAAGCCACATAAGGGATTTGGGCGAGAGGTAGACGATTAATTTGGTAAGAGGGTCTGAAGAAAATTATCAGGGATGTCCTTATAAAAATTAATTTTGTCTTTTAGTGCTAAGGGGCACCAATCATCATCTGTGTAATAACGCAACACGTTGGACTGTACGATGAAGCCCTTACGTAACGTCAAAGAGTCAACTCACAAGATGGATGTTACTGGGAAAGTGTCAAATCAGAACGAATCTTTGATCCCGCAGTTCAAATTTAATTCCATACCTAAGATATTCCTTGATTCTTAGGCTTCATCAATTAGCTTATTGTAAATTCCGAAGCTGTGGCCTACAAACGAATCAGACGCCCCCCAAAGGTAAGCATTCAATCACGTCCCATTGGCTACACACAGCCCCAGGAGCTGATCCAGCCAGAGCCAACCCCAAACAAGGATATAATATAGCGCTTGGAAGCATAAACATAATAGTTTTATATTTGCTACCATTGTATCAGTTTGCCAGTTCTAACACCATCCTGCGCGTACTGCCATTCTTACCGCGCCTTACCATACCATGTCCTCTCTATAGCTACGGACACTGGTTGCGGACAGGCTGTTGGCCTCGCTACGCCTACACCGCAATCCAAGCTCAACCTCAAATTTTTCTCCCAAACTGCAACGCCCAATTCGGAACAAGCACCAACGAATTACTAAGCATTCAGTATGTTCTACTGAATCGCGTCAAACCAATGGACTGGTGTCCGGTGCGCCGCACGGCAAACCGGGTAATAACACTACTCACGGCACACAGGTCGTCCGCCCACCACCACCTGCAGCCCTCCAACCAATGACAGCCACTCGATTCTCAATTTTCACTACACACCACCAGCGGTGCTGACGTTCGTGCTCTAGGCTTACAACCTTGAAAAAAACTCAAAGTGCAAAACAACACCTCCCCCTTCATGGTATCATTTATCACACAGCAAACATGTTTAGATCCGTCAACAACGCCGCCAAGCGTGTGAATGTTGTATGTATCAATAACGCTCGTCAGAATGACAAGCCAATGGAAAGCCTCCGACGAGGACAGGGAAGAGTTGGGTACGGGATAGGGATTATCATCGAGTATCAAGGAATATAATGGAACTCATGTTGTACCTCGATTGAGTTTTCTGACGTTAGAGGCCATTAAACTGATGTTTCAGTTAAAAGCTAGCGTTGAATACCGTCTGTTATGCAACCATTTCTACACTCTCGTTGCTCTCTGGTTATCCTTCAGATGTACTCTGTTGTCATTATGTTGCTCTGCTACACCATATCCTCACCGACCCGTCGCTTGACTATAGCTTCTCCGTTGTCTCCTTCGCTCAGACCAGTACTAACCCCTTCAGAGATCGTTCACCACCGCTACCAACCCAGCTGCTACCCAATGGAGCAAGTTCTTCGTTGCCACTGCTGCTGCTACCGGTTTGTCCGCCTCCTACTTGTTGTACAAGGACACGGCCTCCGCCATGACGGATGCTGAGCACGGTATGCACCCACCCGAATACCCATGGTCCCACAACGGTATCTTTGAGACCTTTGACCACAGAGCCATCCGTAGAGGTTTCCACGTCTACCAGGAGGTCTGCGCGGCGTGCCACTCCTTGGACCGTGTTGCCTGGAGAACCTTGGTTGGTGTCTCCCACTCCGTCACTGAGGTCAAAGCCATGATCGAGGAATTGGAGTACGACGATGAACCAGACGATGAGGGTAACCCAAGAAAGCGTGCCGGTAAGTTGACCGATTACATCCCAGCTCCATATGCCAACGAGCAGGCTGCCCGTGCTGCCAACTCCGGTGCCCTTCCTCCTGATTTGTCTTTGATTGTCAAAGCCAGACACGGTGCTGCCGACTATGTCTTTGCCCTTTTGACCGGTTACCCAGACGAGCCACCAGCCGGTGTTGTCTTGCCTCCAGGCTCCAACTACAACCCGTACTTCCCAGGTGGTGCTATTGCCATGGGTAGGGTCTTGTTCGACGGTTTGGTTGAGTACGAGGATGGCACCCCAGCCACCACCTCCCAGATGGCCAAGGATGTCTCCGTTTTCTTGAACTGGGCTTCTGAGCCAGAACACGACGAGAGAAAGAGATTGGGTTTGAAGTCTATGATCCTTTTGTCCACCATGTACTTGGGTTCCGTCTGGTTGAAGAAGTTCAAGTGGGCCAACATCAAGACCAGAAAGATCACCTTCACCCCACCAAAGAAATAAGTCTGTAATAGCGTTAACCCAAAAGTTTGTTTTGATTCATCGACCCTACTACAGATTCCTTTCTTCCCTTCATCCCCATTATTTATCTTATACATATACATATTATTCGTACTTTGTTTTCCACTGATGCTCTTGTAGAGTAGACATAGACCCAACGTGACCGTATCAGTAACATTTGGTTCCTTGCCGGAGATTCCCCGCCTGCTAGTCATACCGGTGTTTATCTAAAAGCATTAAAAAAAGTTGAACCACTACAACATGCTAGTACTTGAAACCGACATCTAGCTAATTTATTCGGCCTACGCATATCTGTCAGTATTATGTTGTATTAGAGAAACAAAACTTAACGAGAAAAAAAAAGGTAAAAGACAAAAAACCAAAAAAAAAATGGAACGTTTGTCTCAATTGAATTAATTAAAATCTGGAAAAAAAAAAGGAAAAACCAAAAAAATTAATGGAGGTGAAGCGCTAGCTAATATCGTGTACTAGAAGTTGGTGGAGAAGAGGCGATGAACGGCAGATGCCAGAAGATCGGTATGCCTCATGAGGTGCGAGTGAGTGAGCGAAGCTCATGACTATTCTGGGAGGGACTGATGGAAGCTGGGTTAACCAGATGAGGAGTAAAAGTGTGTGGAAAGACAGGGAAAGTTATAAAAAATGGGTAAAAGCAAAATGGAAAAAAAATAGGCACTAATGAAAATTGGCAAAGATTTCTTTTTTTTGGATTCTTTTTTGGAAGATTTTTATGGTTTTTTTTGGTGGGACAAAAAGGGTTTTAAACTTTTTTTTGCTGTAGAAAGCAGACAAAAACATGGGAAAACAGAAGGTAAATAGGGATAGAAAAAACACACATGGAGGTGATGGTAGGAAGATTGGATGGGGAGGAAGGATGAAACTTTTGAGGGAAGGACAAAAACAATTAAAAATCGCAATAAATAAAAGGAGGGTAAAAAGGGGGAGGGACAAGTAAAAGGAGACAGCAAAGAAGACGTGAAGCTATCCGAGAAAGGCTCTTAGCAGGCAGTACCCAAGCTGAAGTTGTTGCCTTCGGTGAAACCATAGTTGTAACTAGAATAGTTACAGCCGTAGTTTTGCTGAGGAGCAGCGTAACCTTGGTAATAGTTAGAAGCAGCATGGGAGGTGGCTGGGGTGTAGTTTGAAGACCAGATGTTGACTGGCTTTTGAGCTTGACCCTGACCATTGTACCAGCCACCGTAGTTGTTACTTTGATAGTATGACTGCGGTTGATGTTGCTGGTACTGATAGTGCCTGTTGTCGTAGTTGCTGGAGGCTGGAGAATCGTAGTATTGGTAGCCAGGATCCATTACTGGAGAGGTGGTGTCGACTGGAGAGGACACAGCGACCGGGGTGCCCGCCATCATGGCGGAGTGGCCCATAGCCGGAGTGGCGTAAGCAGCAGGAGAGGCAATAAGAGAAGCCGGGACTGGTGCCACCGGGGTACAATATTTAGTACACCAGGTAGACCAGCACTGGTCTAATGTGTCGTAGCCAAACGTGTTGTTCAAACTCCAGGACACCTTCATCAACCAGTCTCTTTCTTCCTTATTGACCAAAGCGATCGGCAAACCGGTGGCTTCGGCCCAAGACTTGTTGGTGAAAGTGTTGTCGTCGTTAAACTTGTTACCCAAGACAAAGGCAATACACAAATTGACAAAGACTTCGTTTTCAGAGTACACTGGAGCAGCAAACTCTTGTTCTTCGTCTTCGTCCTGCGATGGGAACCTTTGGTTGAGGTACATCAAGGATAACATGATGGTAGACTTGGGTAATCTAGTAGCACTCAAAACAGACTTAACGAGATTCTCGAAGCTGATGCTTGGAGAGTCGTGTTTCTTCATTAAACCATACGAAATCCAAGAAATGAATCTGGACATCTGGTCCAAGTCGTAGTCCAACACGGCAGAGACCCCACCGGTAACAGCGGCGGCAGCCGCCGCAGCTTCCTGTTGGTGGAGCTGTTGTTGGAAGTCGTACTGGTAGGTTTCGTACGAGTTGGTATAGCCGCCATACTGGTACATCACAGATCTGGAATGAGCGTGGTGTGGTGGGGGGATGTGGTAGGCGCCGTAGGAGGATGACTTGGAGTATTGGTGGGAGGCCGTTCTCTGGTGGTAGTCGTAAGAGGGGTGAGCAACGTCATAGTGACCGGACACAGCGGCGGGACCGTAAAAGTCGTTGGCTGGGTAGTAGGACATGGCGGAGCTCTCTTGCGATACGTTCAAAAAGGGGAGGTAACAAGTATATATATGTTCAGCAAAGAAATATATATATCGAGAGTGGGTAGAGAGGTATATATGATAATCTAATAGATATATACCTAGTATCCGGGATGGGTTGGGAAGGGTATTATTCTTTTGGTTTCTCTTGTAGTATCAAGGTTTGAGTAGGACGATAACTTAGTAAAAAGGTCGTTCGAACAATGATACGATAAAGAGGGGAGCTTCAAGAAGATAATAGGGGTTGGAACGAAGAGTTGTTTTATGAGGAGGAAGAATGAAAGTAAAACGAACTCGTTTCGACGGCTTTTGCCGCCGTTATATACGGAGGCTGCGTTTTGCTTTGTGTGCAGTAGACGTGCCTCGGTGGAGCAAAGCGAAAAAAAAAAAAAAAAAAAACTTTAGAATGTGCTTGTACAGACTCGCCCATGCACTTGCCGTACAGCAGCTCTGGTATTCTTCCTGTTCTGGTTAGCTTGGGTTTGCGACACATACCTCTCAGTGCATGCAAAAACAATTTATATCTGGTAATGCAATTTTTATCTGGTAATAGTTGATGGGGAGAGCCCCAGCTGGCCCTTTGGAAGTAAATATTTTTACATTCACATGCATGAGTAAATCCACACAGGCTATGACTAAATACAGTTTCCTGAGGACGTTCCTATGGAAGTCTAAAACAAGCCAATGGGCACGACGAGACCATTTAGTTTCTGTGTCAACCAGAAAGATGATCTAGAACCTAATCACCCGTAATCTTGAATATTTTCTTTTTCAACAGTAGCTGAGAGGTAGCAAATAGTGCTTGTAGTTGTTTTGGCTTGCCACTCTCGGAGTATACTAGTCGCATTCTGTATGAAACACCCAGTTGTCCAGTGTACAGGATATGCGAACCTTGCTTTTTTTTGCCGTGGGATATATTCTTTTTTTCGCAACCGTAACGCCCGTGGCGAAAACGAAGCCCGCCTGGGGCCACGTTGCCTCGCCTCCAACAAGTGAGCGCATGCTACTCTGCTTGAGTCTAGTTTGTCAGCAACTGACTTTTAAGATCAGATCTTTTAACTTTATGACGTGTATACTTTGCCACTTAGAGACCTGAGTGCTACGCTTGTGCATTCTGATTGAACCGGAGCTTCGCCCCCTTTTAAAATTTATCGATTGGGGAAAAAAAAAAAACGTTAATCAGCGATCCGATATACAGGGACCAAAGTGCGGGCTGGAACGATGGATTTTTCTATAGTACGTCATTTGTTGATCGCAAATCGTACTCCCCATAGCCACCATCAAGCTATCTAAGGCTTCGCGAAATGGTTACCAAGCAGAGAGCCGGATTCTACCGGACACATGACTCTTTCTGCACCGTGACCACCAGTTTGTGTCATTTAGGCCGTGCTCATCCGTATCTGCAGAAGTTATGCGGCGCTGCAAAACCATACACAAGGATCGTTAACACCGAGATTGTTTGCTGGTCTACATGCATTTATCCTGTGTTTGGTAAATTTCTTTTTCAGTTTTATGTTGACATTTCCTAGAACGGGAATAATGTATGTTATCTCGCTCTATGGCGAAACCAGTCTGGCCATGGCGATGTTATCTAATGTTAGAAGTCTTTGTACGGGATATCAGTTTTTCAGTTGAAAACTGTTGACTTCTTGACTAGTATCGCCAGAAACCATAATAACATAGCTCAAAAACCACAATAACACAGCTCAAGCATGGATAGAAATTACAAATATTGCGGTGCCGTACAATTTTCACTGTTGTCTGGACATTCACCAACGTATGCATATAAATACTCTGTAGACTGGTACCCTGATAGGTTTAAGGGGCAAGAGATTATGGCCCCTAATTATTGGCGAATATTATGGATCCTCTCTGCGCGTGAAGATAAAACACGTATATTTGAGTGCCTTTTGAAACCCCGAGTGTTTGTTTACAGTCATTCACCACAATAATTCAGATTAAAAAAGCACTTTTGTATTAGCATTGAGTTTTTGCCGACAGTACACAGAAACACCTATGATGCTAATTACTAACTCTTATCGCCCAGAACTTGCCATTCCAGCTATAGGCACCGGATGGGAGAAAACTCAGAGCCATCTGCACCATGCAGGAAAAAGTGACAGATCGAAATTTGGCTGAAAATCTGAAAATAATTTTTTCCTCCCCGCGCGTATATGAGTCAGAGCCTTAAATTTTTGCATTGGAAAATTAGGAACACGAATGGTTCTGATTCACCAAGAGGAAAAGCCCTACAAATGGTTTTTTTTTTATATATATAAACTAGTTATATGTATTAGAGAACCGTTGAACTGTTGAGAGCCTATTATGAAACCTGAGAAAAAGTAAGAAGAAAAGAAGAGCCGTAAAAAGATTAGAATAACATGAGGTGTTGTGATAGTCTATAGTCATAACATCCGAGGATGGGGATAATGAGAAAAAAATGCGAAAGAAAACAACTGAGAAAAAACGAGTTGAGCGTAGTTTCATGTCTTTCTAATGAGGGGAAGCGCTTAGAGCACCAACTCCTTTGGTTGTTCCCAGGTGGAATCCTGGTTGGTGAAGTGACCATAGGAAGCAGTCTTGAAGTAGATTGGCTTGGCCAAGTCCAACTCCTTCACGATAACACCCGGTCTCAAGTCGAAGTTCTTTCTGATGATGACGTTCAACTCATCAGAAGAGTACTTGGAGGTACCGTAAGTGTCAACGTAGATGGACAATGGCTCAGCAACACCAATGGCATAAGAGAACTGCACAAGGGCTCTTCTGGCCAAACCGGCGTGGATAAGAGACTTCGCGACCCATCTGGCGGCATAGGCGGCGGATCTGTCAACCTTGGAAAAATCCTTACCGGAGAAAGCACCACCACCGTGAGCACCCCAACCACCGTAGGTGTCAACAATGATCTTACGACCAGTCAAGCCAGCATCACCCTGTGGACCACCGATGACAAATCTACCAGATGGCTGGATGTGGTACTTGGTCTTCTCGTCCAAAAGGTGGGCTGGAATAACCTTCTTCACAATCTTGGCAATGATCTCGGTTCTCAAGTCCTCGGTGGAGATCTCCTCAGAGTGCTGGGTGGAGATGACAACGGTGTCAACTCTCAAAGGAATGACGGCACCGTTGTCGTTCTTGTACTCGATGGTGACCTGGGTCTTGGTGTCTGGTCTCAACCAGCCCAATTCGCCGGATCTTCTGGCATCAGCCAACGCGGCGTTCAACTTGTGAGCCAACAAAATGGTCAATGGCAACTTTTCTTCCGTCTCGTCGGTAGCGTAACCGAACATGATACCCTGGTCACCGGCACCCAACTCTTCAAGAGCCTTCTCGTAGTGCAACCCCTGGGCGATATCTGGGGACTGCTGCTCAATGGCAACCAAGACGTTACAGGTCTTGTAGTCGAAGCCCTTGGCGGAGTCGTCGTAACCAATGTGCTTGATGGTGTCACGGACAACCTTCTGGAAGTCGATGTTAGCCTTGGTGGTAATTTCACCAAAGACCATAATCAAACCGGTCTTGGCAGCGGTTTCACAGCCGACCTTGGACATTGGGTCGACAGCTAAGCAGGCGTCCAAGATGGCGTCAGAGACCTGGTCACAGATCTTATCTGGGTGACCCTCACCGACAGATTCGGAAGTGAAGAAGAAAGTTTCGGCTGGAGCAGACATTGTAGTGGCAAAGAGTTGAGATAGAGAGAAAAGAAAAGGAGGAAAAAGGCAAGTTTTTTTTCAGGGGGGTGCCGGGCCTTTTATCTTGGAAATTTTCGCAGGCCAACGTTTAAAACTGTGAAAAATTATGCATACAGTTTTAGGTCTCTCACCCAACGAATGCCCCCCGAGCTATCAGATGTATCATAGCACGTGATCTGTACGACGATGTTTCTTTTTCACCATGTGATGAGCATTAAGGGAGGCTTTGGACAGGCAATTGTCACGGATACCAGTTCAATTTTACCTTTTTCCTGAGCTGACTGTATATCTAACGAATATTACTCGGTACGTTCCTCAAACATAATATCGCTGGTGCATCCGGTTTGGCGGCTTCTTCTGGGGGTCGAAAACTGTGGCTCTGGCTTCCAGAGTGTTCCTGTGTGCAGAGACCTGCAGGCATGGTGGCCGGAGTCAATTAAGCCGTCTCAAAGTGAAAAGTTTATAGACCTAAACGTGCAGAAAAACGCGGCTGCATGCCGATTCAGACATGTCCACGGTTGTCGCCATGGTAAGCGATAAACGACCGTATACAGGAGGCTGTCATAAGTGTTCTTCGGCGGAGAAGCGTGCGGTGCTGTAAAAGTTTATGAGTTATTACCTTGCATAAGACGGTCTGGTGAAAGTGTCTTAGTGACGAGCCTAAAAGTGTACGGGTCATGTTTTAGCTCGACCTGATTTGTCTAAATGCAGCCATCTCGTGGGTGAATGATCGTTAGCTGTAACCGTGATTGCGTAATATACTGTGAAATTGTAGGGCATACTGAGGCTATTGGCGCTTGGCCACGGGGTGAGAAGTTGACGCGCTCCCCTTATTTACACATGTAAACTAGGTTGGCATGCACTCCCCAGATCGATCCAACAAAACCAGACACCACGGCAAGCATGTGACAGTGTATAATGGGGTAGGTATCTCATCGGTACAATTTCGAATTACTAGCTCCACAAATCAGCTGGCTCGCACCGTGATGTGGGTTTGTTTAGGTGTTATTTTCCATTATTCTTGCCGGATACAGTCCATAGCTGGTGCTGTTTCCTTGGAAAGTTCGGCCTTCCTCTTCAAGCCCAAGGATTTCGGAGTTGTACCTTTGGATCTGCTTATGTTTGCTTAATTTTTGTTTATGCCTCAGAAATCACCAGTGGATTTCCCTTCTGTCGCCTAAGCTACGCCGTGTACTGTAATCACCGAACCCGCAATGCCGTCTATATAACTGCAAAAGTGAATAATTTTGGAAGGCTGATGCGATCGGGGCATTATATACCTTTATACCCGTTGCAATTTTAATAGGCTGAAATATGGTAATTGCCTATAAATTCGTTCAAAGTCATGGACCGGTGCTATACCGCGGCCATAGTGAAGATGAGCTATTATGACTGATACCCCGTCTCTAATGTACTCCTTTATTCAGCTCATAATCTCATCAAAATTATGTCAATATCCAGATCACCTTTCTCAATTTCAGTCTAGGTTTGAAATATAACTTATACCCCTCGAACAGCCGATAAGAGAGAAAAATGGATCATGGCACGTTCCTGTAATCACGTGCCTCGTCACACCTCGCTGTGTAGGCTTCTGATTACGAGCACTGACGGAATTTTTTCTTTTCCTATTTTTTTTTTAATAGCGATGAGCTATGAAAAATTTCAGCCTGTGTGCATCTGATAGTGATAACTTACTCAGCACATAAAGCAATGGCGAAAAATCTAACGAAGGCGTCAGTTAAGGCTACTAAGATGGCTGAGGCCCCAGTCAGAAAGAGAAAGCAAGAAGAATCTGAGGATGAGTCTTCTGACGAAGAGTTCTCTGTCGCGGGTTTGATCGACGACGAAGCCAGTGAGGACGAAGAAGAGGAAGAAGAAGAGGAGGAGGAGGAAGAAGAAGAAGAAGAAGAAGAAGAAGACTCTGAGGATGAGCTCAATCGTCTTTTGGGAGAAGAACAAGATATCAGCGACGTCGACTCTGACGAATTTTCCGATGAACCTAAAGATGACACCAGATCCATCACCGACAAGTTATCTGGAGTGAAAATCAGATCCTACTCCACCTCCTCTGCAGAACAGTTCATTGAAACAGAGTTTGCGGACGGTACTCCTCGCCTCATCAAACCGGAAATCAACCCTGTGTATGACTCTGACGACTCCGACGCGGAGAACTTCAACACCATCGGGAATATTCCACTTTCTGCATACGAGGAACTCCCGCACATCGGGTACGATATCAACGGGAAGCGTATCATGAGGCCAGCCAAGGGTTCTGCCTTGGAACAGTTATTGGAGTCCATCGACTTGCCTGAGGGGTGGACCGGGTTGCTCGATCAGAATACCGGTGCGTCGCTCAACTTGACGGCCGAGGAGTTAGAGCTCATTCTGAAGATTCAAAACCACGAACAAACAGACATGGGCATCAACCCGTACGAGCCCACCATCGAATGGTTCACCTCCCGTACCGAGGTGATGCCTTTGACGGCCATCCCGGAACCAAAGAGAAGATTTGTGCCGTCGAAGCACGAAGCCAAGCGCATCATGAAGATCGTCAAGGCTATAAGAGAGGGCAGAATCGTGCTCAAAAAGTCGCAAGACGAAGAGGAAAGCACTGAAAAGTTTGACTACGACTTGTGGGCCGATAATAACCAGGACAACAACGATCACATCATGACGCTCAGAGCTCCAAAGTTACCTCCTCCAACCAACGAAGAGTCCTACAACCCGCCAGAAGAGTACTTGTTAACGCCAGAGGAGAAGGCTGCCTGGGAGGCAATGGACCCAGCCGACCGTGAGAGAAACTTCCTTCCGCAAAAGTTCGGAGCCTTGAGAAAGGTGCCGGGCTACCAGGACTCGTTGAGAGAAAAATTTGAGAGATGTCTCGATCTTTACCTCGCCCCGAGAGTTCGCCACAACAAGTTGAACATCGACCCGGAGTCTTTGATTCCGGAGTTGCCTTCGCCAAAGGACTTGAGACCGTTCCCTATCAAGTGTTCTACGGTCTATTCCGGCCACCAAGGCCGAGTCAGAACTCTTTCCATCGACCCTACCGGCTTGTGGTTGGCCACCGGTGCCGATGATGGGTCCGTCAGGGTCTGGGAGATTTTGACTGGAAGACAGGTCTACAAATTGCAGCTTATCGATATTGCGGAAAACGACGAGGACCACATCGACGCCGTTGCCTGGAACCCAGACAGCTCTACTGGTATTTTGGCCATCGCTGCTGGCGAGTCCATCTACCTCGTCATCCCACCGATCTTTGGGTTTGACATTGAAAACGCCGGGAGATTGAAAATCGAGTCCGGTTGGGGTTACGAGACATTTGGTAACAAGTCCCGCGGTGATATTGACGTCGCTAAGGACGATTTGGGTGATGACGAGGACACGCGCGCGACCAACGCCGCTGAGGAGAAGAAGAAGGATGTCGCGAAGTGGTACAAGCCGACCGCTGAGCAGTCTGCTAACGGGATTTCCGTCATTGTGACCTGTCGTAAGACCGTCAAGAAGCTCTCATGGCACAGAAAGGGTGACTACTTCGTTACCGTCGCCCCTGACAGTGGTAACACCGCGGTCCTTATCCACCAGTTGTCCAAGCATTTATCGCAATCGCCGTTTAGAAAGAGCAAGGGCATCATCATGGACGCCAAGTTCCATCCGTTCAAGCCACAGTTGTTTGTCTGTTCGCAGAGATACGTCAGAATCTACGACTTAGCCCAACAAGTCATGATAAAGAAGCTCATGCCAGGCGCCAGATGGTTGTCCACCATCGACATCCACCCAAGAGGTGACAACTTGGTTGCCGCATCGTTCGACAAGAGAGTGTTGTGGCACGATTTGGACTTGTCCAACACCCCGTACAAGACCTTGAGATACCACGAAAAGGCCGTTAGAGGCATCAAGTTCCACAAAGGTGGTCTTCCGCTTTTCTCGTCTGCGTCCGACGACGGTTCCGTCCACGTCTTCCACGGCACAGTGTATGACGATTTGATGAGCAACCCATTGTTGGTTCCGCTCAAGAAGTTGACTGGTCACAAAGTGGTGTCCAACTTGGGGGTCCTCGACCTCGACTGGCATCCAAAGGAGGCCTGGCTCTTCACCGCCGGTGCAGACGGGTCCGCCCGTCTCTGGACCACATAGGCGTTTTTACTGTACATTAGATTAAATTAAAAGTTGTTTAATTGGCGTAGATGTTATGGGGCATCTTTAGATCATGACTCGAAAAGAGCTTCCGGGTCTGAGTTCAAAACAAATGCCTAGGGATAAACGACTCCCGATTTGTCAAACTGACAATATCTTCTTGCAATAATTGTGTTAATCCATAAAGCAGATCCGATAGGATATCAAGTGATGAAGTCGCAGGGATCGAAGTATCCCAGAATTAGATGCTTGGGTCTATCCAGGTTGTAACTAAACGGAACAAATATTGGGTTTTATAATATTTGAGATTTTAAATGGAATATAAATACGCAATGCGGCTCACAAACATTGAAGCTGTCTGTTTTTCATTGAACGTTACTGCAGTCAAAATACCTAGCATTAGTGATTCTTAAATCAATCCAAAAAATTTCAAAATTCGAGTCTTCAAAAGTAAGCGTTAATGGAAGTGATTGACCGGTACCGGTGAAACATTGTTAATGACAGCACTTTCTGATAGATGATGGTCGAGCCCTTCTATCCTGTGAGATTACTTTTTGCACCCCCGTTAGAATTCATATTCTTACATGTGAATCATGATGAAATCAGGATCCAACTGAACTACCTCTATCGCCAATAATATACCTCCAAAGATACTTTTTGATCAGACCTAATTACAGACATACTATCGCTGTCTCTAAAGCCTGCTACATTTGACCGAAACGAAGTAAAGAAAACATTAAAATTTCTCAATATCTGAAACGAATATACACAGCCAACCAATTGGCTTAACCATGCATCTCTGCATAGGCATAGATAATGAAAAAAATCGTGGACGGCCTTAAAGGGGATACTAGAGCAGGTTCATGGGGATACTCTATAAAGGGTCATATGGCGTAGGAAACATTAAAAACGTTGCTGGGCAGAAAAAAGTGAGATTAGTAATTAAAGCAGGTTCAAAGGGGATACTCTATGTGGTGGTTTGCGTGTGAAAGAGAGGAGTTGAAAGGAAGTATGAGGAACAGTTTCGTGGGGATATTCTGTCATAGAGGTTTTGGAGAGGTTTCATTACTTTCGTAAGGCATTAAGGTTTTTGAGGGTCTAAACCTTCTCACTGGCATTTGGGGCCACGGGGTCATTGGAAGCTTCCATATTCACGCCGTCAATATCCTTATCTTGGGAGGAATCAGTGTAAATCTTGTCGTCCTCATTGGTGTTATTGTTTCCCTTTTCGGAGGACGAGACATTATTGACGTAGCTCAACACTAACAAGATACCGGATACAATCACACCCGCACTTGCCAAACCCACACCGGTCCACATGGCGCCTCTGTAGCCTGACTCGAGGCGCTCGTAATGGGTATCACCCTTGGCCACGTATCTCTCGACAGTGGCAGCAATCCCCAAGCTCAAGCCCATGGAATAGTTGGTGATGGTGGTTAAGAGCGACCCGGCCATGCCCTGGTGGTGGCGGGGTAAGTGGTTGGACAAAACGATGGAGCTACTCGGGAAAGACATGTCCATGCCAAAACTCAACGGAATCATTTGGATCATCAGCATGAGGTAGTACGTCTGGTGTACGGGAGTCAAGGCTAGCATGAGGATCCCAACAAGAAACGCCCAGCTGCTGCCAAAGATTAAAAGCGATGGGTTAGTTCTACTGATAAGGTAGGACACGGTTAAGGCGGCCACAACCCCGAAAATCATCAAAGGCACGTACGTAACCCCGGTGAGGGTTTCACCGTATCCACGGAGGTTCAACAGAAAGGCCCAGTAGTAGAAGGTCCAGACACCGAAAGAGCCCCAACCAAGGCCGACACCAAGGAGCGTGAGGCCTGTGTGGAGGTTCATTACTTCCTTTGGGAGAAGAGGAAACTGGATCACCTTGATCTCTAAGTAAAAAAAGACAGCAAGCAAGACCACACCAATAGCAAAGATAACCAGGACGTATGCTTCGTGTTCCCAGCCCACCAATGGAGCCTGGTTCCACGCTATGCAGATGAGCAAGAGACCCGCAATGCCAGTGGCTGCTCCGTACCAGTCCATTTTCGCAGATGATTCGTGGGTTTCGGCAATCACATTTGGCAAGTAAAAGTACGCCCCCACAGACAAAACAGCGGCGGTGATGCCCAAAATGTAGAAACACCATGACCAATGCCAGTATTCACCAATAGCACCGCTGATAATACAGCTCAAGCTGGCACCCACTGGCGCAGAGGCACCCAAGATCCCGAACCATAGGTTCTTTCTAGACCCCGGTGGATAGCTGATTCCGAGCAATCCAATGCCGTTAGGCAAGATTACCGAGAAGCCCAAGCCAAGGAAGGCTCTGCAGACGATGAAGAAGATAGTGGAGTTGGCATAGACTGAAACCCCGGTGATGATACTCCAGACGGTGATCCAGACGTATCCAAGGATGAAGCATTTCTTCAAACCGTAGATATCACCCAACTTACCGGATGCAATGATGAATGTGGAGACAACAAGAGCAAAGGCGGCGGTAAACCAGGTGGCATCAGATGCATCGGCGCTACCAAAGGACCGGGAGACGATGTTCATTAACGCTAGGGCCTGGTTGGAAACACCCACGGAAATAAACTGCGCCATGCAAAGGATGGTGCACGCGATAATCTCATGGGAGGTGGATTTAAATACCGCAGGGCGAGGAGAAAGTTTCATCGTCGCGGAGGTCAGCGGAATGAGTTTCCAGGTGAGAAGTGTGAGGGAAATGGGTTTGAAGAAATAGTTGGTGTTTCTGCATAGACGGATGTCGATTCTGCAGGGTGCGTTACAGTTTTAGTCAGCAACCGCCGCACGGAGCTATCCGAAAAAACGATGAACGGCCAACTATTATAGATGAGAATTTATATTTGGATATAAAGGGGTTATGCTTTAATTATGGCGGAATCGATTATGTCTAAAGTGCTGAAGCCGTGGTGTTTCAGGCATCGGACCGATATACAGATAGATCCCGAGGGCATATCTAACGTCTACAATCTCACCCTTGTTACCTAAATGTTAACATTTTGTTTTTGAGTACGCCCAAGGTGCCTCTAGGTTGAGCTGTGGGAATGGCAGTTTAACCGCTTGACCTGCCCTGTTTTCCTTGCCGGCTCTTTGCAGGGTTCTCCGTTTAACTTTTTTCGGAAACGCCCAAGCAAGTTAGGTCAATGGTGGAGCCTGGATCGGCCCTGATGACCCGGTGGGAACATTATAACTAATGGCTTTTGGAGCTTGTCCTGGGTTACTGGTGAGAGGCCTAAAGCTGTAGCTTGTAAATTCTGAAAAGGTAATGAGCCATTGAATTTGTGGAAGAGTTACTCCCAGGTGTGTGTTTCTTCCGCGAGCCCCCGAATATACGAGCTTCCGAATCAACCAATGTCGGGTTTATCTTAAAATTTATCGACTTTCTTTAACAAGAGAAAGGTTGCAAAAACGGAGATTATGGCGGACCCGTTGTATACGTTGTCTGAAGCATGGAACTTTTGCTTGATTCGAAGCTTACATATTGCCCCATTACTTCTGCTCTCTCACGGTTGTCGTAAGCGACCCCCTTTTTTATACCCACCTATTAAATTTCCAACATTGTCTCTGATATACGGTTTAACCCTAGACGCCAGTTGCCAAGAATATCCGCATCAAGCCATACCGGTTCTCTTAAATTTCACTCAGCTGCCTATGCATCATCTAAGCACAACCCCTGTATAATTAGAGCATATGCACGAAAACAGAACGACGCTTTAAAATTCCTGTACTGGTTTGATAGATCGATATGTGCGGGAGTCAATCTCCAGTCTAGGTTCAGCTGTTTTTACAACCCGTTATTTCCCGTCACGAGACACGTGTCGGAATAAAACCTCGAACCACCACGTAGCTGACGTGACTCCATCAACGGATTGTTGTCTAGATATTCATTCCTCCATGTTTCTGCAACCCATCAGTCTGCGGGGGGTACGCGCCGGTGTCGCTTCCGGAATGCAAGGCTGCAAGGAATTCCGGAGCTAGAAATTGCTTTCTAAGCCAGAACTTTACCGTGCGGAGTCACACATGTGACCGGTGAAAAATTCTACCGTGAACCCCTGCGTACAGGACTGCAGGTGATTACTAAGAATGTATCCCTAATTTCAGCAGCAAGGCGTACGCCGCCGCTATATTTAATACCCAGTGGTTTCATCTTTTTTCCAACGAGATTCACACACTGTATAGCTTCTGTCACCTATTTTCTTGTCTGTATCATTCCTGTTTGAATATTGGCTGCCTATTATTGTTATCACTTGAACCAAAATGTCGTACCAATCACACTACCTCACAGACTTGAATCTCGAGTACGTGCCCGAGGCTCAGTACACCTCGCCGGTGCTCGGTGACAATATCGACTTATCGCTATACACAGACTCCACGTTGTTTGACTTTGTGGATGTGGATACTGAGGGGTTGCAGCAGAAGACCATGGCCAAAAATGAATTCGACGCCGTCATCCCGACCGAGTTCTTAAACTTTGAGGAGCCTTTGGCGCAGACCTTGAGCTCTTTGCAGGGATTTTTGCCAACCGAACCGTACTTCGTCCCAAAAACCGTGCCGGTGGAGAGCGAGTCCGACAAGAAGAGAAGAAACACAGCTGCGTCCGCACGCTTCCGCATCAAGAAGAAGATGAGAGAACAGGAGATGGACAAACAGGCGAAGGAGTTGTCAGAAAAAGTTGCCTTCTTGCAGACCAAGGTCAAAACGCTAGAAATGGAGAATCAGTGCTTGAAGAGCTTGGTCTTACAAAAGACGCAGAAGGACAACGATGCTTTGGTGGAAGACATCAAGAAGAGATCCTTGGGGTTGTGATGCGCCAAGGGCGCTGGGTATCGGTTTAGGTTTGTGAATTATAATATATTTTGTTACAGTTAACAGTAGTAAAAGCAGATATCCGGATGGTTGTTAGAGGTCCCACTGACCGGGTCCCGGACAAGCTTGATAGAATGGAAGATGGCGAGTTGGCTTAGTGGGGTTTGTCCAAGCAACCCTACACGGTTTAGACGTAAACCGGAGATCATTAGGGTGCGGGTATATCGCAATAAGGTATGGGTTGTTATGTTAGTGACCAGAGAAGTTTTATGTTGGGGGTGAGAAATTGGCGGTGAGATATAGATGGTTTCCAAGCCACTTGAATATTTTGAAAGAAATGCTCTTTGGTAATACACATACAAATGTTTATTTTATCTAATATACAAATGTGTTACATGTGTGTGAGTATATTTCTTGATATATATTTCAGTGTATAAATTTCGAGTAGTGCATATAAATTAAGTACTTATTTAAATACCATATATTATATACATAAATTAAAAGTTGGTACATTACGATATTTGAACTTTATATTAGAGCTCGGGCGCATGGGTATAAATGCCACCCCAATCAAACAAGCTTGTAATTACTTTTTGAGGTTTTCCCTTAGTGTGAGCTATCTGCCTTAAATTTGGAGGTGTGAACTAATTTTCATCATTAAGTAAACTACCTGCCTTATCCTTTAAACACCGTAAAGTTTGTTATATTAGACGTCTCCATTCGCATGCATATAGACCTACAAGTTGGACCAGCAAGGGCAGATATGTCGACCACTACAAGCGAGGCGCTTTAGGGGCGTATATGGTTAACCCGTTATACAAGGAAGCAAGAGAATGATTGATTTAGTCAAAGTTTAGACGACCTACTTTTTTGCAACGATATTTGAATGTTTCAAAGACATTCCATGAGTGGCTAGTCAGGAATAAAGAAAGGTTGGTATTCTAATCATAATACCGGCAAACTAAGCACAATTGGATACTTTTACCTTAGATATATGAACAGAGAGTAAGGATTGTGTCTTATATATTGTTGAGTATCGGTATTAGCCTGTGATTTGTGACTAGCGGAGACGGAGTTTATAGCACAATACGCTTGATTTCGTTGGAAAACCCCCTAAAGCACTGATATTAAAATTGTACTGAGGATACACAGCCATGCTTGATTTGAAGGATATAGCATTTATGCTGAACCTGAAGTTCAACGAGGAGTAGAGCTCGGAGGTTGCAGCACTCTTCTTCAAACCATGATGGGCCAGATTTCCGTACTTGACACGGATAGCTAGCATAAATGCTTGTTTCATAGCTCCAATCAAAATCATATTGAGATCAAACATCAAATATCGTACCAAAATGTATAGTGTAACACCAAGATTCTTGGTTACAATTATTCCTTAGCCTCTAGCATTTGGTTTGCTGCATGTTCCCAGGGTCGGGCGTTCTTCCGGTCGACGGAATATCCGGTCATTATGAGAGAAGCGTCAGGACCGTCGAAGGATCTGTCTAGATAATCCAAGTGCAATACAAGCACGCCGAACTAATAAACATATCATTTCACGGGGACAACTCACATAAACCAAGGCGATTGAATCCATATTTAACAGCGCTCTAGGTAAATAATCAGAACTACATGCGTACCTCCGCCCGGCCAGCTTCGAAGGATCACCAACGCTCTTATTCCGGTTCTTCAAGTTTCACGCCACTGTTCACTCGATGAAATTACCGGTTATACTTCCCGGTGTAATAATTTCTCGGCCCTTCGCCTAACATCGTCCTGCACACCTCTCAAGAACTTCCGGATTAGGTACCGTTTCCCCAGAGTTGCAAAAAATTGCCAATTCTCTACTTACGCACCGTGGGAGTGACTTACAGATGCATTCCCAGCAGTTTTTCCTAGGACTGAGAGATATCTTTTATGCTACAAAGTGGATGGATTCTAACTACCAGTATGCCACTCGTACACCGTAGGAGCGACTTATACGTGCATTCTTGGCAGCCCTTTCTTGGACTGAGACATCTTATAGAGTGGACGGTTTCCGAATTCGGTACCTTTCCCGGTGTACATCCACAATAAGCAGATAGTGCAAATAAGCCAAATACACTCGATTATTAGTAGCAATGCATACCGATCAAATATATGAAACCAGTGATACACACGGTAAAACAATCTCTTGTATCTGACACTTGTAATTCTCCGGGAAGAAGGGATTTTCCGGCTGCGTCTTGAGCACCTTCGTCTTCGGGGGTCCGGGTGTCGCGAGTGTAGTTGCTTTTGGCGCCACTCCTGCAACCTTCCGCATACGGCACTGCTCCCGCGAGATATGCTTCTGAGATTTTCCGAACCTTCCTCCTTCGGTACATTCGCGGGCGCTGCGGAGAAAGAATGACGCGGGCAGGCGGGGAATTTTAGGGGTTACCCTTCGACACGTGCAGTGCCCCGGAAGAAAGGGAAAGCATGCGTTTACGCACGGCGAAACCTCTCTTTCCGGGTACTCATACAAAACTCCTCGATCGAACTCAATTTGCAAATTCTGCTTCAAAAAAACACACACATACTCTCTCACCACTATTAACTTAACTAACGCCAAAGCTATAACAAACCATGTTTGTGCTGTCCGCCGCTACAGATAAGATCTCGGTTCCCGGGATCTTCCGCTCGAAGGCGCGCGAGGAGATCCGCTTGAGGTTGGCTCCGCAGCAGTTGCCTTTGAAACACGGCTCCCTGCCCTTAAAAAACTCAGTTACGTATCAGAGCGACTCGCTGTCGATTAATTCGAGCGAGACGATTACTACCCGGGTCAGCGAGTCTGAGGTAAAACGGACGTCGTCGCGGACATCGTCGTCGTCGCGGACGTCCTCATCGTCGTTATTGCGCAAGTTTACGTTTGGAAGGAAACAGACGATCAGTGAAGACGATGTGGAGATGAACGACGCGGATAACTGCGTCGTTGCAGTCGCGGAAGTTGCACCGCATGAGTTGCGCCCCTACCCGTCGAATATCACAGCCGACTCGGAGAACTCTGGATATTCCGGGTACACGAGCTCGGGGTACGAGTCGCTCTTTTCGCGCGCGAGCGCGCACACAGGGACATCGACGGTTATGGACACGTCCGGACGCCCTTACATCATGCTCGAACACGTCATTCCGTTGCACTTCCACGACATGTACGCGCCCGAGATTCTCGCCAATCCACAGATCGCGATGCTCCCCAACGGGCGCCCAGCCTTCACGTCACGCGACCTCGTCGACTGGGAGCTCAACGATATTCGTTCGCTCCTCATTCTCGACCGGATCCCACCCGAGTGGCTCGCGACGCTCTGGCCGCACAGCCTCCCGCTTGTGGTTGCACAGAGTGCGGCGAAGACCGAGCCCCAGCTCTTCCAAATTGCGTATCTTCCCACTAATGCCAGCGACGAGACGTATGTGCAGACGCTCGTGGAGTGCGAGATCTACAAGGAGTCGAAGTTCAATGTGCAGTTCCGCGCACAGACCGCGCGCTACACAGTGGGCGCTGCACGCGGCAAGAAGGGTGCGGACGCACCCTTTTCCAAACCCGAATGGCGCAATATCATCGAGAACTTTATGTTGAACCTTGCAATTGAGAGCCAGTGCCGTGCGGACTACAAGCGTGTTTGCGGCGAAATCGTGCGCGCGCGCAAGCAAGACGGGAGTTACAAGAAGGTCAGCCACAAGACCAAGAATGGGCTCCTTCACGCGGCGATCTTCAATGATGTTTCGTCCAAAACACCGATCAAGCAGAAGAGCCATCGCTTGACGTCCGACGAAAAGGCCGCTGTCTGGAGCAACATCCAGGCGAACGTGTACCAGCGTCTTGGACTTGACTGGGCCCCCGATCAGGCCTGAAGGATTCTGACGATTTGTTCGAAGCTGGGCTACTTTGAACTAATTACAGGTCAATTTGAAAGGGCGCCTGAAGCTTACGAATTAACAGATGATCCATTACTTTTGGATGCTCTCTGCTTTTGGACGCTCCTTATGGCTTGACACTATGCCAGATAATTCGTCTATTTCTTCATTTCATCGTCACTCATGACTATTTATTTTTGTCTTTCTGTTTTCGGTTCGGTTTTTTTTTTGGTGTTGGGTCTGCCCTTTATGGCAGAAGAATATATACATATATCTTAAACTGGTAGGAAGAGTAGGGCCCCAATGCGTGAAATCAGAAATAACCAGGAGTGTAAAGTAGCTGTATAACGAAACATTCAAAGCACGTAAATAGTGTTCTCACATTTATTACATGGAGCTTTGAAGTCTAAGGCAGTCGTATCCAACCTGATTAGAGGTCACGCGCTAAATTCAAGTCTGACCCTAAAGGTAAGAGTTAGCACATCATGCGCCAATGTCCCCATCCTGTTGGTCCTCTACTAGGTATCTTGGAGGAATGACTCCTTTCGTCTCTTCGGAGTATAAAGACCTCGTTTTTTTCCTTCTGGAAAATTACCATTGTCCGAATAGACACATACAACTGACCATACCAGTATCTACTGGGCTCTTCTCCGGATTACTGTACACGCCTTCTTCGCTTCATCTAAACCGGCTCTTCAATGAAGGTACTCTTGTTGCTTAATAGGGGCTAAAAAACCATCAGATGCTTCTGTGGGCTTATAGCAAACTAGCGTGGAACACTTTAACATAGGCGCCGATACTAGGGCCAAGCTAGACCATGAAATACCTCCACATGGAAGCTTTTTCTCAATAAATCTCTAAATATTTAATATTTAAGATTATCTGACCTCACTGGTTTTAGATAACTAACTAGTAATATAGGTATGTAAATCCCAGACTAAGTTTTAGCCTGCTCTCTTGCACTACGGAGGGGCTTGTTTCAGTTCTGTTAGACTTACACCGTGCCCGTGTAAGGTATCCCATAATTTTCCTTGCTATTCTTAAAGTTAGGATAAAGGGCCAAACCAACCTGAATTATGATTTATGTTTCCGATTATACTTAATCCCTTTGACACACACATCGACAATCAAAACGAGTTGGATTCCTGGCGTAACATGGAATAGCCCACGGGTTGAAAATATGATTGAAAAAGTGGAGCTTTGAACAGATGTCCTAGCGCGGGGGTTGATTCCACTCTTTTGCGATATAGAGTGGCATAGTCTGAACGCATAGTTCAGAATTACTGAATGTAGAGACGAGCTAGTAGGATATATTTGGCATCCAATGTTTCAAATTAGAACCCGTAGATCGATACATTCATGCTGGTTCGTAAACTCCAATTCCAGCTAACTCACTTCATGTAAAATCACCGATGATCTATCTCCTTGTTAAAGTTCCATTTCAAGTTTGTCTCTCTTTTTAACAGCCAAAGAACCCATACCTGCTGGATGATGTCATTAGTCACAGCCTGCAAAAGTTGCATTTGAATCAGGAGACGAAGAATCATAGATGCACCGAAGAGTGCCGTTAAACACTAATTAGTCTGCATGCTAGTAGGATATATACATAGCTCGTCTGGATATCTGTCGACTAAAGCCAAAACTTGGTCAGACAAGGTGCCTCTAAAGGCGAATAGGGGCTACTCCCTTCTTGTACTGTGACGCCTCAAATTCCGAAACCCTGGCGATCCCGCCAAGCCAGCGCGGCAATGGACTTTTCTGACCACATTCTGTTCTGCAACAAGGACCTAACACATGGCCGATGTAAAAGGTGTCCCATATCCGGAACAAAAGGGAAATGTAACATAAACCGTCGCTCCGCGGTTTGCACTTGATCAACTGCACGTATGCCACGCTCATATTGAAAACTTTCTTGTGTGTAGCATCTTGTACCTTTTCGGTGAGCAGTAACCACTGCCCCCTTTCACTAATACATGCCAGATGAGCAGCACACATCTAGATTTCGCATGTATCTACCACGCTAAAGACCACCAAACCAGATTACTAGCATTCATTTAAACTTGCAGATCGATCACAGGACTGGTAAGCTCGTCTACTGCTAAAACAATAGAAAAGAAAATGCCATGATCCTTGCCTGATTGAAGGAACCTTAGCCTAGTCTGCATATGTGTACTGTGTGCTTCATAGGAACCATCGCGGATCCCACTAAACTACTATTTAGGTGGTATCTAAGTCCTTTAGTCTCAGAAATCGTCCGTCCACCAAGCGCCTGTGCGTACACGGGGGAAAGCGTCGGGTATCCAGTAGCGCGGCAGATTTAGGATTGCTGAAAAAGACTAAACATAGCAGATCCATGGTTCCAACGCTTTGGCCATCAATTTTATGACGCATCTTTTCTTGAGGGAGCTTAGGGTCTCAGAGGTCCCTGAAACCAGCTATGATCCTGGTGTTGCTCGTCATGTAACACAATACCTAAAGCAGCATACAAAACACTGGCCTAACCAACTGCTTGTCTCGACCAGTTTCGGAAGCTAGGGTGCTAATGAACCCTGGGGCGCAGCCATGTTGCGCTTGGGTGGTCTACGTCTCCTGAGTGCTACAGCATCGTTGGTGAGACGAGGTAGGTACAGATGATATCTCTCGTGTACGCTGTCAGACCTAGTTTAATTGTGTATCACAACAGAATGCATCAAAGCTTGTTTCTAGTTTCTCGTTCGCCAAGGCCGCCTCGCACAACTAAACTGATAGGCTGCTGACTCTAGAAGCTATATGAATTGGCATCTGAGATTTATACTTAGACAACGTGGACATGAGAATAGCAGATGGTACTTGAACAGGCTTGGTGAAGCGGATAGATTGAACATTCTGTTAGGAGTACAGCTACTTCACCTTCCTATTTGGACGTATTCCTTATCTGAAGAATGGGAAATCCGTGGAAACCAAGGCGGACCATCGTGTTGCTAGAGCTGGCGGATTAGATTTAGGAGCCACTGGACCATGTTCATACGTTTTCATCCAGCCCTATCTACTGGTCTAAATATGGACAAGTGACATGGGGAAGTAGTATCCATAGCAATACAAAACTCTGTGAGCCAGGCATTCGAATTAAACCCGGGAACAATAATCCACGGCATTCTGGGGGTATGGCTATACGTACAATGCGACAAGGAGGGCTATATGTAGAGAGCCTAGTAGAACAGGGACTATATTTCAGCCCTGGAGATTCTAGCTGGATCTACGACTCCTTCAAACGTGTGACTATACCGTTTCTTTCTCTCTATCTCAGCACTACGAGGAACTCGCCAGTTACGGTACTTTGTTGGTTTGGGGACTCTCTTTTAACTGTGAAATAGAGCTATCATTTAAATCACACTCGGCCGAGAGAGGATATTCTGGGAGGTTGCGGAGTTACCATGAGGTAAATCTCAACAAGCCTACAAGTGATCTATGCAGCATGCATGCACTTGTGCAGTAAGATGGACAATACAAAGTTTTCGACAACTCCGCCTGCACGATCGGCGATCGTGGTACAAGACGAAAGTAGAAGCTATGTCACGCACTGAGATATGGCTTGAATATCTTTCAAAGATAGATTTACCAAGACTAAGCGCGCTGTTTGAGGGTCGGCTTAGTCAGTGCGAACGATACATCACTGGCATCATTCTTTTTATGTACGGCCCTAACCTGAGGTCTGACGCACAGATAGGCCAGCGATGCAGATTTATACGACATACTAGGGTCTCCAGCGGAATGTGTCTCATCGACTAATCCTAATACATCACAGAACGGAATATGGCGTAGCTAGAATTGCTCATTCAGATGTGTCTTGAATACCGTCCTGGCTGCATTTAAAATCCGCTGACCAAATCAACTACGATACCGCGGATTAGGGTAAAATGAATCACTCGTGCTACAAAGTTGACTCACCACCGCGCCTGAGCATCCGATTAGATACACGATGGACCGAAGATTTACATAGTAAAAACCATCAACTTGATCTCACGTGCCTGCGGACTGTCCCAGACTAGAGACACAGATGGTGCGAAAGTCTCATGAGAGTCCTCAGAACATCAAGGCCCTGGCTAGCTGGTGTCCGAACACTAATTCCAGTGAGGTTTGCTCGTGGAGGGTCTAGGTTGGGATTTGCGGAGCTGATCACGGAGACATTATTCTGCGTATGCCTTGGTGAAGCAAATTAGGCGCTAAACCCCGACATTTTTCATCCCAGCAGCCGCGGCTTGTACTCTCCAAGTCACTGCACCGGGCTGCCAAACTATAATGCACCACTTAAAGATCAGACAGCTAGGTTGGACCTAGGCTCTGACACACATCCTTGTGAAACGACAGAGTCCAAGATCCCCTCCCGTGCCGCGGATGTAGTTCGCTGACTCGTCCCCTAGCAAAATTCTTAACGAGGCAGTAACCATAGTTACTGAAAGTATCAACAGCTAGACGGCTACCCCTTGCTCTATCTGCAGCTTTACAAGGGACTAGTAGAGCTTAGTGCTAATCGCGCATATCGCAGATTCAGGTCAGCTGATATGTAAGACCTGAAAACTAGCCAAATTCAAAGATCGCGATCGGTGTTCACTCCGTGTAGACGTTGCTCCCGACCGCAAGGGGCCTCATGCCCAACTGGGATTATGGGTGGCAACGCACCACCAAACTATAATTAGTCACTAAAACCACCCTGACGGGATTAAGAAAACCTCCGCTTAAATGCGCGCTGGAGGCTATTTATACCTGGTCACACTTCCCGGTTACTCTCTCCCCTCCGTACAGCAACTGAACCTTTCAGTCTTGCTTTACGGAGGAATGTTCATGGTGTGAAACCACTCTAACCACAGACGAAGGCCTAGTGCCGTTTCTTCACCACCCCTTAGTCTTCTTAGGCCGCGGAGATTTCTTTTCCTCTCATATAAGTGCAGTACACGATGTCACTTATATATACCTGTAACCGGTAGATTAGTCGTCGTATCCCGTTGCAACATACGGACATACTTTCCAGAGAGACAGATGTACTTGGAACTGTACGATGCCATTTCTAATTCATGGCCCTAGTAGCTTTCGTCTAGGATAGTGCCACGGTTCCCACAAGCAGATGAATTCAGCCTTTCGGCATTATAGGGCCAGAATATTCTACACATATCCTTGTTAGGTTTTGCGCCAAAAAAGGAATAGAAAATATATGCCAGATAGCCAAAGGTAGATGCAACAAACCCTGGACAATCGCCCTGGAAATAGTCGAGGCCCAACAGTATACCAGACGAGGCATTCCAATAATGCCTTGTAGCATATTACCCTTGTTATTGTCTTAAAAACAACGCCAGAGCACCGCTGCCTCTTCGGCGGAAAGGGGAAGCATTTGGCCTGCGTACCGAAATGGAGAACAACTGCTATGGTTCAGAGCTTGGGGAGGGGGTTGAAAGTTCTAGGATCAGTCATACGTCGTATTGAAATGCCATGCCCGATGTTGATGCAGTATGTGGCATATGAGTTGAAACACTGCTGTACGGCATGCCCGTTTCATCGGAATAGACATCCGATGCAAGCCCAGTTCTCTCATGGGGCACGTTCCCGCCTCTTGCAGTGAATTTCTTTGTCTCCTCTTGCCATGCCTTCAACCTAAGTATCCTCTCGCCTTTCATTGATGTCTTATCTCCAGGTCTGTTTGGCAGGCGCAGCCTCTGTCTGCCGGTGCTCGTGCAGTTCCATCACCAACACCGAGCCTAGATTGCCAACCAGCGTTTAGGTGCATGGGCATCTCCCCCGAATCTTAACCACAGGGCAGAGGTGCATGTGCATGAGCCAGATGCTTGGCAGCTCCCACCGACGCAGCCTGTGCATGAGAAGCGGAATAGAAGCTAGACAGGGATACAGGTGCGTATTTACAGCTGCATAGAGGCAACCATGCAGCTCGCTTAACGTCTGCCTTAGTCCATTCTTAGATCACTTTCTCTGCCTTGCAAAGGTTAGGTGCATCTGAGGCTGCATCATCCCTGGATAGAACAATATTTAATTTAGAAGGGCTACTTTTCAAACTTTCGTTTGGAGACCCATGGGTTGAGGCTGTGAGAGGCGTATGTAGAACATTCCCAGAAATATATAAGTCCCCCCTTTCCTCTACCGAAATATTTCAGCCTGTCATCTCCACCTGTCACGCTGTCTTACACCCCATCAAATTTATTTATTGCCTACCATTTGCATTCAAGATTTCAATACGTCTCCCATCTTTAATAACCCTTGCACCCAACATGCCCACTAATACCGGCTTGCGCCTTCCGTCTATTTCCACCATCACAGCCAAAGCGTTCAATGCCCACTCCCCACGGTCTGCCGCCTCGCCGCTCCTAGATCGCAAGGAACATGGCTTTACCGACACTCCTAACTCGCTTAAGCTCGCTGCCACCTACTCTAGTTCTGACTCGTTGAACCACGCAATTGAGAACGCCCGTAAGGCCACGCGGATGTTGGAGGAGTACCGTGACAGACAGAACTCGCCTCCGCAGCAGCCAAGGTCGCACTCATTTTCTACCCCGTCGCACATCGAGCACAACGCTACCGGCTCACCGTTGTCGTATCCTACGCCACCACCACCACCTCAGACCTTCCACCCATACTACGCTCCACCAACTATGGTTCCGCAGCTAATTCCACAGCCAATGCAGGCACCAGCCCTGAACGAGCCCCAGTGCCAGCGCTGTGGCAGCACAGAGACACCTGAATGGCGCCGGGGGCCTAACGGGTCGCGCACCTTGTGTAACGCCTGTGGGTTGTACCATGCAAAGCTTGTGAAGCGTAAAGGCCCGGAGGCTGCGGCCAAGGAGATTATGCAAAAGAAGATCCGCGTGACCAATGCCAAAAACGGCCAGAAGATTCTTATCAGCGCCGCCTCAGGTTCTCGTGGTAGCAGCAAGGGCAAGCATGTGGTGTTGAATCAGATGCAGTACGACAAGTTGAACCACCAATTGGCCCAACAACAGCATCAGATGCATCAGATGCATACCCAACAGATGCCTCCTCAGGGGTACTACCCGGTGCCGGCATACGGGTACTATCCACCGCCGCTGACCATGGTACCAACCACCGTCGCACCTCCACACTACACTGGCTATCCTATAGAAGCCCATATGCACCCTCTCGAGCAAAGACACTGAGCTGTCTTGGCATTTTTCACTTTCTGCATTAATCAACATCTCAATATCCACACACTTGTAGTTTGTATCTTTAGCTCGTAGATGTAATCCATTCTTGGCTTCTAGTTTTATTGCACTCTCGAAAAACTCAGAAGTGAGATCATGTTCGTACCCAACCTTAGTTATCATATAACTAAATTTTAGTCTTTGTATCACCCCTGGTATCTTTCGTATCGTTTTGCTTTAATTAGTAAATTATTAAATTTCTGAACACTCCTCTCGCGCCCAAATTTCTGGGCTTGGCCTGTTATGTGTCTCCCAATCCGTAAAAATAGCACTAATTTAGAGTAATATTATGGTATTCCTGGTAGCAAGGTTGTCACAGACCAGCTAAAATAATCCATTGAGGGGGACTCGATGCGTTGACGGGTGATCCGTTGTCTCGGGGGTTTGCGAGTGACGGAATAGACCACCGGTGTGCTCAACGGAAGTGGTAATCTTGCACAAGGAAGGTAGAGAGGTAAGAGCACAGAATGCACGGTTGACTTTAGGGGGGGGGGGGGTTGATTAACTGTTTTGATCAATAGCGAGGCCATTCGCCGCAGGGGAGATTGTGGTACAGAATTCGTACCTAGATAAACCTGTCAAATCGTTTGTGACAAGAAAATAACCTGAGAAATGCAACGACTTGGACGAAACCACAACCGTATCCACGTGAGGAATATTGTAATATCCCCATGGACCAAGGATAAGCTGACGCAAAGTGTGCTCTACCAAAAGACCAAGGTACTTGAACTATTTAACACAGTGGACTTGGTCACAGCAATTCTTCCACAAGAAGGCCTCATTTAACAAGACAAATCCGGTTAACTTCTTCTTGAATTCACTATGGCACTCCGCACTGAGAAATAATGGCAGGGTCAGTCTAAGAGCAGAGATGGTGAAGTGGACGCAAGGGTGGCAGCAACCTGTAGTGTAGAGAAACTCCGCAGCCCATCATCCTTTTAATGACAAAGGAAAGTTTAATAAAAGGGCAGCTGGGTCCTAGATGACGTAAAACAACTTATTATCGACTTCGGCGACTCTGGGAACGGCCATCAGCTCTGGCATTCGGACGGGGGTTGACACATCAGCGGGGAGAGGACTGGCATATAACTGCTTAGTACAACCTCTATTTGATTACAGGATTAAATAATCAATATATAATAATCTCACACTATGTACATGTAAAAATAGTAAAGACCACGACTCTTTATAATCTATGAGATATCGCAATCAGCCCGTCATCCATAAATGGCTGAAACGCGGAGCTTGTAACGTTGGACGCACAAAGGGTTCAACCCTTCAACCACTTGACTATGTCTCCTTTATAACGATGCTACCACAGCATATGCCGCGTAGACTTCAGTTTTATCTTATAATACACGGGTAATCAATAGCTCAGCTACACACAGATGACCAAAATTTTCTATTATGCACTTGGGGGTACTTGTATATATACGTAGACAATGAGATGACCAAATAGAATTGATTGATCATTAGATATGAACTAGATATATAAAGAGGTGGTCAGCCGGTCTTTATATAGATCAGCCAATAAAGCTCTGTGTCAGTCTTCAGACTTGTTACAGAGGTTGATACATTATCGGCGTTTACCGTTCTGTAGTCCCACGTAGGATGAGGTACGTATAGCCCCACATAGAATGGGACACCTGCAGCACCTTTACTACAGTACTTGTCTTCAGTATACGTCGAACTAGGTTCAACCTTCAAACAGCATTGGTAGCTACCTAGCAACACTGGTTATGCCATCTCGTCTTTCTCCCGGAAAATTGTATTCATATCTTTCTACTAGATTGTAACCACCTCAATGGCTTCACCAATCGGCTTGTCCTACGTACAGATAGATCTGTAGTGCATATGCACAGGAATATTAAGTTTTACGAGATCGATGGTTTTTTACATCTGCGTAGTCCTATTCCTAAAATTGTACTACGCATGATTTTAGTGCCGTTCCAATATATACACCCACATGCAAATGACAAATTTAGTACTACTTACCTTAGCCACCACTAAGACCAGGGACCTCAAGATCAGAGCGGCGCTGTAAGAAAAACAAATTGTCTAGGTATTGACGAAGTGGCGTTCGGCTAGTCGCATCCGATCCTATTTTCTATGTGTTCTGTATACCCATTAGACATAAATTCTCTGTGGTATACGTAGTATGTAACGTACACTATTGACTGGCTAAAAGAGGGTGCTTTTCCTCCGCAAGGTATAAGCAAGCGGGAGAGAAGTCGGGGTCGTTATAAAAAACAAGGATAACCATATCAAGTTACTCTAAGAGGAAAAGCACCGGGAAATCCGAAGGACGTCAGTGACGCACGATAGGTAGAGTAGCACTTTTAATACACTTTTTGAAAGAACGCTCCAAGTTTGAAGACGCAATCTCCCGTAAACAGCATGCTGCATCTCTATCCGGGCCCTGGATAGATCGAAATACAACAGTTTAATGCGCACTAGAAAGATTATTAGATGCATGGGCCATCTGGTTTTCAGATGGATACTGACACTAGTATCCTGGGATAAATGTACACCGAAGCTCGATGGTTAAAAATAAAAGCAACACTGGTACCGACCCTTTTCCACCCTCCACCCCTGTTTTGTAATTATTTCCCACAACAACCTAAAATAGTAATGTATAAGACTTATAGGCGCCGCCTGGTTGATACCCTGGAAAAAGTTGGTTATTTCTGATTTATTAAGAAATTAGGGTAAAAGGAGAAACTTTCCGCACTGCAAGGATCTTCATGTACCCTGCAGTTCACAAGACAGAAAGCTATTCCTTGTATATTCGCGTTTACATCCAATTTTTCCTTCGCTAGTCCCGAAAGACTACCTCGCTTTGGCGCCCCAACAAACCCTATTTACCTTTTGAAGGCAATTTACTATTAGTGTAATGGCATACTTTCTTTTGCATTGTCTTCACCTAATTTCGTCATGCGGTTTTACCTGGCATTTTCTGTGTTTCCCATTTGTGTCGCTTTGAGCCATTTTTTACATCTTCAAGCATGCGTTAGGTAGACGCAAGAATCTATACCTGGGGCGTATGCATGGAATGCGATACGATCTTCTGCCCCAGCTATGCAGGATGATCGACGGTCATAGATCGCCCAAATTTCATATGCCAATCCTTGTAACTATTGGTGGTAAAACAATGACCTGAGTAAGTGGAACAGAAGGATCCGCGGCTTCATTGACTTCTTTATGTTTCACGAAAAAAGGGTTAGAATGCCTTCCAGAACGATTCGCGGTCCCATGTATTATTGATACTCATTACGTAGGACCAGACATTGACGATATTCGGAGGCGCTTGCAAACCAAATTAGGAGCTTAGCCCGCATCATTCTAAAACGGTAGGAGGGGAATATCATGAATGTCACATGACTAGCGTTTTTTTCTGGTCGAACGCGGCAAGAGAGCCTCCTTTGCACACCGCAGGCAGAGCCACAGCTGCATGGGGTACCTCCGTGACTGTTGCTAGTGCGTCTATTGTTAGGACACATATGCGGAGATAGACGGCCCTGACTCCAGATCTCTTACACCAATCTTACTGCAAAAACGAATGGACTAAGGGGGGATCAAACATACAGCTTAGGCGTTCTAATCACCCTCTGTATTGTTTCGTCACCGGTGCCCCGTTGCCTCTCCAATTGTTGAACAACCATACATTGCCTTTTTTTTCTTTTTTTTTTTTTAATACCTATTTACGTATTGACATGGCTTTGGATTTTTTTATTTCGGAAAATCGTTGGCCGGGGCGCAGACTCCTTAAAAGCCTCGACCACTCCTTATTACCCTGGACTATTCCTTAGTCCGACTTGCTCACGCACTAACCTCCCCGGAAGACGGAATTTTTTGTTTCAAGTTCTTAGACGCCCAAAACGATACTTTCAGTCTGTTCGTCAGGATTAGAACCGTAGACGAATACCATGAACGCACGTAGCAGAACTACGCCCCTTGTTTTCCTGTGTCTGGGTATTCCCAAGACGACCTTGTTATGATAATGAGGCACAGATCTAGCCTTGATAAAAATACTAAAGCCCGGTAGAGGGATGGTCAAATGGCATGGCAAACCCAAGAGCTATGCCTCTTTTGGCTTGAGTTCGTCAACCCAGATGGGCCAGCTTTATGTGAAACATAGAACCATCTCTTTTTCACGTAAAAAATAATCACCTTCAAAAGGCTGATCGGGGCTCAGAACAGACGTCAAAACTGCAAGTACCCAGCAAGTGACTTTAACACCTCAAACGGTGATGCTAAAACGTGAGGATTATAAGATTAAAAAAATAAATACAACAGCCGGCGGTCTTGAACTGCCAACCATGTACCCTATCTCTTTACTTTGGTGCCTACACTACCACATATAGATGGGCCTTCCAGGCAAATGCAGTGGCTTATATAATTAGCTGAAGGGGGCATAGAAAAACAAGGAACTAACAATAAATAATGTAGGCAGACCGATATCCCGTGGATCTTTGGTCGGCGCAACCATAAGATGAACAATGATCGATCAAAGTCCCAGAACATGAAGTGTGATGGCAGATGGAAGGGGAGGCACGCATGTTCAACGCCCTCCTTTAATCAGCGGTGCACAAGGACACTCGCAGCACAACGGTAGCCGACCCCAATGAGCACAGCAATGGTGCACCAGGTACTTATTCGTCGTCAAGAGCTCTCTTGGCGAGATCGGCAGCCTTCATGTCGGCCTTGATCAGCTCCAACTCCTTGACTCTTCTCTTAAAGTCCAAGTACTCGCACTCCTCGTAGTCGTGTCTTTCCTGGTTGCACTTCCACGGGACAGAGAAGGTATCCTGTCTGCATTTGGTCAATGGGATCCACAACCTGGCGCATCTGTCACGGTATTGCAAAGGAATCTTGTTCTTCTTCATTTCCTCACGGGAAACTGTCGGGTGTTAGTATTTTTCTCGGGATTCCGCAAGAAGGTACATACGAAGTTCAGGTAATTCGGTCATGGCCATTTTGGATAGATGTGTGAAGTTGTGGGGAGGACGGTTGCACTGCTATTATGTAGCATCTCAGACAATGTTAAAATATGAAGTTTTATTGGTAGGCGTTAGGTAAGAGGTTGTGCATAGACAGGCGTTGCATTTATGCCAAAAATGTACGGGGCACGACCAGCTGTGGTCAAGACGATTTGTATGATTATCATTAGATAGCTTGTCTAGGAGGAGAAAGAAAAGTTTAGACTAGCCTGAGTGATGAATAAGATATCAAGACAAGCAAATTTAGGACAAGTAAACCCAGGACAAACAGATCGCAGTAACAAAATGGTTCTTTCAGTTGGCCTAAACGTCTAGCACGTGCTATGGTAGGTGGACGACCGGGTGCAGACATATCTACTCATAATCTGTGTGCAGCTTCTCGTAAGGAAAGTATCAGATGTAGGGGATATGGTCAAGCGAGAAAATAAGCATTCTTATGTGAAACGTAGCTATTAGGGTCTCAGAGCCAATATATATATATAAATATTCCCATGGCTTGTACACGGCTGTGAGTGTCCCGCTGCTGCTTTCTGAGAAAAGCCAAGCTCCATACAGCACCTAATACGTTTACGCCCATGCCTAATAGTGTTTTGCAACTCGTATAATCAACAGTTAAAAAAAAAGACGCATTGCAATTTAAATTAGTCAATAAATTAAAACGACTAAGGCATTAGTGTACTTTCTAAATACGCTAGAACCATATTATTATTATTATATACATATTAATAGCGCTTACTTCATATGGCTCAGACTAACACTCTGCAGACAAATATTCTGACACTCACACACTCACGGCAACTCTCGTTGCACACTCAATTCGTGGGAAAACCGGACTTTGGTGAATAGTTGTTATACAATAATATATACTGGGAGAGATGTTAGAGTAAAAAATGTCACGCAGAAAGCACTAATATATCAATCCACTTGGATAGCACGCACAAATACAGTAACGACTAGCAACCATTGTTGTCGTACGTTTGCTCTTCCGATCGTGACATGGACTTACTGCGTCTACTCGGCCCAAGGCTGTCGCAACGACTCTTCCGAGCTAGCCACAAATCTGATTGCATCATTCGTAGTAAGTAACTGCAAAGATACCCCCGTGCTTAATGCTCACAGACATAACGCCCCACTCGGCCTATTAAGCTTCTACTGCCTTGGGCATTGCTGACCAGTGACCTCTTCGTTATTGCCCAAGCCTGTAGTCGTATACCCACTTACAGTAGACAAAATAGCCCATTAAATTTGTCACACTTGCTATTTATAGACGGAGCTGACTGCGCCCTGAAGCTTGTAACGGCCGTGTACGACCAGTTTCGTTTACTGCACGGCGGCAAATCTAGCTATTGTACATCCAGATCGAGCTCATCCTTGCACCGTATCACGTGCGCAGCCACGTTCAACGCTCAGATTTCCCGATCGGGCGCTGCCTACGTCAACTACGTAATGGGGCGTAGCCGTGACGTGGGCCGCGAAATGGTATACAATTTTTTCACCGCCAGGTATAGGGGCCATACGACGCTACCGACGTGAAGTAAAAATTCCTAGGAGATACACGTAGCTGAGGCTTGATAACCACAGTTTATCCCATATTATCAAACCACAGTGGACGGTTACCAAAACATGACCCGCTTCACATCTCCTTGGATGATGCTCTTTGTGCTCCAGGCCGCGGCGTGGTACAATCCCGCCTACGCCAGCTACGTTAATCCGCGCTTGGATATCTGGTCGGTCTACGAGGGCCTTTATAACACGGAATTTGGCTTTGGCGATCCCATGCAACCGATTTCCATCCGCATCGACCTACTCCAGGGCGACATCTGGGTGTTCAACGCCTCGGTTTACCCCGAGTGTCTGTCGTCCAACACCACTAACTGTGCTACACTCGGCAGCTACGACGCACTGGCCTCCAAGACGTATCGCAATGCATCCGTCTTGACCAACGCCCCGTTTTCGACCAACGTGACGCTCTTGTCCCTCAACGGATTGAACGCGACGGGAAATCTTGTGTCAGATGTCATCCAGTGGAACAACACGGAAACAAACCGAACCATCTCTCTTACTAACTTTGTGTTTCTCGATATGTTCAACCTGGTGGCCGAAGGCGCGCTTGGCTTAGGGACGACATATTCCGGAACTGGCGTGCTCAACTACTTCAAGCTGCTCAATGTGACCGGCTCCGAGTCGTTTGGGCTCTACTGCGGCTCCAAGTACGCGCAGGCCGGCGAATTGCACTTGGGGTTTGTGGACGAAACCTTCTTCACGGGCGATTTGGTAGTGTACGACATGCTCTCGGTGGCCAACAACCCCTCGCAGACTTCACTTCCGGTGGTGGCTCTTACCGGGATGCAGGTGGAGTCCAGTACGGGCCAGACGTCAGACTTGAACGTAAACAATACGTTTCCGATCCCGGTAATGTTTGATACCAGACAGTACTTCAGCTTCTTGCCGTACGATGCGTTGATTCTGTTGGCAGTTCAGCTTAATGCAGTCTATAACCCAGACAACCACAAGTGGCTCGTGGAATGCTCTGTCGGTGACATCAACGCCACAGTTAATCTCGCATTTGGCGATTTGACCATCAAAGTACCCGTGGCTGAGTTGCTCTACTCATCAAACAAAATCTTTGCGAGCTCAGGGAAGCCTGCCTGTACCTTAGCGATACAGCCTGACTACCTCAAGGGATATTCCATCCTCGGATCCCAGTTCTTGCACGCGATGTATATGGTTATCAACCACGATTCGAAGCAGGTTGCATTAGCGCAGGCCAACACCGACTATTATTATCCAACTCTGAGCAACGTTGAGACCGGTACAAACACCGAAATCGTGTCGTCACAGACTAGCTTTTCGGCCTACACCTCTACATACACCGACTGGGGCGTGAGTTATGTGCGCACGGAGACCACTTCAGGCAATACAACCCTACTGATCCCTACCGACCATATTCCGTATGCGAAAACAAACACGCACGACTTCAGCAATATCACGCTAACAGTGGTGTCTGTCACCGCCAGCGATCCTGGGCTTTATTCGGGAGGCAACTCCATGTACATCTCAAACGGCGAAATATACACCGCCGTTGCGGGTGCCGTCTCTACCAGAATGGCCAGCACGTCTTCTATGTCCCACTCTACCAACATTGCTAATAGCTACAGACCGTGGGAGGTTGAGACCGAAGGGCTAGCCGCTAAGGTCTTTGGGCTTGCGATTTTTGTATTGGGACTTTTTTTCTTCTAAGTTCGTCGCTTTCACCTGTCTGTCGTTTTTCAACTTAGCATGTCATTTTTGCTTATTTCTGTTTCGTGTGCCATTTGCCTTTAATCAAACCGTTTTTCATCGTTAAGAACCACTAGCCAGGGAGGACTTGGGTCTTGCTCTAGTTACAGGTTTGTCATTTTTATTTCCGTTTTGTGTCTATCATTTCAAAATATGTAATATTGGAAATTAACCATTTGCCCTTTGTAGTACATTTTACAGTGGCAGGAGCCCAACCGGAATATAGACTCCTTTTTGTGTTATATCTCTTTGTGCTAGTTAGGGGTAAAACCTCTAACCTATAGATATTGCCGTATACCTACATTACTATTCAACTCGGGCCGTTGTTACCGCTTTATTTTGCACCGACCTTCTGATGCTTGTTAACGTGTGACTGACCTTTAGATCCTATGGTGAAACCTGTAATGTTATCCGAATGAGCTTATTATGCTGTACCACTTGGCCCAACTGGTCTAACGGCAGCTCCGTCAGGTCGCCAATAGCCCATGCGTGTCAAGTCCGTGCGCGTCAACCACGTAAACGAGCGTGTATACTTATTAAACGGCTATATTCACTCCTCGATCAACATATCCTTTTGGTTCGTACTGCAGGCTCCTGTGATTAGCTTAACAATAAAAGAAACGTAGTTCGAGCGAACCAGGCGGGCAATGGCCACGCTGGTGAACCGATACTCTATCTCAGACTTTCACCTGAGCGAGACTGGCAACACAACACCCTGTTGATAGGACGTTTGACGGCCACACTTGCACTTTTTTTCTGGCTATATTTTCGTGTCTGCTTCCGCATACCACTTGCAGTATTAAGCCAGAGTTGAGCTCTGTCAATTCGCGATAGTATAATCCACACGTTGTATTGATACCGCATATCAAATCCCGTGAACTCTTGGCAGTATTTATCCTAAGCGCACGTACCACTATATAGGACTATCTTACTGGCTAGTTATGTTACTCTGATCGTTAAAGGCTAGCGATCACGATATAATCATTGTTCGAAGTTGACCTTTCATATTAAATCACCTCGAACTGCTGATGCCTACACTCGTACCCGTATTATTGCATGTCGTTTTCTCTCGTTTACTTATCTGGACTTAGCTTGATTACACATTCGCTATCGTTTTTTTCTGGCTCTCTCTTTTCTTCCGCCATTTCCGCTGTCTCTCATCTTACATACTCTGTTAATGGCGTTCGATATATCAACTTCCAATAACTGGCTCCTGGTAATACTTCCTATGACTAACGCCAGCAACACGAGCACGCTAGCTTTGCCCTCCGAGTCTGCATAGTGGTCAAAAAGGCCTACAATATCATCTGCAATACTTGGGATTAAACGGTGTTCCTCTTCCAGCACTGCCAATAACGCCTGGACGTACTGACCTGGCTCAATCAAGCGCCGGGCTGTGCTAAAGCCTAACGATTCGAATCCTTGAAGCAGGTTGGATAAGCTTTTTAATTGCGAGGTTGAGTGGTAAAATTATGGTGTCTACCGAGATGATTGGTATCATTATTATCACTATGAGTAATTCTTTGATACTGTGGAGAATATTTAACAATGATATAAAGATAAAGGCACGATTCTCCTATATGAAGCATCGACTCCTACCACGTGACAGTAACCTACTCAACGAACTTCCTATACAAATGTATAGCAGGAGAGTATAGGTACTTCATACAGGCTAAGGTAAACGAGATGATTTGGTAAGCATGGCATGTGGATAATTTGACGAAACCACATGTGGAGAACCTCGTGCGTATGGGAGCTTGCTAGCTATACTGCATTATTTCCGCTAGTATAGATCGTGCGTCGTAGCGAACCAGACAGGCCCTGGGCTCGAGTTGCATTAATCATGGGCCTCTTTATTCTAGGTTTGCCATTTATCACCCCATATTTCGGTAAATTGAATTTCTGCGCTTAGTCGTAATTGCTGGTCGCCTAGGAGACTACGCACATGCAGTTGTAAATATATTTTCGACAATGCTTGCATGTCCGATTCCGATCGGGATCCAACGTGTGCATTGCATGCTGCAATGTAAGATGCAGAGTTAGTATATAAAAGACATTCCAAAAAAATGCAACCATATACAGCCTTGTCTAATTCATACCTCTAGGGATGGTTTGCGAAGGAAAGCAAAAGAAACTCGTACTCTTCTTTTTGTTTCAAAAGAAGCACTCCCGGGAGATGCTCTTCAACCCGTATCTTGCGTTCAGCTGCATGCCAAGAAAACATGCATGAACAAGCTCCCTAAATCTGAAAGGATAGATCTACCCTCGTCTGTGCACCACTGCGGCAAAGCCTGCTGCTATACCAGGCTCTGGCATGAGAAGCCGTTGATCAGGAGCGTGTGACAGCCAGAGGCGACGACGCCACATAATCCTATACGCTGCTGCAAAAGTATTAGTTTGCAACTTGACTTTCGCATATTGTCTAAGAGCAGGAGTCCTTTCACTGGTACACCGGAGGAATTCTCAGTAAACTCAGTATTAACAGAAATTGAGAGATACTATTACGAGATGAACAAAAGGTTGTCATGACACCCGTGGTAGATTGTTTTTTGTTAGAACTAAATACTGCCTCAAACCTGTTTCAAACATATGTCAGAAGGGTGTGTATAGAGAGGTGATTGTACTGTATTCATACATTGACTAAAATCTTATCGTGGATAACACCACCCCAGCTGGTGTATTCCCGATGGGTTCCCATTTGCAAAAAGTGCGACCCCTGTGTTCGTGTGAATTCAGATACCATATTTACCTCAGCCCTTACCGAGTTTCCGAAGAGAATATCGATTGCCATATGTAGAGAATTCAGCCAGCTGTCTAACGGCGTTACCTGGATGTTGCATGATGCAATGGATAGAGCGATCACGGCTGAAAGCATGGCAATTAGAATATGTCCCACATAGCCCGTTAGAGCTCACTCCAATATGCTTAATAACCCATTAGCCGCATAGTATATTCCTAACCCTGTAGCTAATGGGTGGTTCGTGAATAAACGCCTAAGGGGAATAAGCACAGCATTATGGCTAGCGAATCCTTAGGACTGCCTTTGCGTCACTTGTCGAGAGTTAATTTAGGTCACTTACAGCTACACCGGTTTTCTTTTGTTAATCTACACCATTTAATATGCTATTAGTGGTTTACACAGGGCCATGTAAAGCTGTTGGTGAAATTCCCCTTGTTACTCGCGATCAGGCATTAGAAATCGCGACGCGTAAGTTTGTGATGCATGACCGCGACGCGTTAAAAAAAAAACGCCACTATTGTCGTCACGCTTCTGTTCTTTACACTATATACAAAATGACTAACCACGAAGAACAAGCCTACTTAGACCTCTGTAAGAGAATCATCGAAGAGGGCGAAAGCCGCCCAGACAGAACTGGAACCGGGACTGTTGCGTTGTTCGGCCCGCCACAATTACGGTTCGATCTCCGGAACGACGCGTTTCCGTTGCTCACCACCAAGCGCGTTTTCTCAAGGGCTATCATCCTCGAGTTGTTATGGTTCATCCAAGGGTGCACCGACGGAAAGAAGTTGTCCGAACAGGGCGTTAATATCTGGGAGGGCAATGGGTCGCGGGAGTACTTGGACTCGATAGGCTTGACCCACCTCAGAGAAGGCGATTTGGGCCCGGTATACGGGTTCCAATGGAGACACTTTGGGGCCAAATACGTGGATTGTGACACGGATTACACAGGCCAGGGGATAGACCAGTTGGCGGAAGTGATCCACAAGTTGAAACACAACCCGTACGACAGAAGGATCATCATGAGCGCATGGAACCCGGTGGATTTCTCCAAGATGGCGTTGCCTCCGTGCCACATGTTTGTACAGTTCTACGTGAGCTTCCCTAAAGATGCGACGCCATTGTTAAACTGCTTGCTCTATCAGAGAAGCTGCGACATGGGTTTGGGGGTTCCGTTCAACATCGCATCCTACGCGTTGTTGACCAAGATGATCGCCAAGGTGGTGGGCTACGAGGCTGGTGAGTTCATACATACCATGGGGGATGCCCACGTGTACAAGGACCACATCGAAGCCTTGGAGGAGCAGATGAAAAGGGAACCGCTCCAGTTTCCCAAGTTGGTGATCACCAGAGACATCACTAGCATCACCGACTTCAAGTACGAGGACTTTGAGATTGTTGGTTACGCTCCTCACAAAAAAATCAACATGAAGATGAGTGTTTAGGCTAGTGTTATGTGTTTACATGAACGAATGCAGGAGCAGGATAAGTGACAGTAAATGCAAAGTAGAATTTATCGGTGGTATCTTTATTTGAGCTTGTTTCAGAATATGACTTAGATCACAAGTGCACGAAGCTCTTTCAATGCTTGATAAAAACCATGGTTGAGCCAGAAAGAGCTAGATTTCAATAATCATATCTCAAGTAAATGGCTACCCGGAGTGAGCATGATTTTGATTCAGTAACGATTTATGAATGAGGAAAGAACTGTTTTCGCATGTAAAATAATGCCAGCTATACTCTTACAATACCACTCATTTTCTAAAATGTCAGATAAGATCTTTGATTACCTCTAGTGCTTAGCCTGGGGTTGATACAAGAGTATGCGCCAAGCACATTACCCCCAACGAGTCTGTCGGTGTTAATACCTATCACACCCAGAATAACCATCCAACCTGACAAACTCTTATGCTGAATTCCCATTAAATTTCCAATCAAGCTGTCCCGCTGATGCAGACGCTTTTTATTCCTATAAAATTTCATTGAAACTAAAATACATATACGATACAGACGGACACTCTAATTCTTCTGCTTCTTGCTAGAAGGCTCGTCATCCTCCTCTGGGTACTCATAGACCTGGTCGTCAAAGTCCTCGCCAACCTGATCATACTTGGCCTTCAAACCCTTCATCTTTCTGGTCTGCAACTTGCCCAAGTCCTGCTTCCCGACGTGGACTCTACCTATCTTGTCACCAACGAGATCAGTCTCAATATTCTTCTTAGTTCTGGCCTCCAACTGCTTGGCCTTCTTCATGGCCTCCTTCTCCAACTCAGGCGATGGGAATTGTCTTCTACCAATCTTGAAGTCGAATCTTGGGCCGATCTCGTCAATCTCCACACGCGGTAACTTCTGACCAGAGCGGTGGGTGTGTAGCTTGTAGACTCTGAAGTGCAAGGTTGGTAACTTGGCGTTGGCCTCGTCGATTGTGGAGTCCTCCAACTCACCGGCGGAGATGGCAATGATTTGCTGCAAACCAGCCAAATCCTGCAAGTCAGTAGTTTCACCGCGGAACATATCCAAAAACAAGGACTTAATGTGCATGAAGACCGGATGGGACTCGAAAACGGGACCATTAAAGACGAACATTGGCTTTAAACCAACGTTGAAGGTAGCCTTCTTGAAGTCAGCAAGAAACTTGTGGTTGATGATGCTCAATTCCACCATGTCGTAGAGCTTATAGCCAAAGGTCCTGGTGAAGGTCAAGGTGTTTGGTCTCTTCTTATTGTGAGAGGAGGACACGAGGAGGGAGCAGTCGTTCTTCTCGGAGAAAAACTCCAAGGTGGCGGCATCTTCGAATGGCTTAACATTGTTCTTTTTGGAAAATCTCTTCATATGTGGCTTCTTTAACGCAGAGAGATCAACCATAGCATCGTGCAACACCTTGTTGGAGTTGGCACCTGGCACGAATAAGGCTTGCTTGACATTTTCGCTCAACTTGGCCTCCTTCTTATCGAGGGCTCTCTTCGAACGGGCGTTCTTTGGCACGCTATTGCGTTAGTATATCGTCATTGTTGCTTGTAATAGGTGCTACTTACACTGTTCTAATCATTTTGTGGTGTGGTTTAGGCTAAGAGTGTGAGCTCGAGGTTTTTCACGCTCTCTTTTTCACCATACACAGGAAAAATTTCACAAAAAATTTCATATCGCATCGGTCTCCTGCACAGAGGAGGGAGCACCGGGTAACGATCTAAAAGCCACAAGATATAACGTCCTGGCCGGGAGACGGGTGAGAGAAATTAGATTTACGCCACGGCTTTCAGTGGATAATCAGAATTGAGCTTTGTTTGGATGATTGAGGTGGTGGATGACGATAGTATAAACATAGAGGGGTGCAAGGATGCAATGACATCGCTCGCTTCCTGGTCTGTTTACGTTAGAGTTGCCAGTATTTTTCTAGTGTTTACTCAACCCTAAACTCATAAGAATTTTGATCCAAATCGGTGCGTTATCCCAGCTACCATCCTTGATTAACCGGCCTAAACCCCGTCTAGCCTCTCCAGTTGACGCATGCCATGTATGGCGACAGACCTGTTGCACACCCGTACCTCAAGGATTCAAGCTCTATGAATGTTTTAAATCCGCCCTTTTATTTCATTTTTTCTTTCTTTTCATAGACCTTTAAATAGGTTTCTATAAATCGGCTTATATATGGTGTATATCTACCATTGTTTTGTTTGAGCCCAGCAACAGACAGCACCTAGTCATCAGTCGTGCCCGTCCCAATCAAATTTAGCCAGCCAAAATAAAACAGATCAACTTTGAAAGCAACACCCCCATTGCCTTCTTCCCATTGCTCTCATCCATGTCGTTCATTTTCAGTGCCAGAAAGGCACACGGACCCTCTGTGGAAGCAGACACCTCTGCGAACCACACCGTCGAGTCTGTCAGCCAAACCCAGGACCTCTCGAGCTCCGGCGTCACGGAGTTGACCAAAAACGACAAGTACTGCGTGAGCAGATTGCCCGCGGTGCCGCCGGCGTTGAAGCAACAGGACTTCTCTCATGGTTATACCGACCAGACCACATCTCACGCGGTCATTGTGTCGGAAACATCAGTGTACGTGTGGGATTACACATCCGTGGACGGCGTTCCGTTGACGATCTCGTTTCCGGTAACGCCCAACCCGAATAACACGCTTCCGCTCGCGATCTTGGTGGCGCCTTCTGCCGGTTCTTCGGACCCAGGTTTGGTCATCATTGACTCTTATAGCGGTCGAGTCAAGTACTACGAGGCCATCACGGCGGCTCCGGCGTTGGGCATCATCAACAGCAAGAGCATCGAATACCATCTCGGGTTGCAGAACGAATACATCCACCTTGCGGAGAACATCGAGCCTGCGGGAATCATGGTTGCAACAAACGCCGGCCGTGTGATGCTTGTGTCCTTGCGCGACTCGCAGGGTAGACCGAATCTCACCAAAGTCGAAGTTATGCGTGCGCGCGGCTCCTTGTTTGGCTGGATTGCCAGGAAAACGGAGCCACAGATTGTGGCAATGCGTGCGGGCAAGATCCTCGCGCAGGGCACCCGGGAGGTTGTTATCCAGGACTCGATCGGCGACTTTCACCGGTTCGCATGCAGTCGTAGCGGCGCCCACAAGCTCGCGGCCACCACATTGGCCCCGCAATGTCTCAAGGCCATCGATGGCTACCTTCCCGGTGCCGAGGTCAAGCTCCAGATCCTTGACATCCAAAGCTTGCCCATCGCTGACGATCTCTACCTCGTGCTTGCCTCCACCGCCAAACCGTACGAGATCGCCCAAAGGACGTTGATAGTGTTCACCATGAAAATCGACGCGACAGGCGCCTTGGTCTATTCGTCGCAGAGAATCACCTCCTACGCATGCGGTGAGCACGAATCCGTAAAGTTGTTCTTACCCCAGCCGTTCACAACCGCCTATATCGTCACCAGCTCGTCTGTCATCCTCACCGATGTGTTAACCTCTGTCGACCCGGAAAGCGTGCCGTCGCACAAGTGGGAGGACCTCATTTCCTTCCAGCGCTCCGTTAGGCTCCTCGGGGTGGGTGCCGAAGATGTCCTTGTCGACTCCAAATCCGGCAAGATTTCCCGCAACTCTGGCCTTGTGCTTATCACTTCCAACGCCGGGATTATCCGTGTGGAGCGGTTCCATGAGAGCTCAGTGGCAGCCGACCTGGTGTCGCCTGTGCAGCTTGTCAAATCACACATCGAACAGGCCGTGTACTACGGCTCTGTGGAGGCCAACCCGATTGAGTTTGCCTACCAGTGTGACACCGAGATTGCTGGCGCAGTGTTTGAGCAAGCTATCACTCTTGTGACCCGTGAAATCGTCCAGAACTCGTCCAAATACATCCCGCCGTTCTCCCCGTCGCTCAAGGATCACTTGGCCCGGCGCCGCGAGGCTTTATCGCGGTTGGTGCTCTACGTGGCACACAATTTCTCTAGCATACCCACCGACGTGAAGCTTGTCGTCGTCACCAGTCTCGAGAAGGTTGCCGTTGGTGCAGCATTCTGGTCGTTCATCGAATCCAGACAGGAAACCTCAGCGGTCTTGGAGGCGGTGATCAAGGATACACTTCCAGCAAGCCTGAACGATGTGATCCGGACTTTTTTTATGAAGGGACTCGAAAATGTGAACGCTGTTCTCTCTGGCTTCCTCAAGGCCTGTTTGGCGAAAAAGGTGGACACCGCGGCGCTTTCCCTCTTAGTGGTGGACGTGCTACAAGCAATTTACGAGACTGAAGAGCAGTACCGGTTCGGCGTACTTCAGTTGGCCAGTACTGATGTGGGCTCCCAAAATATGTGGGTCTTCGAGACCCGTTTGGTGTTTCAGGTTGATTCCATCTTTGAAAAAATGGTAGAGACGTATCGCGTGACGGATATCAAGGATGTCAATGCGCTTATGTTAATCAAACACCACCTCACCGTCTTCACACAGGCGTTGTTCTATCTTTTTGACAATGCGGTAACGTTCATGCAATTGAAGGGCTGCGACGCCGAAACCATGAAGGAATACGTGGGGTACTACGAGGACCGCAAGCCATACTGGATCAACGCCTTAGTGGAATTTGACGGAAAACCCGAGGCGTTACGCCTCTGCGAGACCTACGGTGACTTCAAGTCCTTGGCCAAGATCAGCGACGATGACAGACAGATGGTAATCAGCAAATTTGGTAGGGATTCGTCGGAGTTCGAAACGATTTCGAGTCGATTCGACTACTTTTTCGAGAAGTTTGGCTATGCTTTTGCCAAGGACTTGTACACCTACTATTTTGTCAACGACAAGCTCCAGACGCTTTTGACCGCGTTCCCAGAGTACTTTGAGTTTTTGCGTCGGTACTTGGATGAGGGTAACCACGGTAAGCTCTCCTGGGTCAGAGACGTGTTGGACGCTAGGTACGTCGAGGCTGCTGTGGCCATCACAAAGGTCGTCCAAGTGGATGACAATTCGCAAAAACACAGAAAGTTGCAATTGAGTGTTGCCAAATTGGCGCTTTTGGCTGCGGAGGACGCCAGTTCCGATGCGGAAGCTATGTACGAAAACACTAGCAAGGAGTTGGAGTTGATTTCCATCCAACAGAGCTTATATGGTCAGTTTTCCCAGCTTGTCAACAAGAGCAATACTGCCCGCGATGTGGAATTTGTCGTCGCCAACTTCACCAATCGTCTCCAAGAAGCCAAGCATCTGCACTCCGTTGTGATCTTGAGAAAGGCGTTAGGTCGCTTGATGGCGAACAGATCCTTAGAGGTCGACGAGTTGATCGACTGTTATACCTTGTTGGATGCCCAGAAAGCCGGGCCGTCCAGGGATAACTTGTACTGGGCATTGAAGTTGGTGTCCATGAAGCACTACACCACCATGGATGAGAAACGTTTGGACGAAAGGTTGGTGTGGGCTAGATTGTTGGCCGTGGATGACTGGGAGACCCTCACAGTTACCGCCAACAAGTCTGACGAGTATGTTAAACAGTCTCTCCAGGGTACGGTGTTTTACAACACCATGACGTTGCTCTTCAAAGATGGTGCAGCCAGAGACGGCATTGATCTCGACAGATTACTAAATTTACTGCAGGTGTTTGGTACTCCTATTCTGCGTAACCAGCTTTTGGGCAGATACAGTTTTCTTGATAGCCAGGATTTGACCGGTTTAGGAGACGAGATCGCCCAGGACGAGAAAAAGGTCCAGCAATGCCTGTTGGGCGACTGTGTAAAGTCACTTGTAAGCGCGGCCTCTCAGTCCGTGTAATATATGGCTATTAATTCTGTAATGTCTGCGTATCCATGCTGTAGTGGGGAGTAATGCTATTTCGATATGATAGTATATTAAGGTCAGGTGGCAGCCTCAGCGTTTCGACGAGGGCACTGCAAATCATAACCGGCCTCTCGGTATAGGCAAGGCCGGTAAAACCACCACGGTTTAAGGCTATATTATGTTAGCTTCGCTTGGTAAATCTCAGACTCGTTCATGCTGAGGGGGTATGGTTAATGCCTCCCCAAGAATGAGTGTAGGCATACCACACGACTCTACGGATAACGCCAAGATATTTACATTCAATAGCTTAAGTAACGCAGCTAAATCAGACATGTTTTTATAAAATCATGCTGTGTCTTCTCTTCTCCCGCTTGGCCCCAAAGCTGCTGCCGCGCTTCTTAGCAATGCTGCTTCTGCTGGTGTCAACGTAAAGTTTGGTAGGGTCGTCTACAAAATCAAAGACGCTGCTGGCACTCTCACTCGGCTCCTCCACACCCCTAGAGGCCTCACGCATCCGCTCGAGGGTCTCATCAATAAGCTGCCTTTTACTGTCGGGGTCATCGGTCTTAGTATTCAGTCCTTCAGCAATGGGGTCGTGGATCTTCAGACGCCTTTTTGTCTTCAGGTTGGTGGCCCGGCTAACATCCCGCAAGGGTTTCCTTGTGGTAGCTTCGACAGTGTTAATATCAGGCGCCTGATTACCCTTATAAGCCGGAATAATAAGGCCCTGATACTCCTCCTTCGGGGCCTCAACCACTGCATCTACAAGCTTTGCGGTAGGTCTTCTCATCTTGGCCCGCAACGACGGCAACGCATAGTTTACCTGTTTGCGCTCCCTTCCACGTCTGGGAGTAGTTGACTCTTCGACGACTGACTGCGGACGTGGCATCGCTTCTTCAGATTTAGGGAGCGACTTAGGTTTGGAGGGCTTGGAGTGTTTCAAACGGTTGTGCAACACTGCCTCACTCTCCGCCACTTCCTCTGCTTCCCCCTCCTCAATGTCGTCGCTGTACACCGTAAAGGAACGGTCTGTACTCGGGAACAGAAGTGGGTCGAACGTGTTCTTTTTGAAGCCGTTGGACGCAGTAACGGTCGGTAATGGAGTTTTGGGAGTAGGTGCAAGCGTGATCTCCACACTCTGTACCTCTTCTTCGTCGCACTCCGGGATCATATAGTCTGAAATCTCATAACTGCTTGGCTCTTCCTCTTTCTCGCAGACACGGGTTTCACTCTCTGACACCGCATTGTGAAACACCTTGTCATGGCGCTGAGGTACACTCTCACCGTTCTGGGGCTCCTGTATGCGATGACTTCTCGTACTCACCAACGAATCATCTATCGACTCGTCTAGATTTGGAATGTCGTCAAACACCAGCGACTGGCGGCGCCCGGAAGATCTTCGCCTGCCCGAGTGTTCGGGACTCGCCCGGTGTATTACTCTGTGGCTGCGGCTCTCGCCATCCGTCTCTCGTTCGGCCAAGCCCTCGTTGTGTCGGATGTTCTGGAACATCTGCGAGATTTCCTCAAACTTGGTGTACACGCCGTTTTCGATTGTGGTTAATTTTTCATCTAGCCACTGCTTATTGCTGTCTCTGCTTTGCGCCGTCTTTTGCTGACGTAGATCCATGTTTTCGGTAATCAACGCGCTGATTTTTGTTTCCAAGTTGGCGATTTTGGTCAACATGACGGAATTAGATTTGGCTAAGGATTTGTTTTGTAAGAGATATTTTCTTCTGATGAGTTCTAGGTGGGTATTGGTTTGTTGGGAAAGAGTGGGGGCTGGGGGAGGATTGGATTTCACAGACGGCGTAATCTTTTTCGTTCTGGCCATTATGGATCAAAGACTGATACTGATTCCAGAAGAACGAAATAAAGAAACTATGCTGGGTATTTGGTTCTCAAGTATGTCCTGTAAATGAAAGATTTTGAAATCTTGTCAATCTGAATCGTTTGTGCCTCACGCCAAATCATAATAGTCTGCGGCTCAGGTTTTCTTAGCGGCTGTTTGTTTATGTCGGAGGTTTTGAGCCCCGGTATTAAAGTATATGAAAGAAACACGCTTAGAATCATATCACGAACTGCCGTGTATATCATATTACTGCACACTAGAACAATGGAGAAATCAAAACTGAACCCAATCACGAGACGAATCGAGGATAAGAAAGACGAGTTGGCCAAACTCATCCAGGTCAAAGAATACAGCGAGGTTTTGGGTAACCAGCTCGAACTCCTTCAGGAGAAGCTCTCCACTATGGCCGATGGGACAGAAGGTGCGTAATTTTTCGATCTATTGTGACAATGACGTACTAACAGTGTCTAGCCCTTTCACTTGTGCTTTCCAACTGGGATAGTATTATCCAGTCAGTATCGCTCGCTTCGATGGGGTTGATGAAGTATAGCGAGAATGACTACGAAAACGAAGAGGAACCTCCGTTGCCCGAGACGCTCGTGAGGATGAGATTGGAACCAGAGGATGAATAAATCGTGAGGATTTTCCCTAAACGGACCTCAACTCGTCTATGAAAGGAATGCCACTAATCCGCAAGGTCCTGTGTCGCCAAGGTTCCGCGTCACTCAGGTCTCACATCGCTCAGGTCTCACACCGCTCAGGTCTCACACCGCTCAGGCCCCATTATAGAGATAATTCCTTAAATGCCTCTTACATATAGCCTAGCCCCAGAGGTAATTCACGTTTTTTATCGGAATCGCATTACGACCAGTATACTCAGCTATGTCAGCTTGAGTATCGCACGAAAAACCCGATGGCATGAATGCTGAATCAGATGGTCCACTTACAAAGTCATAGTTTATGTACAGTGGGGGAACTTCCACCAGTAATATATATAACATGTCTCCGTGAATTTCCAATATATTAAACTGTCTTGCGATATGTAGCCTCACGTGCGGCAAAACGGCACAGTACGTCAGAAAAGAAACGAACGCACAAAACGCCTAACTTTAAAGTCTCGCGTACTGTAAATATGAAAAATTATTTAGCACTCGGACATTTGCATATGCTCTTACACATTCCTCTCTCTTCCCGCACCACATATTGACTACAAACAGGTATATAAGTCAACCACAGTTCATAAACACGACGTATATCCCACCTCACGTGTCCCCCGCTAACCAAGACTTGCTGCCCCTCATTCAAGTCTCTATCATGTATATCTTCCTGGAACCCGTCCACGAAAGCACCATTGATCTACAGAGGATCCAGGTGTATATTGATGCTTCCAACGATTTTCTAGACCTACAACACAGACTCAGCTTGCTCCTAAATGATATACAGAGCGAAATGGCTCGCATGGTCAACGACTCCATCGCTCAAGCGTCCTGCTCCTCCTCCACCCCGTTCCCCATTAGGAACACGTACAACCACGAGTATGCCTTACAAGAGAACATCAAACCTTTTAAAGAATTGAGTAGCTCTTTGACCAGCATTATTATCACCTTGCAGATCTTGGGATTGCCGTTGGATCAGCAAAACTTCTTCATTCACTGGATGAAGGTGCTCTACAATACCGTATCTGTCAAAGTGAACTCCACTACTTCTCTTGGTCCGCTGTCTCCCACTTCCTCCATAATCAAAAACTACCGGAAAAATGAGATATTAGAAGCCACCATCAGCGAGTTCCAGCCGTTCCCGGAGATTATCCACTTGGCCATTAACCGCAGCAAGATCACCTTGAAAGAATTTTTGTACTACTTTGACACCGAAAACTTCTTGACCAACTATGAGACATTACGTTCGTACCAACAGGATGACAAGTTTCACCACCTAGGTCATAGCCAACCCCAGGACCAGTTTTACAACTACCAGGTCACCGTGGACAAGCTCTCTGCTAAGAGAAAAAGGGGCTTTGAGGAGGTTGACGAAGCCCTCACTGTGGATGACAAGAGATTGCGGATATAGGACACCCATTAGGGTGCCAAGAAGTGTGCGTATTTTTACGTGGTTCATCTAAATTGGGGTGAAACAATTTAATTGACTCTTGTGTGGATGTATCTATAGCATATATTTTTGAGCTCATTGTTAAGGGTTAGCAATGCATGCTCAAGAGTCTAGCACCATTGTTTCGACCCCCGCTGATTTCCGCAAACCCTGTGGAAAGTTTTCAAAGTGTCTAGTTGAATATTATCCTCTTGAGTATTTATCTATAATCCATCAGATGCTAGACAATTAATAATAAAAGCAAGCTGCCATCAACCGGTAAAGGCAAAAATATCAATATTTCAGCTGATTTGCTGATCACTGATTAAACCACTGGGCACTCGCATCCCTCGAGGCGGACAATATTGCATCTACACTTTCACTACACGTACTAAAAACTCGTAGTCGTCCTCACTAGGGGCCAATGTGAAATATGTTACACATGTGCGTGCGAAGGCTAAATCTCCGGTCTACGCACGTTCTCTCAGCCAGAGTCAAAAATTGTGTCAGCACCGTATCTCTTATTCACGGCTTATCAATTAATTAGCTAACACGCAGGACACTGAAAATTATGCACCACATGGGTATATATTGTATTGAGGACCCACCACCTGACCCGTATCCTTCCTCTTCAATTACGCGTATATTCATTCAACTTGTGTGTTCACATTAAAGACTTTCAACTGTCACCGTCAAGCACCTACGAGACTCAACATTCTCTAACTACCCATTATGTCTACTCCCAAACCAGTTTACCCAGGCAAGACCATCCTTGCGTCCAAGATTGCCGCTCAATACAGCGATGAAATCAAGCAGGGCGTCGCTGAGCTCGACTTTAAACCAACGCTCGTGGGGTTTTTGGCTAACGATGATCCTGCCGCCGTGATGTACGCTAATTGGTCCGCCAAGACCACCGAATCACTAGGTTTCACCTACAAGTTAATCCAGTGCGACAAGAACGACTTAGAAATGCACATCTTGAAGGCCAACGAAACCCCCTCGGTGCACGGTATCATGGTCTACTTCCCAGTGTTTGGAGACCTGCAGGATCTGTACTTGCAGCAGTGTGTTTCCCCGCATAAGGATGTCGAGGGGTTGAACCACTTGTACTACAGAAACATGTACCACAACATCAGATTTTTGGACGAGCAGCAGCAGCAGAAGTCGATTTTGCCATGCACGCCTTTGGCCGTGGTCAAGATTATGGAGTATTTGCAGGTCTACAACCCTTTGATTGACTATGGTAACAGATTGTACGGTAAGAAGGTGGTGATTGTGAATCGGTCGGAGATCGTGGGTAGGCCCCTTGCGGCTCTTTTGGCTAACGACGGTGCCACTGTCTACTCTGTGGACATCAACAACATCCAGGAGTTCACCAGGGGCAACGATTTGTCATTGAGCAGACACCAGGTGAAGCCGTTGGAGGGAACCTCCCAGTTGAACGAACTCATCTCTGAGGCCGACGTCATTATCACCGGTGTTCCTACGGCAGCCTACAAGTTCCCCACCGAAGCCGTCAAGAACGGCGCTGTCTGCATCAACTTCTCAAGCGAAAAGAACTTCCGGGAGGACATCAAAACCAAGGCTGGGTTGTATGTTCCAAATATTGGGAAGGTTACCCAGGCCATGTTGTTGAGAAACTTGCTCAGATTGATTGAGAACAAGAAGAGAAGAGAGAATGCTGTCTAGCTTGTACCATAGTACTTTTACTTCTCTCTACACCATTACGCCCACTATTTAATACATATTTCACTTTATGAAGCTTACAAGGCGCAGTAGCTTTGGGAGAAGTGTAAAGGGTCGGGGTATATTATTTGTCTCACATCCATCACAATTATCAATTTTGTATCCACTATTAGTCTCCGACCCGCCAGGCTCAATGGCCAGTTAACAAAAGCAAGCATCAATCGCTCCCCCTTCCTAAAGTACAGCCCTGGAAGAGAAGTTACCAGTCTCATGCGTGTTTCCAACTCTAGAGCTATCTATTGTCCTCCTTTGCGAGGTCTATTCCGTTTGGAGGCCATGGTGTTGAATACCATATGAAGAGCGTTTCAAATTGTAACCAAAGTATTTTCCTCATGCCTTTCATTTTATAGCATCTGGTTGTTACCGGCAGTTAAAAGGAGTTGTGTGGCTACAGTCCAAAGCCTAAGCTTCCCTGTCGTGTCTATGATTGAACTGTCATCCAAACGCAACTAGGTGCCCTTATTCGCCAAACCAAGTATTGGTTGCAGACAAAATTCCAAGGTCGTGACATAGCCTCTAGGCTTGTCTTATGGATTCATAGATCGTAACCGATATTAAAGACACAATGTGTGTAATATTGGTTACGACTACCGAACCCTGACTACCGGTTATGGATATTTGCTGAAATCACCGGGTATCATCGGGATTACCTCTCGATCGCATCTGCCAGATAGTGTAGATTTTTTAGTCCACATGAATTGGTTTAAACATGGCCCTTTTTGCACCCCCTTTTGTCCTTTTTACCAAACATAAGCACCTAAAACCGAAACTTCTCTCGTATACATTGAGCGAAGCTCCGTTGTACTGGCAGCTCTTGGCATACGTCAAAAATCACGTGATAAAAATATTCCGGGTAACCCTACGTGACACATCGCTTATGGCATTCTGTCGATTCTGATAGTGCGCCTTCGGTGCAGGGGCAACAAAAGGGACTATAGGCCGCCCCATGAATCAGACAACCGATAGCCCCTTTGCCCAAACCAGTTCTGCCATTCCTTTACACCTTTTTTGCAGTCACACAGATTATCCACCCTTCTAGCCTTATCATACTGGATAGTCATAGATCATTCGACTTCCACTATTGATAATTGTGACAACCCAATCCTTTTGAGCTTCCAATTGAACTTTAAGTGACGTTGATTTTCAGACATTCAAGATCCTTTATCTACCTGAGTCCTCCGCTATAATCGACCTACATTACCTGACAACCCTTTTTGCCCGCTTCAATAATACAATCTGAATGTCCACTACGGTTTCCCCGAACCGAAGTCGCTCGGCTTCGCGCGACCCGGCCGCTAAAGCGCTAAATGATATGAAATTCTCAATCACGGCACACGACCCGCTGGAGCGACTTGCGCCGCGCGGCGGCACCGATGCGCCGAGCGACGAGGAGCAAGTGAGCGATGACGAAAAGGTGTTTGACTACGAGATCGCGCAGGAGGAGTTGCCGAACTACAACCCTGCGCACGTGGACGGGGTGACCCTCATTGAGGACGAAGACGAAAAAGGACCGTCCAAGACCGAAGCGTTACAGATGATTCTGGCTTACGAAAACGCGATCTCTAACGCAAAAGAGGCCAGGTCGCCGGTAGATGAACGTCTCGTCGAGACTGTGCGCACGCGGAAGAAGGAGCTCACGGGCTCAGACAAGTTGAATTACCCGAACATGGACGCCGTGCATCTGGCAAGAAAGGACAAGCTCGACAAGTTGCGTCACACGACGGAGTACACGGAGTACAAAAAGCAGATCACGCATCCCAACATCATCAGACCGTCGCAGAAGCCGAAGCTGATCGACCCGGATATGGTGATTCCGTACACGTCCGACGTGGAGAACAAGATCGACTTGGAGATTGCGAAAAAGTTGAACGACTCCACACGGATCAGTCCGGTGGACCTGAACGTAGAGAACGCGCGCGCGATCCAGCTGCTCACGCGTGGCGACTTTTTCCAATTGATTGATCCCGCGCGCAAGCCCAAGTCGTTTTTGGTGTGTTACGACCACTCGGAGGAGGCAAAGTACGCGCTCGACTGGTGTATCGGGTCTGTTCTTGCGGACGGCTCGGTGCTCTACATCGTAGAGGTAATTGAGGACGATGAGAAGTTGAGCGCGCTTACCTCGTCAGATCTGTCGCGCGCCCGCCGCCGCATCGAGAACTGCAACGTCATAGTTCAGTACGTTAACCGCTTACTCTCCAAGACGCGCTTGCAAATCCACGTCGTGGTTGAGGTGATGCACCACCCGTTGCCGCGTCACTTGTTCACGCAGGTGATCAACCACTTGAAGCCGACAATGGTGGTTGTCGGATCCAAGGGAAAATCTGCATTGCAGGGTGTGTTGCTCGGGTCTTTGTCGAACTACTTGGTCACAAACTCGTCGGTGCCAGTGATGGTTGTGCGCAAGCGCTTGAAGCAGTTGATTAAGCGGGGAGATGACAAGTTTCCAAACAATATCAAGTCAATGGCGGACGTGGAAGTGAAGCGGTCGATGGTGTAGCGAACGAGCCCAGGCTGTGTGAGCGAGACCTGTAATATATTCTACTGTGAGGTTTTTGTAGTTGATCTATGGCTGTAGGATCTGGACTCTATTGGTAGTCATGGCAGATAACTTATACATGTTGGCAGTCTCAAGAGAGAAAAAACTAGAATCTATTCACTATTCCTTCCTTTCACGTGTGACTATTTCATGATGCACGTCCCCGGATGCGCAAGCCGACGCATCTCTGAAAATGAGCGCTGGTAACGTCATGAGCGAGCCATTATCCACCTCCCGAGCCATATCACATGTAGAAACTTCTCACAAACCTTATACTTCCGGATTTCACTGCAGTTAAACTATAATTCACAAGCTTGGTGCTGGACACTTTGTTCTACTTAGACCTTGGTCCGCCCACGGCCAATCGTATCTCCGATCTCGCATGCGAAAGCTTCGTGCTGCTTTTCTCCACCGGCCTGCATCGTGGAGAAAAGAGTCACTTACAGCCAGCTTGAAACTCTTCTTCGCACATCGTATACGTTTCAGTATTGACCCCGTCAATCAATCGCCGTATTCGTTCCTATATTGTCTCCGTTCGGATAAAGGGACCTCTAAAAGCCTCTCATTTTTCAGCCAAGCAGTCTGAAAGAAGCACTCATCCTGCAACCACCAACCGCCGAAAGAAGAAGCTTACGAAACCGTCCGATCTGCCCCCTTTCCTACATCCGAATTACACAAATCACCTCCCAAATGACCGTCCAGAACGCTGCGACATACCTCGCGAAAATTCGTGCGTACGCACCGCGTCATTTCCAGAACGGCCCTAAGACCGTGTGGCACCATTTACCCGTGAACCGCCGCTCGGCGGTCCTCTTGCTCCTCTTCCTCGGCTCGCAGGGCGAGCTCCGCGTGCTCCTCACCAAACGCTCGTCCAAGCTCAAATCGTTCCCAGGGCAGATATCACTCCCGGGTGGCAAGGCGGATACGGGGCTCGAAACCGCGTGGGATGTCGCGCTCCGCGAGACAGAGGAAGAGATCGGCATCGCGCGCGACGCGCAGCGCCTTATGGACGCATATGGGTGTCTGATCGAACGGCTCGGCGAGTTGCCGTGCTACATGTCACGTAACTTGCTCGCGGTGAGGCCATGTGTGGGTTTCTTATCGTGGCAGGCCCGCGACGGAGAAACCTCCGAGAGGGTGGCCGAAGAGCTTGCGTTGTCTTTGAACCCCGGCGAATCATCCTCCATCTTCTCGGTGCCCGTGCGCGACATCTATCTCAGCTACCTTGCAGAGCAAGCCCCTGAAAAGCCGTTGGAGTGCCTCGGTAGCTCACGAAGTGTGTATAAGTGGGCAGGCATTCCTTGGTGCTTGAAGTCGTTTTTGTTCCCTATAGAAAGCGCTCATGAGCCTAAATGGTTGAACAACGTAACAGACTTGCCCTCAGACGAGGAAGCATTGTCTGACGACGAAAAACGGGCTATCAGCTATGGCAGAACTGGCTACAGGCGCAGCTCCATCACCGGTGATATGATCAAGGATGTGTGGGGGCTCACTGCCAATATCTTACACGACTTGGCTGAGATCATGTACGCGTCGCTGGTCGACACCGAGATAGGGGAGGAGGAGTTGATTTACGCGTTACGTAACAGTGGTCAATCCATGGGCAATGCTAAAGGCCGCACTCCATGGGAAAAAAAGTTGATCGAAGGTGACGAAAACGTCAGCTTCAAGGATGTGTTGCCTGCAGAGGAGTTTGAGCGCTTGAAGAGGATGTATGCGTCCGCGAAATTGTAGCAAAATAGGTGGAATAGAATTAATGCTAAGAAATGTTTCGTGGATTTTGGTAAAGAGAAACTAAAGTCTAGAAAAGCAAGCGAAATAGGGGGATTCACATTCGGCATTATGAATATTGTCCAGGTGGGAAGGCTGTACGTGCATTTTTGGTGCATGCTATCTTGACTTAGCCGAAGGTGCCAGTGTGTGGATAATTGTGTGCCTTCCTCGTGCTCTCGTTCTATTTAGTCTCTGATGGTGATTTTAAAGCTAGATATTTTTAGTATTTACTTCCGTTTGACCCCAAATCGTCCCGTTCAGTGGAGGGACGTGAGCACTAGAGAGATTACGGTTTACTCTACTTGTGCTACTCAAAAATTTCTTAAGCAGGTCTATCCATGACATGGCCTTCAGTGAGTATTACCCACCGTATAAGGATATCATCCAGAGTATGCTCATTCGGGATTCATCCGGATCATAAACCAGTCTGGGACTGATCTTGCAGCCTTGCTCCGTCTCCATGGAAGCAACACAGATTCTAGGTGCCTGTATGAAATAACCAGTTGAGCACTCTTCATATGATTGTCATGAAAATGTAACGGATAAAGGTATGAAAATCATGAGGGACGCTAATAAGTGCATTGTTTCCAAAGATTAAAGTGGCAAGACCAGCCAGGTATCAACCACTCCTTTCTTCGACCGATAAGTGGCTTTCCTTTTACGTCCCCACACCCTGATGCCGGCCAAAAAATGTAAAAGAAACTCCGCGACGGGGAATTGAACCCCGGTCCCCCGCGCGACAAGCGGGGATTCTAGCCACTAAACTATCACAGAAGGTTTTCTATGTCAGGAAATTCATATGGCTTGCTATACTAGATAAAGATTTTTTTCGTTTCGAAGTAACACTTCAGGAAAAGCGTTCCGCCTTCGATATACAAGATTAAAGCTCAATGCTTCCTCGGTCACTTTTATCATCAATTTCTACTGTTCAAAGCTGTGAGTGTTGTTCTCTTTAGAAATGATCCAGTAAGAGCTGCGAGTTTATTCGACTGAAGTCTAAGGCATAAACGTAGGTTTTGGGTGTACTTCCTTTACCAAGCCCGTCTGTGTATGGAACTTTGAAAATCTAACTCCCTCCATCGGCATAACTAACAGTATGACTCCACACGCAAACCTCAATTATTATCCACAAACACCAAAGCCGGTTACAATCTATCAAGCTAAATAAAAGCTTATAAGCTTAAACCCAGATGAACTAATCAGCCCCTAACTTATTGATATTCAAATTTCAAATTTATATTTCCCAGTTAACCACGGTATCCAGTGGATTAATAACCACCGATTTTAAGCAGGCTCACCAGCTAGAATTCACTCACACACACCCCGCTGAATGTTCAATATGCGTCTGTTCCCACCGAATCAACCCGAGAACACAGTCATTAATTTTGGTAGCACCACGACCTCCGGGTTTTTACATGGCTCGGTTGTAGGCCGAGCCGAAATTACTAAGCGAAAGTCGTAGCAATCAAACCCTAAATCTCCCCTTGAATATCTTTGTTAATAATAAGTTATAGAAATCAATTAGCCACGGCAAGCAATATAGAATATTCTTAGAAATAAAACTAACTTTTATTTTAATGCTCTCGAACATTCTTTGGTCCCACTGTGATTTTTCCCGTAACGCCCAATCTCCCCAGTAGCTGCACAAAACTTAGGCCATGCTGCCTGAAACTATCACGCCACTTTGGAAGATTCTGGAGACAATTCTCTCCTATATCCATATACATTAGTGACTACCGAGTATAGGATTGTCACCGTTACGCCTCGGTCGAAATTCACTGCGCCTCAGTGGCTTGTTACGCCCCGTGACGCCATACTTTTCCGTCTATTTTTCTGTTGCGCCACGCTCCTCGGCGCTGGTCGCAACAGGAGCCAAAAACACTCTTGGCACTCTGCCCTTTTAAAATATTTCTTTCCGCCCAATTTTTTGTCTCTTTCTATTTGTTTACCGACACTCTACATTTATTTTTCCATTACTACACGCCCAATAAGCATCCACTGTTAGAGCCACGCAAACCATCGCAGTTCAAAAACAATTACGCAAACTCTTTCGCTATGCTGATTCTCTCATCAGACATTCCAGAAACGTTGGAGCCCGAATCTCTGCGCAAAGCATCCGTCACCTTCAATGACTGCGGCACTACCACTGCTTCGTCCCAGACGGTGCCGGTGGATACCTCGCCGCGCGCCATGGCGTTGTCCTCGCTCAGGTGCCCGTCGCCGCCGCCAATTCTTGCACAGACGTCCATTGCCAAGGTAATGACCGACGATGACGAGCGGATGAAATTCGAGCAAGTGTTGGATGAGACTTTGCCACTGGCCAGCACGGCCAGCCTCCGAGAAACGGTTCCAGCCGGCGGTGCGCTCCTCAACCGAGTACAATCGGTTTCGCCGCGGCCTGAGAGCAACTCCATCCTGTCCGAGCCCGTATCGGAAGTTTTGTCTGACAAGCTGCTGCCTAACAAGCTCCTGCCTGATCTTAAGCCTATCCTATCAGAGGCTATGGTCATTGAGAAGTCCATCGACCGGATTTTGATACCGGAACAGACACCGCACCACCAAAAGGCGCCATCTGTACACGCCCACTTCTACGTCGAAGACACGCTCAGACATGGTGGTGGAACCCGCTCTCGATCAGGCTCAGCGACGATCCACGAAGGCTCAGAAACCCCTGCTGCGCGCTCCACCACGAGCCTCGAGGACAAAAGCCCCCGCACGCGACAGCCAATATCGGTGGAGTCGCGGCTCAACATGGAGGACGGTAAATTCCACGTACTTCTTGGGGTATGCGGCGCCACATCCACCAACAAAATCAAGAACATTATTAGCAAGCTCGAGGAAATCTACACGCGCGACAAGATCTGCATCCAGCTCGTGTTGACAGAGGCGTCCGAGCACTTCTTCACACACAAGCAGCACGAGCTACCAGCGCATGTAACGATGTGGCGCGACCGTGATGAGTGGGTCTGGACGAACCGCCTGGACCCGGTGGTGCATATCGAGCTTCGCCGCTGGGCGGACATCTTAATCGTCGCGCCGTTGACGGCCAACACGTTGTCCAAGATCGCGTTGGGCCTCTGCGACAACTTGTTGACGAATGTAATCCGCGCGTGGAACACGCAGTACCCGATCTTGCTCGCGCCCGCGATGGTCAGCCACGCATACAACTCGGCCATCACGAAGCGCCAGTTGAAGCTCATCAAGGAGGAGATGTCCTGGATCGAGGTCTTGAAACCGGTGGAGAAGGTGGTTGGTTCATTTGGAGATATCGGTATGGGTGGTATGATGGACTGGAACGAGATCGTTGACAAGATCGTCATGAAGTTGGGAGGGTATCCCGAGGAGGAGGATGAAGACGAGGATCAAATGGAAGGCGGTGACGATGACGACGATGATGATGACGATGATGATGATGACGAACCAGAGCTTTCGGATATCTACGAGCACGCGATAGATGATGAGGAGGAGCCTCTGGTGGAAACATTGAGTCTTAAGTAGTTGTCGTACGGTGTCTAAAATTTTGTCATTTCGCCATTGCTCGTTCTTTTACTTTACGGCTACTATTCTCTTAGCGCCATCTGCGATGCAGGCTTCATCCCTACAATGTTTAATGAATGGATTTAATTAATTGAGAATCTGATGTATTTCCTAAGGATCCGGATATTGTGTTTTTGATCATAGGGTGCGGCTTTCCCAGGTTTGCATATTGGGTGCTGCCTTCAGGTTGTGTCGAGATTTTTTACATCCAAACTGTGGAAGGGAAAGCGTAACACGGAATTACTAAGCTTAGCAATCGGGAGGTTATCTAATCTGCAGGAAACTCGGCATAAGCTATCGTTCCGTATTGGGGAGAATAGGAGCCAGTGCTCTGAGGACGATGAAATAGCAGTCCGACTGAAGATGTCGTGGGTTTGTGAAAAGATTGGTTTTATCATTCATAACGATCTTTCTGTGCTGTTCGGGTAGTCAGTTTACAACTGCAACTGTCAAACCATAACCAATTTCTAACAAAGCGATAAATGAAATCACCTCTGACGCAGCACTGATTCTAGTCTGTTTAGGATGATGACCCCAGGGGTGTATATTGTAGTTAGGTGAAGAATACGATGGATGCCGCACTAACTCCTTTACTGTGTGGTCATCATCTCAAAGGCACCCTGAAATCAGTACTCTTAAAAACCTCCATACATGATCATCAAGTCCCACCGAGGGATTTGTGCCCTTCACTACGTATCAGTGTGTATCCAGGGTACAAGCACATAATACGCCCTTATTTTCATCAACGTTTTGTATACCAAACGTTTCTCTTTGCGACATTATCTTTCCTCCCCAATAAGGGTCACAGCCACCTCCCCCGCCTCCTATCACGTGAGTTCTCATCACCACCGCCACGCAGAATGCGCGCACCGGACCAGTCTGATTTGTAATCGAAAAAGAAACACCAAAATATTTTTCAGTGACTCAATAAGTTCACGCCGAAATCATACAACCACGCCCCGAGTTTCTCTCCCCTTACCCTTTATTATCTCCAGCCTCATGTCGTGTATTCTCCTTCTTTTGCACCCCACGATAGTCACGTCACCCGAGGAGGTTGCCACGTTGAAGCGGCAAGTCGCGGCGCAACATCCGGGTGCCACCGTTTCCCAGCACATCATCGACCGTGTGGCGAACAGAGTCGTGCAGTTAGCGCCAGTTGAGTACAACATAATCCGCTACGTGTCGCCACAGGTCACAGCCTTGCCCCAGACGGTTCTTCCGCTCATCTTCCAGGCCTTGAAGCCGGCTGGTGTGTTCGAAGGGTCGTTGGATCCAGCACAAGCGTTTGACGCCATCATGGAGGGGTTTGCCGTGGATAAAGGCACAAACACATGGACTCGGCCCCAGGCACAAGCTGCCGCTGTTCTCTTGAGAAAACCAGATGTCAAAAGCTCTTTGCCCAAGTTCAAGAAGGCGCCCGACGCTGCCAAATTAGCATACTTCGACAACGCATCGGACGACGAGGAGATGGATGAAAACGAGCTTATTTCGCTCGATGAAAGACGCGACAACCTTGTGATTCCTGCGAAGTGTGAGTTGCCCACTGGCAAAAGGAGAAGAAAGGCGTGTAAGGACTGCACGTGCGGGCTAAAGGAGCTCGACGAACTCGAGACCGCCGCCCAGCGCTCGGTCCAAGACTCTTTGTTAGCAAAGATGGCGCAGTCTGCGTCCGCGGAGGCTGCCGAGATCGAAACCAGATTGAAGGGTAACGCTGTGAAGTTTGCCAGTGCAGACATCACCGAGATCGACTTCACGATTGAGGGTAAGAAGGGCAGCTGTGGGTCATGTGCCTTAGGTGACGCCTTCAGATGTGACGGCTGTCCGTATTTGGGCCTTCCTCCATTCAAGCCAGGCGAGGTGGTGTCGATCGACGCGATGGGGGACGATTTCTAGAAAGTGGTGGCACGGCCACGTATTTATTATAATGTCAGCATTTAGCAAAAACGAGTAGGTAGTAATATAGATGTAACCTGTGGAGAGGAACTAAGCTTTTGTCGGGCATATTATTAACCTTGATCGCGCTGGTGCGGGATTGGCTGTCTGGAAACATAAGAAGGCAATAAACGGTAAAGAAATAATATGCGAGTTCAAGTCTGGGTCTGGACACCCTCATTAGATTGCTGAGAATCACTAGGCTGCTACAAGGGTTCTAGGAATAATATTAGTTATTTATAATTCGCATGTGTACACTATTTCTATCACATAGGTTTTCTTTTTGTTTTTTTTAATAAAATCTGTTTATTATGATGCCGCTAAGGTTATGATACAATTATGAAACGAGAGATCTAGCACGAAACGCTTTGCTATAATCATGGTCTCCATGGCCGCTATGGGTTTTCCGTGGTAGAGTCACGGAAATCCACACCCCTAAACACTCAACAACGCCAACATGCCCTCAACCCTAGACGCCTCCTTGGCCTTCTCAACCTCTTGGCCCACTTTCTTCTTTAAGCTAAGCAACAACTCCTCCAAGACAGGCGCCTTTTCCACAACCGCACCATACATTTCCATGCACACGCTGACGTAGTCCGCCACCAAGTCCACACACTTAACGTCTTCGATGTTCTTGTGGGACCAACGGATCAACGGCTCCAAAGAAGCCTCATCTCTGCCGGAAAGCGCGACTCTCACCTTTCCCCTGGCTCTCAACTCGTTCAAAATCGTGATTGTCACCTCCTTGGCCTGGCCAGTGGTGAAAGCCGCGTCAAACGCCTCAGCCCATCGGAATCCGTTCAAGTGCTTCTCAAACGGACGCAACTTCTTAGTCGGCTTTGGCTTGTCGCTGACGATGCGGTGCTCGTACTCGCCAGTGTACTCAGCACCTCTCATCATTCTGGCAAAACTGTTGGACTTGGACTGCTGCTTGACACCCTGTTTGACCCTCGGCTGGGTCTTTCGGGTGCGCACGGAGAGCAACCCGGAAGTCAAGCCGGCCACAAAGTGTTTGTGATCTGGCGAAACCCCACACGACAAAACGCCACCGCCAAACTTCCAGCCAAACTTCACGGCCCAGTCCTCAGACGAGTCAAAGATCTTGACGTGGCCGTCCAAGGAACCCGCGAGAACCCCTCTGTCCCCCGCATCCGCGAGACATGTGACGGTTTTGGTGAAGTTGGACAAGTCACGCACGAGTTTGCCCCCAGCCATGTCCCAGACCTTGACGGAAGTGCCACCGGCAGTGACGAGTGTGGTTGGCGAGAGCGCCATGACCGCCTCGACCGGTGCGCCCTGGTCGAACTTGGCGATCGGACCGGCAGAGCCGCCGATACGAGCATCGAAAATGCGCACGAACCCGTCGTAGCACCCGGTAGTGATAAGGTTCGAGGAAGGAATAAAAGCCGCGGTACGGATGTAATCGGAGTGGTCATCGAAGGACATCACGGGAGCCTGTGCAGACGTGATGTCGTATAAACGCGCGACTCGGTCGTCGGAACAGGTCAAGAGGTTGGTGGAATTAGTAGGGTGGAACTTGGTCACGTGGGTCGGGTGGGTGGATGGGTTAAGCGTCACAAGCAAGGTTCTTGGCTGGTGTGCATCGAAAATTTGCACGAGCCCGGACGCGTCACCGGCGACGAGAAGCCTGCCGTCGTGTCTGAACTCGCCGGAGTAAACGGTCTCCTTGAAACGGGAAAAGGTCTTGACAACCTGACGGGTCTTGGAGCCGAATACCTGGATACGAGTAGAGGATGTAACGGCAAAATCATGCGGACTGACCGGGTTGAAATGGATGTGCGTAATGGCGTTGTGTTCCTTGACGAGCTGTGTGTTGGTGAATCCGCGCCAGTATCTCTGCTCAGGCGTAGTCTGCTGGGCCGCGGTCGGCGCACGGAGCGGCTGCACTCTGGTCTTGGTGGAGGACATTATAGATCAAAGCTGGATTGGGGTCGGTATAGCGGGACTCGGAGCGATATGACTGGGAAGGCGGAGATTCATACCGTTTTGGTGTGCATGATTTTTTTTTTTCTCTATAATTTTTCACGCATAGAGATGAGGCTTGAATGCAGGATAAAGTGTTACCCGGTGTTCTCCTGGTAAGAGTAAGTTCGTGGTAGGCGACGATACACATGTTTAGGTAGATCATTGAACCTGCTAGAAGGCATGCCATTCGCCGATTGGTACCGGTTCTGTGAATAATTGAATCAGCTGGATAATGCCTTATAGGGTGGTCCAAATGTATGGGCTTAGTGTATCAAGACCATCATGCAGCTTCACCGGAACTGGTACTTTGAGATACACGGAACCGCTTGGTTAGGAAAGGGCAGGAGAAAGTAAGCAAAATGTGCCTGTAAAATGGTTAGAAGATCCCTCTCCCTACTTGGCTACTAGGTAAGGGTTAATGTGACAAGGTGCAACGAGTGACAAGATGTGACGATATACGCACTCAGTGCAGGGGTGGAATGACGAGGGGGATTTTACACAAGGGGTAAAAGATAAGGCAGGAGACTTGGTTGTATGGCCAGCTGCTTCCGTGTTGTGATAACCAGACTGGGGTAGATATAAAATAAGGAAAGGGATTGTATTCAAATCATTTATTGGGATCAACAGTATTTATCGGGGATTCTTAGTTGAGCTTAGGTATCTAAGAATGTCTAAAGCCCGGTACTTGTATATTTGTTATTTGGTAAATAAAATTGTGACAGCCCTATGTTTGCTCAATCAATAGTTTTTCTGTGTAGATAACCGTGGCCGGAAATGAGGAGTTCAAACGGCTATATTGTTTCTCGTGTCATGGATTTCACGTTTAACAATTGAGGTGATCTATGATACTGTTTGTATGTTTAAAAATGCATTCCAGGAAACCATAAGGGGCTAGTTTTTGGGGGATGATGAATAAATTTTCCTAAAGTCGGAATGGTGCAAGTTAGGCCAATAATGTTACCAATCCTAGTAACACGGGGGTATGCTGGCAGAGAACCTTCATGCTCTATTTCTGTTTTTTTTTAGAGTTTATAAAATAGTACGCCACTATTCTCTTTGAATTTGGCTGAGGTAATATATATCGTTATTTTAATGCAGCAAAGTCATTTATTTTTTTTTTTTTTTTCAGTTATTCTCTGAATTGCTCCAACTTTTGTTAGCCAAGTGGTGAGTGGCAAATATCAATTGCTTCCAACAAAGTACCTTGGTCTAAGACCAGAAAAGCATCCCAAATTTCTCTTGAGCCCTGAATTATTACCGATTTATTCTAAATGAACTATGTTTGGTAATTCCAAATCACTAGCTATCATACCTTCCTCGTACTATCTCCGAAGCGTCCTGCCTTTCACAGATTAAAAATGAAACTCTGGCTGGTTTTACAACGTCCGAACAGCACAAAAATAGACTTTCCCGCGTCGTCTGGTTTGCGTTAGAGTATTTTCCTCTCCAGGAAAAGGTTAAACCCTTTACACCTAGTCGAACTATATATTTTGTCATTCATGTTGGCTCTTTCTAAACGGAATCGTAACACGTGTAATAAATCGTTAAACTAAAATATTAGGCCAAACGTTACCTGCCTTGTTACAACATCCCAACAAACTGGGAATGTGCTGGCATCGTCCAGATACCACTTTTTGACTACACGTTATGTCATGGTTTCAATACATTGCTCTTGTCTATACGTCATAGGGTTACCAGAAAAAAAAAATATTAAATAACCTTGCGACGCATGTGTAAAAATGGGCTACACCTTGCTGGCAAAGGTCTGTTCGTTCATCAACTTGTTTGCATTCTTCGCTCTGTACTCTTCCTGGCAGTGCCTCAACTCGGAACACGAGTGATCCTCCACTAACCGGTGCTTCGAGCAGTACTTGTGGTTACAGTACGTACAGTCTCCGATGAACTTGGCTTGCGGCTGATGGCACTGCAGGAAGTGGCATGTCTTTTTCGAAAAGGTCTTGCGTTTGATGCCGGGCTTGGTGACTGAGGCGGCGGCGGCGGTGGGCGATGTGGTAGGTGTGAGGGTATTGGAGAGTGTAGCCGAATCTGTCCGGGCAAGACAGAGTTCCACCTTCTTTATGATCGGCGAGTTCAACGGGTTGAACAGCTGGAGCGCGAGCGAATGGTTGTTGTGGACGAGGATAATCGTGGAGTGGTCTACAATGTCGAGGGTTTCTAATTTCTGGGACAAGATATCCAACACCTTTCCGTTGAACACTAGCTTGAACAGAGACGGCTTGGCGCCTGAGGGCAAAACGGCGATCGGAGCTGCAATGATCACCGACGTCTTCAAGTCCATGACACTCGAGTTATCGGGAATAGTGATCGAAAAGACTGGGTGGTTAGTACTCTATTCTCCTAATGACGAGACGGTGGCGACATACGAGAATCTGGCGAACCAGAGGAGGATTTAACAAAGATCTTCATAGTGTTTGAATGTGGTAATGTATAGATACTTTCGGACTGGAAAGAGATGTGAAAAGGGGTGGAACAGAGGTTAGAATATAGTGGGAAAAGGAGAGAGAGTGCAAAAAAGTGTTTGCGAGCAAAGTCTCTGCCTATATATAGCCGCCTGCACAGTGACTGTAATCGTCTTCTTCCGGGATCGAAGCGCTCGGCCTCCCGTTGTCAGCTTATCGCACGTGAGTACATGCACGTTTCTTTTGGCGTATGCACCGAAACGGCCTGTATGCCGGTTCTTGATTGCTTTTGCTTCTCAAACCGTGCTAGTTTCTTTTTTTCCGGGGATTACGTCAACTGATCGCCGGTTACGGAGACGGTGGAATTCTGGCTAAGATCGGCAATTCCATTCTAGAGCAATCCCAGTAAGCCGGAAAGGAGAGGATATATACCTGGATGCCAAACCCTAAGAGCAATCCAAGCTAGAAGTTATGGGGAAGTTGTTCTCCGGACACTCTAACAACACCCTTTATAAAGATGGGCAGAAGAGCTACGATATTACCTATATCCACCAAATACGAATAAGATGGTGTCGTACTGAGTTGCTATATGATATTCATTCATATCAAATGTATCCTTTACCTTGTTTAGTAAACACTATAAATCCAAGTTCCTAAATTTGCAACCGAGGTAGTTTGCTCTTGCGAAAATAAGATGGAATTGGGCTATTTGGAGCTCCGTTGTAACTATAGAACTATCATTATAACCGTCAGCGACGTAGTCTAGCTGGGTACCATAGCGCTACTTTTACAAAACTAACCAATCTCACAGCTGTCTCAGGCTCCGCTGTCTCGGACATGACAGCATCAACCCTTGTCTCGTGTAGAACAGAGCTCGGTATATTTATGCGCATGACTAAAACACAACCTCGATTGTCGTGTCAGGGACGAGAACCCGAGACAGCTGTATTCGATATCCACCAGTGGCCAAACCTATAACAGGAATGGGTAAGGGTGCACACACGTTTGAATAACTTGTACGAGAGTGTCTAGGTGGTTACACCAGTAGTGATCTCTACTATGCATCTGTGGCTAGGTGCCCTTTCCTAGTAAGATGTTTCGTCGCATTTTCTCTCAGTATGCCTCAAATTCCACGCGATAGCTTTGGTAATAGGCGTAAATTCGGGCTATGAAAATCTTCTTCAGTGCGCAGCAAGTAGCGACCCATGTGCTAATCCTGGCATCGAATGCACTGCGGAAACTTTATGGGGTTAATATGACGGGCATCAATAACCATGTTGTATTTCTGGATACAGCTTGTTACACTTTCCCATGTGCTAAAATTCCGCTTCGTCACTATGGAGTGACTCAATCCAGCCGGCAACCATCGAATCGTTCATTGGATGCATGCACTAGTCTTGTTCGCCACTATTTAGTCAAGGCAGGATGTAGGGTTTCCTATACTAACAGTTTCTCGTGTTGGAGTAGCCTATCACGGTGGTCATGGAACGTTATATAGCATATTTCCATGTCATTTTAGTTATTTAATGGGTTTATACGGGCTAAGATTCATGGCTGAACCTTGTGACAACGTGTGCCACTGTTTCCCTGGAGTTACAAGAATATATAGTCCGTGGGTCCTGTTAATATTATCTCTATCTTCCAGCCTCTCGGAACCCAACCCTGATTCCCTATCCAAAATTTTATTTTTCAACAGCAGACTAACGTATTCCTGAGCTTGTAGATCAATAACATCCATAGGTGGTATCAGAGAGGCTTAAATGGTTTACGTCAGCAGTCTACCATTGTGACATACCTACGGTATATCTAGCAGATAATAGTGGATACTGATAATTAGTCAATAGAGAATATTTTTCGTCCGTAAGCTATACGCAAGGGTAGTCGGTGGCCTTACATATTGAGGCGGATACGATACCAGGGTGACCGCCTATCCGAAGTAGGAGATAACGTTCGCTAACGTTCGTCCGGTTAAATGGCACCTTTACTACAATTCCTCTACTCTAATCAATACTAATATCATTTGTGCGGCCCTCCTTCTACAATGGGATGCTAATATCATGGTAAATAACCCTAGGAGAGAATGTTTCGCTCCTATCCAGGGGCTTAATTTAGTTTCAAGGCCAATAACTATTTATCAAAGTTATACACCAAAATCTGTGGTCTAACCATTCCGCTCAACTCTTAGGCATGGAACTTGACATCCCAAAGCTTTACAACACCGTCGTTGCCGCCACTGACAACCTGCTCGCCTAACCAGGCGACAGCAGTGACCCCGCCGTAGTGAGCACCAGGGAACTTGATATTCTTAGCAGGTCTCGCCACACTGTAGACAATGATCTGTTCGTCAAGAGACCCAGACACAAGGAACTCATCTCCATGCCAACTCATGCTCGTGACTCTGGCGTTATGGAAGGACCAACGGGAGGTAACAACGGTACCGTTGGTCGTTTCGTACAACACAATCTTCCCCGTTGTATCAGCCACGGCCAAATGCGAGCCTGATGCAGAGAGAGCCACCTTGCTCACAGCCGAACGAAGTGGAGCCAAAGTGGTCCTTGCGTATGTCTTTGCATCAAAGACGTTTAAGGACCCGTTCTGGCCACCCACAATGATGCCGGTCGCAGAGGCAGTGACGGAGGTGGCAATAAAGTCAAGCTTAGAGGTATGTACCTGCGTCCCGAGCTCAAACACAAGAAGTTCAGATTCGGTAACTATAGCGGTGGTAGTGCCATGGCTGGCCGTACCCTTTGGCTGCCCGCCCAAAACGGTCTCTGATTCGTGGCTTGACCCCTTCTGGTCGATGATCAGTAACTTATCGTCCCAGCCCACACTGCTGACGCTGTCACCCAAGTTGTTGAGTCCAATCACCATGTTTGTGTGGCCTGTGCCCCCGAGGTAGGAGGCGCTCTTGGTCTGCAAGTCCCATTCAGCGATCCTCCCGTCGTATGAACCGGTATAGAGCCTTTCGCCCACCGCTATAGCGGTGATGGACTTTTGATGCCCCTTTACAATCCTCACAGGCGCATCGGAGTCCAAACTTAAGAAGTTGAGCTCACCCGAGAGGGATAACGAGATGATATCGGTCTTGGTGGCGACAACCCCAACCTGGTGGGTAGCCACGGCCTTTTCGAACGTCCAGGTTTTTTCTGCGGTACCCTCAGTACTCCACAACTTGACGGTTGAGTCAGCAGCAGAGGTGACAAATTGGGTGGAGTTAACCCAAGAAACCGCGAAAATCCCACCATCGTGGGCGTTTTCTACTTTGCGGACGAGCTCGCCAGCCCCGCTATACACCACAATGGCTCGGTCTGCACCCACACTCACGATGAACTCACCGTCAGGCGAGTACTTTACGTCTCTGATAAAGTTGGAGTGGTTGCCTCTTACACTGGATTGGAACTTGTACGGCGGGGCGGACAACACGACAAGCGCAGAGTCGTTCGCCACGGTAACCGCGCGGAACGGTCTCACCGGTCTGATGGCAACCGCGGTGATGGCAGCGGAATGTCCAGATATCTCACCAACAGAGTTTCCGGTGTCGAAGGTGAAACAGTGGCCAAATTTTTCCTTACCATCACCCACGGCAATAATACGCTTGGAGTCTGCATCCCAGGAAAGATCGTTAATACGGCCAGAAATGATCTGGAAAGAAGACTTGACGGACTGCGAGCCCTCAAGGGAACAGTCCCACACTTGTACCTGCCCGGACTCATCGCCAGATGCAATGTAGTAGCCAGAGGGAGAGAAACGGGCAACGGTGGTGGTGTGGGTGTGGCCAGTGAACTGCCAGGAGAGAGACGGGTCAGAAACAGAGCGGATAAAGATCGATTTCCCCAGAGCATAGGCAATACGGTCGGTCGTAGGGTCATAAGAAAGATGGGTCGTGAGCGCACGTGTTGTGGCTGGGAGCGGAGCCCAGGTGGAGGCTGAGAGGTTAGTATTGCATGACGATAGCGATAATGTGACGGCATAAGGGAGGTTTGATGGAGCAAGATGATTCAACATATGAAGCACGATGGTTCTAAGCATTATGGAAAGTGTCTCGACGGTTTCAAAAGGGCGTGCGGAGTGGTAACTGGCGTTCAGAGAACGTATGATATACGGAGATTGTGAATAAGCAGAAACATCGTTTGATAAGGCAGCCGGGAATCGCAATGAGTCAACTGACAGGAAAATTTCAGAGGGTCTGTCGCAGGTTGTAGGTCCATTAGTCTACCACTACACTGACCATGCTTAATGAGTGGCACAAAAACGTACATCTTCGAAAGGGGGATGCCCAGGCCAATCTGAGCCCAAGACCGTGGCCATGTCACCCATGTTATCGCTTCAGTTATGGTACATACTTTGCATGAGCGACATTTTCGATAGATGTCCTTTGGATATTATAGGAAGCAGATTTAAGGCTTAATAAAGCAGAATCAATTCAATTGATATGGTCTGGAGAGAGGTCAATGACGTGACACGTTGATCCGCTGCGGTCAGGAATTTACCAGCCGATAGGATTCAATGTATGGAGGATTCCGCATTGGCGCATCGGGCTCGTAACCGATGTAGACAGAGCGGAGAGATTACTATCACCAGCATAGACATGTTACTTGTTTAATAAGGGTACTAGAGAAGCAACCATGATAGGGGTTTTTCATTTCGCATAAAACTTGTAAAACTGTGCAAATGATGGTATCTGGGCATATGTGAGGCTATGATGAAGTTTGCTGAGCAAGATCAAGCGAATCAAGTAGTAGGGGAGGGCCGGTAACGTTGGTCAAGGTAAGGTGGTATAACCTTATTCTAAGATACTTTTTTTTACTCAATATCAGTTGTTGGCTTAACAACTTTGAATGTCTTAATCTCCTTTGGAAACACGAAAGATGGTACTTTGTTTCAAATATTGCATGCCACGGATCCTATTACGAGGATAGGTCAGGAAAAATCACATACCAACACGGCAAATACATCGATATATAAATATATAATAGATGTATATATATAATATTCCTTGAATTTTCCTTTTAAACGGGCTCACTCACCCCATTAAACGAGACGGTTAACCTCACTTCATCAAAATCACGTGCCTTAGACTCCAGGTCGGACAGAAATTTTTCACCCCGGATGACGTAAACCCCGACAGATCCATCTCTAGCCCTCTTTTCGTACACCAAACTATAAAATGGCTAAAAGACCGCTTGGCTTGGGCAAGGCTGCCAAATCGAAGAAGCAAAAGCCAGAAGCTGCTGAAGCTCCGGCGGATGTGCTCACGGTTGAACTCAGCGAAACCGCGGACGCGGACGACGAATTGGCGCAGTTGAAGGGGTTGTGGCAGACTTTTGTGGAATCTCCAAAGGACAACCAGCTCATTCTCAACGGGCTAATCCACGAATGTGACCGTTTGTTGAGAAACTACGCCACAGAAAACGAGGGAAAACAGCTCCCGGACTATTTCCATGCAATCTACGCCGGCGCGCTTGCGGATATGACTAGGTTTTTGGAGGTTGAGAAGGAAATCGACGAGTTTTTCACCACCGCCGAAGAGAGAATTGAGACTGGCTTGGAGCAGTACCCTCAGTCCATCAGCTTGTTGTTTGCACAGGCAAAGCTCTTGCTCAATCGCATACCGTTGGGCTATGTCTCGCGCATGGACTTGGAGTCCACTACCAAGGAATTTCCAAAGGTTGCTACCTTGCTCGACAGAGCGTTGGATGTGTATGAATCCGCGGAGATGCAGGCTGAAATCGCCAAAGACTTTTCCTGTTTTACCCAGGAAAACTTTGAGATCTTAGAGACCTATGACGACTTGTTGGACTTTATTGACAACTTTGGCCGCAACACCGCCGACGGCTTGGACAGTGACGAAGAGAGTGGTGACGAGGAAGAAGTTGAGTTATCCAAAAAGCATCCTTTGAGAGGCATCAAGGAGGAAGACAAGTACAACTTGTGGTGGAGAGAGCATGTGGTGACGTTTTTGACCCACTTTGACGCAAAAAAGTCCAAGGAGGTCTCTGATGTGGCGTTGCGTCGCGAGATCTGTAAGCGTTTGGGCCAGTCTTACTTGATGGAGGCCGAGGAGCCGTCCCAGATCTTCACCGCTCTCACCTATGAGAACAGCGATGAATACCCTGATCTCGACGTCAAGGAGGTCCAGAAGGATGTCATCAAGCTTGTAGAGCAGGCCATTGCGTATTTGAAGCAGGCGGAGGACCCAGAAGTTCCACAGAGCTGGGTCGATATTGCTGAGGCCCAGATCACCTTGGCGAACTTGCACGACAACGAGAGCGAGATCCAAGAGGCGACCTACAAGTTGGCTGAGGAAAGATTGGCCAAGGCGAATAAGGCTACCCATGGAAAGTATGACGATATCATGAAGAACTTGTTGGCTGGTGACAGCGACGAGGAGTAACTTATAGGTTAGTTTTAATTATTGTATTTATGGGGTAGAGGTGTGAGAATTGTCACGCAATTGCAAGCGGATCAAACGTGCACCTTGAAAACTAATCTAGCTCAAGCCATACCGACTATTAATCCCCCTTGGAAATAAAGTTTTTCTGACTGGGTGTTTATATAACCAATTTATGGATTATAAAGAGAATGATTTAGTCATTTCTGAAGATCTCCTCAAGGCTTCCGCTGCCTTCTAGTCTATGCAGGACTCCCGGCACCTGAACCGATCTCGTCAAAGTTAAGGCAATACTGACTTCTTACTCCACAGCCGTCTTTCACCACACAACCTATCTCCTTACACGCTACACAATGTCAAAGACCATCAAAGCCACTGCTGACGATATATGGAAGAACAAGGTTGAGAAGATTGTACGTCTGCCATCCCCTATCCCCTGATCGCCTACTAACGTACCAGAACTCAGAGCTCTTCACCTTGACCTACGGCTCGGTTGTGGCGCAGCTCTGCCGCGACTTTCACAACGATTACGTCCAGGTGAATGCCCAGCTAGAACGCATGGGGTTTAACATCGGTATCCGCTTGATCGAAGACTTCTTGGCCCGCACGGGGCTCGGCAGATGTCAGAGCTTCAAAGAGACAGCTGAGGTGGTATCAAAGATCGGTTTCAAGATCTTTTTGAACGTGGTTCCTCTGGTGACAAACTGGTCAGGTGACGGGAAGCAATTTTCGTTAGTGCTCGAGGAGAATCCGTTAGCAGAATTCGTGGAGTTGCCACAGGACGACAAGGCCAGCCGCGCGTTGTGGTACTCGAACGTGCTCGTAGGGGTCTTAAAGGGCGCCTTACAGATGGTTCAGCTTGAGGTGGATGTCGCGTTCGTCAAGGATGTGTTGCGGGGCGATGACGCCACGGAAATACGCTTGAAGTTGATCAAGGTATTGCGAGACGAGGTCCCAGCCGGCGAGGACTAATATAGTGGGTTACTTAGTGTATATTATGAACGTTTTATAACGCGTAGCTGGAGAGATACAACCACTGATGAGGTAGAAAGATTGAGATGACATTTAAGCCTCATTAAAATGGGTAAGGTATGTTTGCTGGGGCCGACCTGAAAGACGCAATGAGGATGAAAATGGGGCGACACTAAGGACTCTAAACATTCATAGAGTATAGGGATTGAGTCCGAAAATAAGTTGCTTGATTATATACACTCGCTACGGAATAGTTTTGATATCTTTATAAAGTGTTTATACGTATTCACCGCCTTCAGATATTAACTCCTTTGTCATTATGGTTTACTTTCTCCTTCTGAGGCGGGGACGAAAAGGCTGTACAACCCGGTCACTCAACGGATATCGCATTACAGTCTTGTCTTTTCAAACGCTTTATTAATATGGTTCTTGCATTTCTCTATAATAATCTGCTCCCCTTTTGACATTTCCGCCTTTCAATGAAAAGTAAAACCAGATGATCAAATATGGGTTGCATACATGAAATCACCAAGCATCGATGCACCAGGTGCCCCATCGATATCTACGGCCACCTAACTTCGTCGCTGTTTACACAAAAGACATTAATTAAACGTTAGGATACAAAAAGATTAGAGGGTATGGTAACGGGATGCGAATTAACAAGCACACCCTTGATCAGTGTTGGTGCTTGGCTTGTTCAAATTGATTCTCGGCTTTGAACGGCTCATTGTAGACCGGATCTGTTCCTCCACTGGCAACTGCTCGGCGATCCGGTAGAATACGTCCCTAATCCCATCACCGGTCTTAGCGCTGACCTCACAGAACAATAAGCCGTTGTCGATGGCGTACTGCTGAGCCTCTCCCGTCGAAACCTCTCTCTCCGCTTCCAAATCTAGCTTGTTTCCGGTAAGTGCAATGGTTATATCGGCATTCGCCTGTCTCTGTAACTCTTTGATCCAGTTCTTGGCACGCTCTAACGAAGCCAGCTGCGTGATATCGTACACCACCACCGCGCAGTTGGCGTTACGGTAGTACATCGGGGCCAACGACTTGTATCTCTCTTGGCCGGCAGTGTCCCAGATCTCAAACTTGACTGTGGTATCGTTCGCCAACTTGATCGTTTGTGTCAAAAAGGCGGCACCAATCGTGGACTCCCGGAGGTCGTCAAAAGAGTCTTTGACGAATCTGTGCACAATGGACGATTTCCCAACCGCCGACTCTCCAAGGAGAACGAGCTTAAATTGGGCGAAGCGGGGGATTGGATCTTCAATAGACATGTGGAAAGAGCTTGTGTGGTTATAGACCTGTGGGTTATAACAACTGTGGTGGCAGTGACGTGGTACGTGACATTAAAATTGATAAGGCAAATACTATGGCTAGCCAGCCGATAGCGCTTAGGTAAGCGACAGAGGCGTGGTTATGTGCCCGATGTATTACTACCATATGTCCAAGAATATGCGTTTTTTACACATCGACTCTCGGGGTGGCCAAGTTGGCTAAGGCGCGGGACTGTAATGTTAATGTAATCCTGAGATCGGGTGTTCGAATCACCCTTCCGAGATGTTTTTTGGAATTTAGTAGATGGTGCTTTTAATATATTATAGTTGCGGGTTTGGTTTGTTGGTACTATAGTCCCTATAAATTGAGGAGACAACTTGAGATGCCTGGCCTTCGGCGCCCGGTGCCAGTTTGTAGTGATAAAAAGAAAACACAGCATGGGGTAGCTGCGCCTCGAGGAGTCGGTGTGGAGGATAACCACGGATCTGGAAAACGGCATCGATACATAGGTAAGCCTGCAATGTTTTACTCAACTCGCATTAATCCAAGGTTTCCAGTTGTAGTCTACTCGGATAGGTCGGAATGTCCTGCCTGAGCATGTTATTATGATGGACCAACTTGACAGTGTGCGCTTCGTCCAGGTGCCCCCTCGTCTCGTTAAAGCCGTCATAGTATTACATAACCTGGATGTAATCTCTTGGGTGTAACCTCCTGAATGGAACTTTTTGGGTGGAATTTTTTGGGTGAAACCTCTTGAATAGATTCTCTTGAATAGACGCTCTTGGATTTAACCCCTCGAATGGATATAAGAATTTATATCACGTTGACTGGGGAAGGCCATCCCTAATTGACATTCTCGTGCTATCCTCCAATATTCAGCTTGTAGTCCATTGAATATGATACTATAAACTAACACTATTATGGCATATCTAGCGGGTAATCGGGAATGCTGTTAGCTAGTTATAGGAATACGTTTCCTTCATAGAGTATATACGAGGAGGAGTTAATGCCTTTATATATTGAAGGAGAATATGATACCAAAATATCCGATGATCAGTAGTTGTATAACCATAGCCTGATCGGAAATAAGAAGATATCGGCCGACAAAGTCTATCTAATTAAATGCCACCTTTAACATAGCTATAATAGGCTGGCTGCTCTGGATGCTATCAGGGATTTTACGAGGTTAAGGGATTTTTCCCAGAAACTCCGTGTATTATTCAACACCCAAGACAAAAACTTTAGTGTAACTTGAACTCCCACGCTTATCCAAGAGAAACCTCTGATTTCGGACTAAGGGGGTCAATTATATTAGGTGACTGTATAGAAAACAAACTAACTCTAGTTTTTAAGGAATGGTTTCGTGGTCTAGTTGGTTATGGCACCTGCTTAACACGCAGTACGTCCCCAGTTCGATCCTGGGCGAAATCATCCTATCTTTTTTTGACTGGACTGAAGTATATTTTTAGATAGATTGGGTTGATGCTTCAAAGTTTTATTGTACTAGTAGGCGTTGTTACGTATATGTACTGTTTAACGACAATATATAGTATATATGAGTATATATATATTTATATATATTTATACTTTAACCAAACATATTTTATATGATCAGCCTGTGAGCCACCATTCCGATTTATATAAATATACGTGAATAAAGATATTGGAAATGATTTATATAAAATTATTATAGGAGAGATAGGCGCTGGTTTCATTAGTTGTGTATCGTACATACGGAATGAAAATGCTAAGACAGCGAGATTTATTAAAATAGATAAGGTTTCTGTCCCGAATTCTAGATCTTTATTTATTTGCGGTAGCTACCGGTACACTACATGCCGGAGCCCCCCTATAGGCTACGTGTGCACTTCGACCACACAATTTCATCAGCTTGATCATGCTTCTGTTGTCGAAGGTCCCAGGATAACAACAGTCACTATAAACAGCTCTCTCGAGTGCTGATAATTTTAAAATATTCTGATGTTTGATGAAATTCTGTCAAGCTCCAGCAACCCTGTCAGCAATTCGGAATATGCTAGTGTTATGACCCAAAACGTAATTCAAACTTATAATACACGAGCCGGTTTGGCGCATAGGATATGTATGTTATTGACAGGCATTTCTTAAAGTAACCCCTTGCACTGCCAAGAGTTATTTTATGACTGTTTTACACGGAGTTAAACTGACAAAGGCAGTCCGAGTTTTTTTTCTGTGTCCTGACAACATTAACCGAGGCGAACTACGTCATTCTTGACTATTAGCCTTTATGCATCATAGATCGTATTGTTTAGAGATGCGCGACATGTCTGCTTTCCTAAACAGGTAGTAATTAAACCACGCTATGAAACCTGATCTGAAGTGATGGATAGAATCAAGGACAAGAGGAATCTTGCTAGGCGCTATTAAGGATGCTAACCCGAAGCTAAAGGGAACACTAACCCACTTTTAAAGTGATGTATATAGCAGGTAAGAGAACATTCCTGGTTGTTTTATACACTAGATAAGTAAAGGGATATTGCCGAGACACTAAGCCATGTTGACGCCACGAGATTATGCAATAACAGCACCCGACGAGAGATATTTTAGTTAACCAACTTATTCAAGGACCCCAACCGCAGAGCAGTCGGCTTGATACCAATACATTTTTACGGAAAGTGTTTTGGAGATTTATCAAGCTGCCAGCATGTTTATCATTTCAAAATATTGGAGGGTATTTTAAATCCATTACGTATATCCTAAAAAGTAGCTAAAAAAATCCGGAGGCGTAAACAAGCGCAAGACGTGACCAGTATGAAAAATGATGTATATAAGTGAGGACGAAGAACTGAAAGAAACCAAGCCAGTTAAAAGGGGTATGAAGGGCCAAACCTAGGCCATTTAAGAATAAAAAGAGCAGAAGTGAATAAAATGGGATGTGGAGGGTCTATGTTATTGTACAGGTACCACTTATTTGTGGTAGCGGGTTTTCTCCTTGGTCTCGGCGGTGGCATGGGAGAAATTGATCGTATTCGCAGCCGTGGCAACGTTGATCTTTGGCTTGCCTGGAGTATAGGAGGGGACAATGACTGGGAATCGACTGGGGGTAGTTGGAGCAGCGACGACGGCGGCGGCGGCAGATGATCTAGCAAGATCCAAGTTGGCCTTCACCGGGGTGGCGTCAACCATGCTAAAGGCGATAAGCAATACGGCAGCAGATGTGAACTTCATTGTGTGAGGATACGGGTTTATAAGGAGTGACTTTGCGTTTGAGAACTTTTGTTGATCAAAGAAGGGAATGTTGGACATATATATAGGTTGTGCCAGATGTGGAGGTGATGTGGATCGTGCTGACCCGCTTAGGGAATTAGAGCTATAAATCGTATGCGTCTCGAGCCTGTTTCATGCGATCTAGAGAGAAGATGCATGAGCGGCTGCGCCTGGGGCCGGCTCGTGCGCTATTATTCCCTCCGGGCACGCGTCTTGGTGTGCGTCTGGACTGGGTTTATTTCCATTGCGATGTTTTTCGAGCGATGTCTGCTGGGTTTTGGACCTGATTCCGGTTCTGGGCCTGGCTCAAGATTGGGGAAGTGATCGGCATATCCGCACAAATTTCAGACTAGGTTCATGACACTGTCACTCGTACCCTTGATGAGTCTAAATCTTGTTTTGTATTGTGGGGCCACCCTACCGGTTCTATTGTTTACGATCCAAGAGCGTCGGCTTACTTTTTACTTAAGAACTGATTTATAAGAGGAAATATCACTTCCCGCCATTATATAGAAGACCCGTCAGTTAAGATGGTTGTACTTGACAACCCCAGACGATATTTCCACGTCTTGACGTGGCAAGCTCCGAGCCTGGCCATAAAAAGTCGCGCAGCTAAATTTCGCGTGTTTGTAGTTCCCGGGGAAACAGTGTTAAATGCGCCTCCTTTGGAGGAGCGAATCCACGCCACCCCCTTGTGACAGGTAACGATGACACTTTTGGTACATAAAACGTTTCGGTATTCAACAGAGAGCACGAAGGATAGAGAGTCAAAAAGCAACGTGAGTTCAAATAAATTTTCCGGGCCATAAAACAGTGCTGTTGATTGCCAGTGGAGACATGATAACCAAAATGTCCACCATAGTGTCCGGTAGGGTACGATCCCGGAGCCGGCCCTCACAGCTTTGGGAGATTCGGACGCGTACTCGTGTGTTTAGCTTGGCGACCCTATATGAAGTATGGATTCTGATAAAATCTTGTAGGAGATATACCTGCTGTGCCCATTTTCGGTTGAATTTTCCATGTGCGGAACCTCCAGCCAGTTATAGACCTGGGAAAGTTTGGAGGCTGTGCTTATAGTTAACACTGCTTGCATACTCTGCAACATTTAAAGTACCAGTTTTGGGGGCCTTTCTGTAAACGAGGCTTCTCCATTTACTACACAAGCAGTAACGGAGCAGGTATATCGAAATTGAAATAGGTCCAGAAAACCTATATTAAACACTTCGTGGTAAACTACCCGGTTCCTGGACCTTACAGTAGCATATATCTTATATGGAAAACTAAACACAGATAAACCAAATTTCAAAGTATAGTAGCTAAGCATGGAATATATAACTGCTGTGGACGAAGCTTTTCAAGGGGCCGTCTCAAATAGAAGAAACAGAGGTATAGGTATATTAACACTAACAATTGGTGAAGCGTAGACTAGTTAACCAAACAGACACTGCGTTTACTATAAAATACAAACATACCCAAAAATAGCTCAAGGGAGGCTGGTTTATCACCGGACGTACAATAGAAATAACACCTTCTGAATACCAAAGTTTCAAACAAATACAACTAGGCAATCTTACTTCTTGCTCTCAGAGGTGGTTGGAACGTCCTCCTCATCGCTGTCAGTGACGATAAACGCATCATCTCTGGCCGGTTCCGGCACCACGGTGGCCAACAGCTCCCACTTAGAGTCCTTTTCCCGATCAGCCTTAACCTCCTTCTCGGCACGGGCGCCAGGTTCAATGGTTGTGCTCTCGCCACTGAAGCTCACGGACTTCCCGTTAGAGTTTCTCGTCTTGGAGGGCACTACAGGAGGGTCGTCGGAGTAGTCGTTCAACGCAATCCCAGCCCCGTAGTTCTGTCTCGACAGTTCGCGTTCCTTCTGACGCTGGAATTGGCGCTGCTGGCGAAGGCGTTCCGCTTCCGTGTTCTCAAAGTCGGTATCGTTTCTACTGGCATTGACGTTACCACCCAACGCACCGAATAAACCAGGGGAGGATTCTTCTTCCTGGCTGAACTTGGAGGCAATGCCGGTGACCCACGAGTTGAGCTTTGTTCTTGTCTCCTCCACACCCTTGACAAAGGATTTCTGGAACTGCGGAAGGTCTTCGTCGAAGAACTTGTCAAACGTGTCCTCGTCGTCCGTGCCCTGCGGGCGAGGAGGAAGTGGCCGCTGTGAGGGTGGTGGTCTTTCCGACCGAGGTGGAGGGCCGTCAGGGCGTTGGTGAGACCTTCTTCTGGTACGGTCTTGCTGCTCAAACTCCCGCGCAAGTCTTCTAGCGAGTGCTTCGTCTTCCTCTAACTGAGAGGAACTCAACCCTGGGATACTGACTTGCGCCGGTCTGGAGGGTAAAGCAGGAGTGAACCCCGCTGGCTCAGTGTGAGGGGACGGAATTTCGGCAATAAAGGACGGATCGGATAAGTAGAGCAAAGCGTTAAAAGCTGGGTCAAGGATGCCTTGGGACGCAATTAACACGGCGGTAATGTACTTTTCTTCCACGTTAGGAAACGCTTCCTGGAGGGTCTGTTTGGATTGGTCCGTGGTGGACAACCGGCGTTGGGGCAACGGCGGAGCATCGTCTGCGGCATTCGCGGTATCAGTAGTGGCTTCAATACCAGGAGTAACAGTATCAGCGTTGGTTTCAGCAGACGTGCTGGCCTCAGGCTCAGTAGCCACATCCTTCTTCTCAGTAGCGGCCTCCTTGACGGCATCTTCCACAGTGTCTTCATCCAACAGGATTTCCACCACTTCAGAAGTAGGTTCGACAACTGTAGCAACAGACTTGGCGATTGTAGGCTTGGAAGCTTCTTCGCCTTCGGAATCAGAGTCCTCAAGGGAGAAAGCATCAGCCTTGATTTCGGTTGCTGGTGCAGTCTGGTCTGTTGTCTTGGCCATTGTGAAGTAATACGTGGGTTAGCAGCTTTTATACCTAGGGTCTTTTGGCAATAACAATGGTTTATTAGCTAACAGGTACCCGGCTCTAGGATGAGATTAGCATATGCAAGAAGTTATCAGCTTCCTTTGCTTCTCAGCCCCCACAAGTCCTGTAGATAGCACGTAGACAGCAATGGGCTCATAACCACAGAGACGCTCTGGCTGTTCTGCAATCTTTGTTGATGGTGAATGAATTTAATCCAAAACTCAGGGCTAGAGCTCCTATATGCAAAGGCGGGATGGGTATATGTGAACGACCTTTAGCTTTCTCAGTCATGAAGTGATTGCGCATTTTCCCAAGTGGTACTCGAAGCTCCAACCACTTTAATACATGGTGTGGTAAAGGCACGAAAAGTTAGAGTTATGCTAGACCTCTGGTGGAAGTATAGAAAGTAGATTTCCACTGATGGACAAAACCTAAGATCCTTTTTGGATATACTGGGGCCCGAGGAGATACATTTATCTAGATCTTCCACGCCGAGATAGAACGTTGTTCGCCCTTCAGTGGTTGCCTACAAGTCCCATTCTCGGATGACGTAATCCATATTTTAAACCCTAAAGCTTTTTTAGATTCTATAGAGACTGAGATATACGCATACTCACCTCCTCTCCGTACATCTTGTCCTCGGTGCGGAAAGTTTTCCCGCTAGGATCGCCGTATATAAAGACTTGAAGCTGCCAATACATTTATCGGCCCCCTTTTTTTCCTTTTTCTTTCTTCAGATATTAGGACTCTGACATTTAGATAGAACCCATAGACATTACGCCATTGACTATGGGTGTGGACAGCAGAGCTATAAAGACGGTTCTTGTGACTGGTGTGGTCCGCAACGCTACGGCATGCGGACGTTTCAACCCTCGGGTATGAACGCCAGGATACGGTTCCTACATGTTTTATATTATATATGTTTATGTAGACTAAGAAAGCGTTAAAGAGCTCGTCCACCGGAAACGCTTTGTTGTCGGCAACTTACGCTTCGTTCTAACAGACGAAACGCAACTAAATGACTTGACTTTGTAGCGGTTTTGACACCCAACGTTTGAAAGCCAGTGAAATGTTTTACCCATGGCGGATTAAATTTAAGTTCCCATTAAAATGCAACCATATCAGTTGTAAATCAGCACTTGTTTACCCTATTAACATCTCCCTCCCCGCAAGGTAGTGAATGGATCTATCTCTCGATTTATGCCGTCACCTAGACACATATAACCCTGTTTATCTAGTGTAATAAAAAAAAAGAAAGTTTGGCAATATTGACAAGTAATCAGTTGGATATATAAATCCCTACGGTGAGAAGCAAGACATATTTACGCGGAGACTAGGTATAATTGGATCATCGGATTGTTATGAGCAAGATCGGAAGAGCAGGTGTCAGACTTACTTCCGGTTAAGCGGAGCATTAACATCAGCCAATTCCATACATTGTAAGAAGGCGTTCCAGAATTTTTCGATATTCAATCCCAAACCCACCTTGACCCCTTGGGGGTCCTCCTTCACCACCGCGGTTTCACCCTCTCTTTCGCCTTCCAAAGGCACCGTCAAGTCGTAGCTGGTGTACTCAAACCCAAGACCTGCCTCACCGTACATGGCTAACAACACGTACACCGCCACTGGATCGTGGACCGGTGGACCATCCATAAAGCCCTGGGTCTCACAGGTGATTGCAAAAAACATCATAAGTTCGGAAAACATTTGGCGCAACGGAGAGCTCTTCGAAGGGTTGGATGGGTCATACAACCCGACCCGCACCTTCTTAGTGCAAATCGCCTGGTGGGTCAAGTTTAACGGAATGAGGATGGTCTTTGGGGCCATCTCGGCATCAGTGAGAACTTGCAAGGCAGCCTCAGGGTCACAGACAATGTTGAACTCGGCGTACTTAGACTTGTTTCCTATGTTGATCCCACCTCCCATGATGGAAACGTACCGAATGAGGGGCTTAAGGTGCGGATAAGCAGCGTAGAGCTGGGCCATGTTGGTTAACGTACCGGTAGCGACGATAGACATTCCCGGATGAGTCTCAACAGCGGTTTTCATCGCTTCAATAGCAGGAATCAGAGAAGCAGTGGTGGCCGGCAAAGGAACAAGAGAAGACCCGTCTAAACCCGATTCGCCGTGGATTTCCTGGGCATGCGAAACTGTCTTTACCAACGGCTGGGCAGCCCCAACGTGGACGGGGATATCCGTTCGGCCAATAGCGGTAAGGATGGCAAGAGCATTAGCCGTGGTGTTTTCCAACGAGGTGTTTCCGTAGACCGTAGAGATACCAAGAAGCTCGAGCTTTGGATGAAAAACAGCGACAAGAATGGCAACCACATCATCGTGGCCTGGATCGCAGTCCAACCAAATAGGAATTCTTTCAACGGTCATTGTGGATATAGACGTAAAAGGAATAATGCAGGGATGCCGAAAGGGAGTATTGCCGAAGAATGGAGTTATGCAATAAATGAAGGCGGGTGTATCGAGTTTGGTTGCCGGTATCTGTTGATTAGACAGACAGTGTGAGGTTCGTGAGGCGTACGAGAGGAATATATCTCTCGGGGAGGCTGTGAATTTATAGTAAAACCAAGTACGCTGACCACTGTGTGATTGACATTCCGTGTCCGAGAAGGTTTCGTGACCCCCGATGGGAAACCCCACAAAGGCTGCCGGAATTAGCTGCCTTCTCCATCTTTGACCGGGGGAAAATTACCGAGAGCTACGGGAAGCCAGCCGCGGCAAGCGGAGCCGCGCGTTGACATCCGCGGGACGTTGGGAAAAATTCATCCGTGTACTATGATCCGCTACTCTTTGGGAATAAACGCGGATTGGTACTGGTGAAAATCGAGATAAACTACGTATTGAAAGCTGTGGCAAAATTACTCCATGAACTACCCGAACTTTTTTTTTTTCTTTTGGAAGAGTAGGTATCTGATGAAAGTCTGGTAGGTTTGTGTTTTACTAGGAATTGCGTCTCGCCTGTAATTACCTGTGTACCTTGAATGATAACTTAAGCCACCTTGCGTCTGCAGCGACTTCATCCAAACGGCAATAACTGGTGGACAAACATATTAGGGTTGTAAAATTTCTTTTCCCGGAAAGAATCAGGAGTAGTCGCGCAGAGCTTGGTCCATAACCCCGGAGCTCGAATTGAGACAAAATTTGGATATTCCACAGGTTAGGCGTGACGAGGAGAAACTTGGTCCTACCTGGATATAACCGTTCGGGAAAAACTCAAAGGAACGAAAGATTACTACCAAGTATTCCAGGAAGGCTCATATGGCCATGACCTAACGCCCGGGTGAGTTTGCTCGGGTATCAGGACTAAGCTTTACATATGGTCAGCTCTGGCTTAACGGTAATTAATTCGAGTCAAATCGATTTGCTGATTTCAGAAACTTTCAGTTACCTTGTGAATGCCCACCCAGCAGTGTACACGCAATAAATTGCAGATAATATTACCACAGTAATGGAATCTCTCCTACAATTGTGCCTTTATTTTCGTTTCACTGCCGCGACGCTAACCAATCACGTCAATACTCTACGTAGTCTCAAGCCGGAAATGATTTATGAGACGGGCGAAGATATAACCATGGCTTTCTGTTGGTATCCTGAAGTGACTCGCGGAGAAATATAAGGAGCGTTAGCTCTGCGCCTATTGCAGTCGATAGCTTCTTGCAGTGCCATACAGCTTGCGTGCCACGACATTCATAAACTGGAGAGCGTCCTATGACGCTTTAATACTCCCAAGATACCCTCTATATACAGCACGATTGTGGAATTTTTACAGCCTTGCCTACGCGCTCAGTAGAGAGAGCCGATGGCTAGAAACAAGTAACGACAGAAAAAGCACGGGTGTGCAACCATACTGTATAGAAGTTTCTGCGCGAACACAGCTGAACTAGGGAGCGCCATACCTCTTGGTTTACCTGTTACTAAAAACAAGGCATGTTGTCTTTTTTTTTGTCACCTATTTAATGATGCTTACAAAACTCCATAATCTCGACTATAAATTGACCAAGCGGTAAACAATTCCACTGTAGCGACCAGAGCTGTGGCATGCGTAATCCTCAGAACAGAAAGGCCTGCACAGAACATCCTGCAATTCAGGGGGAAACAAACCATGGCCAGCAACTCGTCTGGAATCGGGCAGGCGGGCTGCGGCGGCCAATTCCAGTTGCTACACGTTGTGCCAGTCACTTGCGATCAACTTTCCATCCAAGGATCTGATACAGAAATTACTCGAGGATAAGCCAGCGATCTCAATTCCGACTTTGCTGCTATCTGGAGCTATCCCTCGCTTTGTGCATAAAAACTGCCCACTATTGCGATTGTCACCTTTGCTTGGTCTTTTGCTCCTTACTTTGTTTTGTTGTTTTCGCACCCAAACCAAGCCCTCAGATCCAAGTTTGAACAACGGCAGAGCCATTGATCACATTTGTCTACCCCGACTAATCTTTGTCAAATCTGAGCTCCAGTTTCCCCAGGGAATTTTAATAGACCTTTATCCGTCTGATACACTAGCCCAATTTCCAGCTAGCCATATTCTCTGTTCCGCCCAAAGGACCCTATACACCTCTCTATTGAACTAGAATTAGCCTATACCCTTACCATGTTCTCCAGAAGAAAGAGCAGAAACTACTCCCAGGACTCGTATACCGGAGTCGGGACTGCGCCTCCGGCCATGGGCCAGGTAAGCCTGAACGCGCTTGCTGCTGCGACTGCCATTGGCCAAGCCATGAAAAACAACCAACCCTTGTCCTCCTTGACGCAGCCTGTAGGCCGCACCAACCGCAACTCCTCCATGACATCCAATGCCTCGAACAAGCAGTTCCTTACGAGATCCTCCTCCTTGATGCTTTCCAGGCCGCCACGAATGGACTCCATTAACAGTGGCTCCTCGAGACAGGGAATCACGCACTATGATATCGATGACAGCTACGACAGTGCTATGCTCGATGACATCACCGAGGAGCCCAACAACCGCAATGCCCGCTTGGCCCCGCCAGCTGTTATTGGCTCGGCAGCTAGAAAGACCAAGTCCAGGGTTTCGTTCTCAGATGCCAATGCGTCTGAGGCTTCAAGGGATTTGCTCAATGCTAACCACAAGGTTACCCCGCCGGTCAGAGCTAATAGCACCAGAAGAGTCACGAGCTCACCGCAGTTACAGAAGCCGGTCCCAAATGTCGCGGGTCCGAAGATGATCAAGAAGTACATCCCGACGCCGAACGGGCTTGTGTGCGTGGAAGTTCCTGAAGTCGCACCATCTGCGTATGAGAGATCGCACCTTCCGAGATCTGCTTCGTTGACGTTTAACCCACGAACCCAGCAGAACCACCGGTCGATGCAGACCCGGAACCTTGTTCCTAACCGCAATTCCTCAATCACATCGAGCCAACGTTCTCTGATGGCTTTTACCCATTCGCCACCGGCGTTGAGAAACGGCTCACCCACCCAGCAGCAGCAACAGCTTATCCGCGACAGGGAGTTTGAAAAAGAAAAACACAGACTCAGAATGCTTCGCGAGGAGGAGGAACAGAGATTGTTTGAAGCAGAAAAGCAACGGAGAGTGGCGCAATTGGAGGAAATCCAGAGAGAGACTGAACGCGCTCAGCAGGAGTATGAAAAGATGGTCCACCAACTTCATACGACTGAGGAAGCTTCGTCGGAGCAAGGGCTTGTGGCTCCACGGGCGTTGGAAAATGACGACGATGCTAGCACCTTGGAAGAGGAAAAGACCTTGCGGGAAGAAACAGATGCTGCTGGGAGAGCGGTCGCTTTACCGGAGTTCCTCAAGAAGGATGTTGTGAGCGATGTCGACGAAGAACCCGCATCTTTGACTTTTAAGCCGTCTATTAATGGTACGGCTGAAACTACGGCAGTTTTGGACTCTATGGAGGAAATTCCTCCCGCCCTTGACTCTAAGCCTGCCGAAGCCGCGGTCAAGGAAATTGACGGTACTGCCAAAGAGATTGATGGCGTTGCTTCCGAGGAAGCTAACACGCTTCCTATTAATGTTCGTGACTCTATCACCTCCTCAACGTACGGCACCTTTGACCCTAGTGATTACACCGAAAGCGAGGATGACGAAAGGTACAGACGAGTGGTGGCCGAAATCTTTGACGATACGAATCCCGACGATTTGACCGATCCGCTCGATGTGGAAGAGTCACAGTTGTTACAGAACCCTGTTTCTCTGGCCGTCGAGCCAGTGAAGGTACTCGATTTCAAGGGAATAGGCCCCGTAAACGGTCTGTCTATGGCTTCGCAGTTCCGTCCGCAAATTGCCCAGCAGCAACAGGAGACCCTCCAGCGCACGATCTCCCCCAGCTTGGTGATTCCTGCCAGATCGGAACTCAGATCGGGCGAGTCTTCCCCTCTGAGGTCCAACCACGGCGGTCAAGATGGTTCGCCGTACAGAAAGCCAGCGTTGAAGCCAGCGTTAAGAAACTCCCAGGTTTTCGAGACACCTGCACAGAACGCAGCAAAGGATGCCTACATTTCGCTTACTACAGCCGAAAACACCCGCATGAACGCGAACTTGTCTACTGGCAAGCCGTTTGCGAATCTCAACCCTAACTATAGTTCTTCGGCCACCAACCTCAGTGTCCACAGCGGTGGAAGACGCGCAATGCGTCAGTCGGTGCAAGAGCCACCGCTGCTCAGAGGTCCGCCACCAAAGGCTGGCATGGCTAGCAGAACCATGAGACCGGTGTCTATCTCTGCCCCGTTGGTTCAGCCGTCTGGTTCTCCTGGCTACAAGTCCGAATCCCAAAAGCGTGCTTCTGCGTTGTACGCCAAGGCTAATAGCAGACCTACCGCCAGGGAGAACGATGTTCAATTAGAGCGTAAATCGTCGTTCGAAAAGTCTGTCGCGTCGAGTAAAGAGTTTAGAAAGTCTTTGAGAGATCCAATGGGCCACCAACAACAGCCACAACAACTCAAACAACCGCAACAGGATCAGCACAGACAGAAGCGAGTGTCGCAAGTGCCGGGTCCGGCTCCGCCGCTCCACCCACAGCAACAGGCCCCTTCAAAGCAATTTGTGGTGAGCCAGGTGGGTGGTAATGGCCCGGCCGGTGGTGGCTTTAAGTCCCGTTTTGCGGACTCTGACGACGAAGACGACTTACCAATGACGAGAAACAGAAGCAGCACCGTTGACTCTGCGGGCGTCAACGGTAAGTACGGTTCTAGCTTTTCTGATTCGGTAAAGCAGGCAGCTATCACCAATGGTTCCTCCACCCATGGTCGTAGAGCTCCAAACAGAGTCTCCGCAACTGCGCCTACCACTCCGTCGAAAGCTGGAAGGTTTTTCAGCGAAGGCGCTAATGCCCCCAGAAAGGAGGAAGAGCCAAAGAAGAAGTCTGGCTTCGGGACGAAATTGAAGAAACTATTCGGTGCCACCAAGGATGCGTGAGGACCATAAAATTCTAATATAATGTACGATGGATAAGAAGCTGAGAGTAGACGGCGTATATGCCCGTGTCCGTTCGTTGGTAAGCATCAAGGAACTGCTAGTAATTTGTCTTCTGCGGTTTGACTTACAGTGCTTAACAAAACAGGTGACTCTAAGCAGTAGCTCTTAAAATAATAACCCTTTTCTCCCATCGTACTACAATCTGGTATTGTTTATAACGTTAATTACTAGCTGATAAAACCCTAATGTACACAGAGACAAACTTCTCTACTTCCCAGTCTTCTTCGAAGCGTTGATGAATCTACTGACACCGACTCTGACCCCAGATGGTCTAACAGCCTGGTTGTTGGTGAATGGAGAAATAAAGTTGTCAGCCGAGCCACCACCGATCCACTCTTGCAAGATCTTCTCGTTCTTCCTGCGCTGCCAGGCATCATCCTTCAAGGCTTTTTGGTACTCCAACTGATCCTCTCTCAAAAAAACGGGGGTCTGGCGCTTCTCCTTCTGGTGCTGGTAACCACCGTTACCCCCTCTCCTGGTAGCGGCCTTGGACAACGGCGAGGCAAGAGAGTACTTGTTACCTCTGACGTGCCACTCGAAGTTGGCCTTCAAATGCGGGGTGATCTCACCGGTTCTGGAGTTGACCGAGACGGCGCATCTCAACAAGGTAGCACCACCACAATGGGAACAAAAGTGCTTAGGGGTCCCGTCCTTAGGCATCGGGGTCAAACGGAAACAAGCGTGACAGCGGAACATATAGTTGCGGACACGCTTGATTTGCATACCCGACATGGCGTTCATCAAATTCAACCCAATCTGGAGAGAGACATTTTGCACGGCGAAATCACCGGTGGCGAGGGCTGCTTTGACCTTAGTGTTGACAGCCTGTTTAACAATCTGCTCACCGGCATCCTTGATGATAGCCTCGGCCAAGTTTTCTGGAGTAATCCAGTCACCATCGTCGTCTTCATCATCAAATTCCTCAGCCAACACATTGTCATCAAAGTCTTGGGATTCCTCAACCATGATGTCTGGTTGTTTCCCGGCGGTCTCTTCCTCCAAAGCTAAACTGTTAAATTCCTCTTCCAACTCAGCCTCTCTCTTCGCTCTTTGCTTCTTACCACCTCTACGACGGGCCTTTTTCTTTGGGGCATCTTCAGAAGTGGTTTCTGGGGTTTTTATTGGAGTCTCAACTGGTATCACCGGAGCTAGAGCCTGTTTGACCGGGGTCATATTCTTCTTACCCGGAATAGTGGTCCATTCGTCGTCGACGGAAGCAGTTTCAACCTCTTCAATAGTTTCAGGGACTTCCTCCTTCTTTTGGAATTCCTTCTTCTCCCCTGGGTACTTTCTCAAGCGCCAGTCACCATTGTTCAACTCGCACTCCACCTCGTAGGTCAAGGCAATGATGTGTAAATCGTTTGGGGACAAGACGGTATAGTCACCGGTCATCTTGGAAAACTCAGTGACGCGTTTGATAAACTCCGGTTTTGGGTGCCTGATCTTCAAGAGATCGCCCCACAACACCAACTGCTGTCTGGCGTGTACATCCTTCAACTCGGAGAACACACCTGGGGTGGTATAGAAAGAGTCGGCGTGCTGTTGCAAGGACGAGGCGGACTGCGTGATCAAAGGACCAGCATCAAGCACTAATGCACTGATTTTCTTTTCCTGTATATCTTCCATGGCAATAGCTCTGGTCTAAGTCGCGTAAAGGATCAGGGAAAGTGTTTTGCTAGGTGCCTGAAGAGTAAAGTATCTCGTGCAGTAAATAAATTTTCACCTCATCGATTAGAGTTGCAGATCACGTGCTGCATAAGGTTAAGGGGCTTATGGTCCATCCTGGGTAGTTTTAGCAGGTCCGTTCGTAAGACTCGTGGGCACGACAAACTTTTTTTCAAGGAGGATTTTAATCTTCTAGCGTTGATGGAGAGAATCGGGTAAATATGTTTCTCCGAGCCTGGGAGTGGTTTAGGCCTCTCGTGCGCTTGTACATGTGCATACCCATCCAGTTCGTTGCACTCTAAAAACAATCGAAAGCATAGAGCGTATCCTAATAGTTTAATGATTGTCAACACTTGATTTCAACTTTTCAGGCTCTTTAACTGAGTGAAATTCAGCACTCTTTCGCACAAAATTGCCGGGCTGCACAAAGAGAAAATTGTAAAAAGAACTCCGAAACCGGGAATCGAACCCGGATTTGGGAGGTGAGAGCGCCCTGTGCTAGCCATTACACTATTTCGGATGAGTTCGAAGTTTTATCGTCTACGGATTGGATACCTAGGGGTATAGATCTACAGCTTGAGGTGATGTTCCCAGTCTATCTTTAAGACAATTCCTACGCGCTGTTTATATAGGACTAAATATAAAAGGACCCACTACTACCGTGATTTTCCTATATGGACTTTAAGTGTCAGCGCCGTTCAACTTGAGACTGCAGCCACGGGCCGGCCAGAACTCATGCCTGAAAATGAGTTATTACCGATACAGACCGCATCGACTGATTAAATCACCTCGAGGAGTAGCCAGAACATCGGGGGTCTTTTTAATGCGTAGGAATAGTAAATACAAGTTTACACTGAGTAATTTGTCCTTGTGTTCCTCCCCCTAGGTTTATCAACACCCTATATGTTCATAGAACAAGCTTAGTCCTCGGAGATGCCATCTACTGCCGGATTTAAGGCACGTTCACCGATAGCGACTCCTGCACGGAGCACTATTCCACTGACAGCTTCTCCAAACTTTCCGTTGCTGCCAGGCACACGCGCTTAAAGTGGCGTGGATCGATCATTGTTACTATCAACCGGAAACTGTCTTAGTACTTGCAATGACATCATACCAAGTGACCAGAGAAATCGTGCTATCCAACGGAGCTCTGCTCCCGACCGTGGGCCTTGGGACGTACTATCTTCCGCCGAAGAAGACCGCCGAAACCGTTACCCAAGCGCTCACAAAAGGCTACCGGCACATCGACACAGCGGTGCTATACAACAACGAGGAGGAGGTGGCACAGGGAATCGCAGACTGGATTGGTTTGGATCCCCAGAACCTGAGACTGGATGTGTTCTATACCACCAAGTTGTGGGATATGGATGGCGGGTACACAGCCGTGAGACGCGAAATCGCCCGGTGCGTGCGCAAAATGACGGCCTACGGATTGGAGTACATTGATCTATTGCTCATCCACTCGCCGCTCTGTGGTAGCAGAAAGCGCTTGGAGTGTTGGCGTGCGATGCAGGAGGCGGTTGATGCTGGTACCGTAAAGAGCATCGGCGTGTCGAACTATGGCGTTCATCACATTCAAGAGTTGCTTGCCTGGCCCAAATTGACTCACAAGCCGGTGGTAAACCAGATCGAAATCTCACCGTGGTGCATGCGGCAGGAATTGGCCGACTGGTGCCGACAGCAGGGGATTGTGGTGGAGGCCTACGCCCCCTTGACCCACGGATACAAGACCGAGGATTCCGCTTTGAAGGCGATTGCAGAGAAGCACAGCGTCTCCACGGCGCAGGTATTGATTAGATGGTCGCTCCAGCATGGTTATGTGCCATTGCCAAAGACACAGACAATTGGGCGGTTGAGTGGAAACGTGGACGTTTACAGGTTTGAGTTGAGTGATGAGGAGTTGGCAACGATTGACCATCCTGAGGCTCATGAGCCGACCGACTGGGAGTGCACCGAGGCACCATGATCGTATTTGATTCAATTTTTGGTGGGCTTATTTCTAGTAGACTTTGAGGTGACTATTCTATTTCCTCTTTGTATATTATGGTTGTGATATGTTCCTGAGACATGTACGCAAGAGCGACTAATCTCGTCGGGCTGCGTATGATTGGCAGGTCCAGGCCTCCTACCTACTGCTAATATGAGGTTTGTGTTGGTATGTTAAAATTACACCCTATCCCTTCGTAGTATTACAGCTATTAGTTTGACAAAGTCCCCGCCTGTACCTCAGAGTTAAGCAGTGATGTTTTCACTGCCTCAGGTGTCGACTCAAACCTATGTTGTCTATACATGCGATACTGCCATCGCCCACTAGTATTTCCTGGTAGCTTTATCAAGGCCTGGTGTTTGCCTAAAAGCATGTTTCTAAGGTAGTGACTATATAGTACGGTCAATTAATCTCTTGCCACTAGAACTAGACGTTACCGAAACCTATCCTTGCCGCGCTGACTCCTCTAGGAGCCTCCCTACTCCCTCAGATACGCTAATTATAGTCATCTTCTCAGTTTCCTAGCATTCGACATATACACATTACAATGCTAAGTATATCCTTATTGGACCAGGTTAGCCCAGATCACTAAACACAGATATTGTGAACTACAGACTTGCCGCACTAGCTTAGAGCCTTTCAACAATACCAGCACCAATCGTCATCCCGTCCTTCCGAATCACAACTCTTCCTAACAGTCTGCTCTGCGCAAACACCAGTAACGGTAACGGACGCCCACTTACCTCAATGTCCACCACACACGACTGGTTTGCAGATAAATGACGCGGGGCCTTCTTGCTCTCCTCTCCCGTTTTGGGGTCCACCAAAAAGTGAATTTTGGTGATTTTTGCCGGGGTCTGCTGACTTCCACGGAACAAAATGAACGGAGTTCCCACTAACAATGGCCGCTTCATGCCAAAGAGCACCAACCGCGCCTGGAACTTGTTCACAGCCGAGACCGGCTTATCAATCGGCGACACAACGTCCCCAATTTGCACTTTGTTATCAGCATTGGACACTCCCTTCAAACGCAATGTGGCGTGCTCACCCGCAATCGCCAAATCCACGGTCTGGATACCGTCGCCGAGCGTAATTGTCTCGACCTGTGCGAAATACTGCGCGGGCGAGATGAGAATTGTCTGGCCTGGCTGCAAAGTCCCGGCTGAAACTTTCCCGCTCAACGCCAAGCCGTCCATCTTGCCGAGCGTCTGAACGTCCGACACGCACATCACAAAGTCGGTTCCCACGTCTTGCTGGACCGCCTGGTGCTCCAATATCAGCAACAAGGTCTTTCCTTGGTACCACGCAAGCCGCGGTTCGTGTGGCGCCTTGCATACGTTGATACCGGTTAATCCCGACACTGGCACAAACTCCACCTGGTCCTCGCGGAATCCGGTCATGCGCAAGAACTCCGTCAATTGGAGCCTGATTTCGTCAAAGCGCGCCTGTGACCAGTCCTGTTGGTCCATCTTGTTAACTGCAACCACGAGCTTCTGGATACCCAACGATTTTGCGAGCAACGCGTGTTCCTTGGTCTGGCCCTCCAAGTTGAACCCACTCTCAAATGCGTTGTTAGAGGAGTCAACCACAAGTACTGCCACATCCGCCTGGGTTACCCCGGAAATCATGTTTGGCACAAAGTCTTTGTGCCCCGGAGCATCCACAATTGTGAATTTGGTGCTTCCCGTCTCGAAATTGGTTGTGCACACGTCGACGGTGACCCCGCGGGATCGTTCCTCCGAGGTTTGATCCATGACCCACGCGAGTGCAAACGATGCCTTTCCGATCTTCTCAGACTCTCTCTGGAGCTTGTGGAGGGTCTGGGAGTCCACGACCCCGACGTCATAGAGCAACCGGCCCATAAGCGTGGACTTTCCGGCATCCACATGGCCAATCACCACGAACGATACATGCGGTTTTTGGTTCTTCACAGCCAAGGCCTCCGTCATGTCAATTTTCTTGAACGGTTTGGTAGGCTTCACTGGGCCTTCTATATTCAGGGTGGATGGCTTCTTCCCAGACTTGTCATCAAGGCTCAAGCCCTTTACCTTTGCGGCCAACTCTGGCTCCACGTACTTTGCCGCCACCTTTGCCTTTCCTACAAACGCCTCTTTCTGTGCCGCCAATACAACGTCGTCGGGGCTCGGCTGCGTGAAGTTGGCCTTGATTTTTTTCTCTAGATGGTTAGCATGTGGAACGTAGACGCAGCACAAGGCCTCGTCGTGCTTTTGCTTGAGACAGGGGGACGTGACAAACAACATGAATCGTGGTGCGGGAGTCGTGCGAAGGTGGCGCGTTTCGGGAGGAACAGTGGGGTAAACCGGAGGCCCTTCCGGCTCGGGGGTTTGTTCGAGCGACTTGGTATTCTCCCTGGTATTCGGCAAGGTTCCCTGGGCAGATATAGGCCTTTCCACGAGCTTTTCTCTGGGTGTTTCCAGAAGATTTTTTGGTATATGCTCTGGAGACTCCCTAGACCTTTTAAGCGATAGAATCTTACGCGAGAGCGCTGTATCCTTCGCAACCTCCTTCGGCTTCCCTTTGGAAAGCTTGTCAAGGATAGAGGTGCGCGATGCCGGCTCTTTGCTTGACTCCTTTTCTATTTCTCGCTTGGCAGCGCGGGCCTTGGCCAATGCCGCGAGTTTCGACAACCCCGTCGTTGGCGCTGGTGTTTCAACTATTCTGTTTAGAATGTGTTCGTGAGACTGAAGTCTCAGGCGAAAGTCGCGGTTGGTTTCTGTCATGTTGCCCTCCACTTCGTCCCAGGCTCCAGTCGGTGTTAGAAAATACGTACCTTTAGGCTTCTTGAACTTGTTCTGTAATTCCTGGACCGCGTCCTCCATGGAAAACTCATTGTACCACAATGCTTCACGGAAGTCCTGTGTTTCAATCCCAGTGTATCCAGACATTTTGGTCTGGAGCTCTGGCATCATCTGCGCAAGAAGGACCTCTTCCTCCTCGGTGATCTGTTCGTCCATATTCTCTTCAGAGTCGTAGTCATCGGCGTAATCTGCAATGTCTGGAGGTTAGTAGTGGCCGGAGAGAAGACTGAAGGTAACTTACCATCTTCGGTATAGTTGAAGCCCATTATAACTGTGCGGGGGAGGGGATTTAACAGAATAAGCGGTGGAGGTGGGAGTCATTTAAAGCTTACCGGTTGCCGGCGCCGCGAAAAATATATCCCGGACGAGATTTGTGCAGGAAGACAATCAGTGCGGCGCCTCGGAGACGAGATTCGGTGAAAAGCTGAAAGTTCAACGTGTATTAGATTATTCAGGAAGGTTAGTTAACCAAATATTGAAGCTAACAAATATAGACTAACAAGGGCGTTTAGCGTTCCAGATAGTGGCTTTCCAGATGGTCATCCTCAACCAAACTTCTCATGAATCCCTTAACCCATGTCGACCGCTACTTAACCATACTCATATAATTCTACACCCGTAAACCATACTAAAATAATCAAAATACGTCCTACAACATGACCACACCAACACCACTTCTGGCAGCCACATCGATCTCTTTAGTCTGCGGATTGATCCCACCGGTGATAGGGAACGACTTGTAGTTGAACAAGTAGAAGTTGAGGTAGCCGTCACCGGCGCCGAATTTCAATTCGTTCATGAACAAGTTGTTGTCCTGGGAGGTTAAGGCGTTGAAGACGTCAACACCGAGCTGCTGCGCGATGACGAGCGCGTCACCCATAAGGGCGGTCAAGCGCGTGGCCAATGCGGCGGTGGCATGCGCGTCGAAGCGGTCCGCATCGAGACCCGTGTCGGATGCGTAGTAAAACAAGTACGCGACACCCAACTGATCGTGCTGTGGGTTGCCCAACACGGTGAATGGCAACAAGTAGAAGGAGAAAAAGTCGGTGATTTTGCCCTCGGTTTCAACTACGTACGTATGGACAACCTTGGAAGCACCATCGACGGTGGATTCACCCCCCATCAACCAGTGATCGACCTCCGCGCGTGTGAAGGTCTGGATCAAGTCAAAGTGCGCCTGGTAGCGGTCGAAAAGCGCGTGAATCGCCGGGGCGTCCGCAGGCACCGCGCGACGCAAGCCCACAGTGGAGGTCGTGAGCGGCACGGCGTAGTGCGCCACCATCTGCGCCTTCGTTTTGTTGGGCGGGAGATGCGAGAACTTGACATCGTGGAGGGTTGCCCAGTTGATCGGACGATGCGTGTAGCGGCACGTCGCGACGGGTGCCGGTAAGACGATCCCCGCGGTGTACAACGCCTGCCAGATATCGTGGCGGTTGACACGGCGTGTGATTTCCTTGATGAGCACCGGTGCCAAGCGCTTGGTACGCAACTTCTTGTGGATGCAGAGGAAGTTAATTTCTACCGACGGGATCGCGCGCGTACGCAACTCGAGCGTGATCGGGACCGCAGAGATGAAAGCGACAAGGCGTCCCGTAGCCTTCACACGTACCCCCACGTGCCACTCCTTCTTCCAGCCCGGCGGCTTAAGCGCCCAGTTGAAAAACTCGGTTGAGTAGTTGAAGCGAAATGTGGCGTCCTGGTCCTCCACGTAGTTTTCGTAGAGCAACTCGTGCACCGCCGTGAGGTCTTCCTGGCTTGTGAGGTCCATGTCCACCCACTCAAAGTCGCTGAGGAGAGGGAATGGTTGAGAGGGTATGTCTTCCGGGCGCTTCGCGCGCTCGATCGGGCCCTCCGTCTCGATCTTGTCGGTGAAGTTGGGAACCGGCTGCGTCTTCCAGAACTTGTAGTCGGTCATGTCCTTCTGTTGCGACTCTGTGAGCTGATGGCCCATCGCGAGCATACGCAAGAGATCCTCAAGGGACTTCTTTGGTTCAGACATGGGGAGTTAGTAGAAGTGTTGAGGAAGAGGTAGTAGTATAGATCTAGGGAAAGTTGGGCGTATTTTTCTGGCTCCACGCAGGACAACAG